GTGGATCATGGCCCTGTTGTCAGCGTACAGGACTAGGGCAGAGCTAGGCTGCTCACCTAAGTCAGTGAGCAAGAAGGACAGCCAGCGGAGCTCCTGTGCCGCCATGGCACCAGCGAAGATCTCGGCCTCACAGCTGGACTGAGCAACAGACGAGGAGCGAGTAGCTCTCCACGAGAGAGCACCTGAACCAAGGCTAAAGCGGTAACCCTGAGAGGACCTGAGGGTCTCGGCGTCGTCTGCCCAAGAAGCGTCTGTGTGCCCAGTAAGGACCACTGGCCTACGTCCTCCCAGCACTAACCCCATGCCTGATGTACTCGCGAGATAACGCAAAACCCTCTTAGCTGCAGACCAGTGATGAGGTCGGTGTCTGCCTGTGGCCACAAAGCGAGCCATGATGCTGAGAGGGTATGCGAGATCTGGGCGAGTGCAAGTCATCAGGTACATGAGGCAACCCACCAGCTCGGTGTAAGGACCACTGGGCTCTGCTGACTCCTCAGGAACCGGAGCAGAGAGCCTGTGATCTACAGGAAGAGGTGTGGGCTGTGCGGAGGAGAACTGAAGACCGAACCTCTCAAGGAGCTGACGCACCAAGTGGGACTGGGTGAGAGTGATGGTGCGCGCTGCTCTGTCCTTGGAGATCTGCAGGCCCAGGTAGTGGCGCAGCTCTCCTAGGTCCATGCAGGTGTGTCTCCTCAGCAACTCGGCCTTCACGAAGGCCAGTGCGGCGGTGTCTGCAGTGGCAAAGACCAGATTGTCTACGCAAACAAGGATGTAGAACGGAGTCTGGCCAGAACGAACGAAGAGCGAGGGGTCTGCAGAGGACGGAAAGAGCTGCAGGTCTGCAAGGGTAGCATGCAGCCTGTCGTTCCACTGAGGGGGCGCCTGGCGCAGGCCGTAGACTGGGCGCCGTAGGAGCCTTTGCGTCCCAGGAGGGAAGGTACCAGTGAAACCCTGAGGACGGTGCAGGTAGACTTGCTCGTGTAGACTGCCCAAAAGGAACGCAGTGGAGAAGTCGAGGGAGTGTAACTCGTAGTCACGCTGTGCTGCTACGTGTAGCAGTGCCTGAAGAGAAGCCATCTTCGGGGTCGGGGCGAAAGTCTGAAAGAAGTCCACCCCCTCACGCTGACTGAAGCCTCTAGCCACGTAGCGCGCCCTGAACACAGGCGGCTCTCCAGGAGGGCGCTTCACCTTGAAGAGCCAGCGGCCATCGACTATGTTCACCCCAGGTGGGGGAACTGCGTCAACGTAGGTGCCGGTGGATCTCCAAGATGCCATTTCCTGCTCCATGACTGCTATCCACTGTGAGGCCCAAGGTCCCGAGGTCGCCTCAGCGTAGGTGCGAGAGGTCGGGATGTCGAAAGCGTCTGGGTCACCCTCAGGGACTAGCAGCATGGAACAGAGATGGGGAGCAGCCTCGTACAGGAAAGCAAGCTCGTACTCGCGGTCCTCCAGGACGTTATTGCCGAGGGCAGGAGCACCCCCGACAGACGGAGGACAGGCAGGGTCAGAGACCAGAGCGGTGGCTTAGTCAAGGCAGCGGGTAGAGGCGAAGTCAGCAACCGCAGCGACAAGAGCGTCAAGACACGAGACCGGAACAGACGGGTCGGGAACGAGAGAGTCAAGGACCCGAGGAACAAGAGGACGAGCGGTGTGAACGAAGTCAGACAGAGGGGGAGGTGCAACAACAAGGGAGGACGGAGGAGGTGACGGGAGGAGGGGAGGACGAGACGCATGGGAACGAAGCAACATAGGGTGAGCGCTCGAGACGGGGGAGACGGGGCGAGCATGGAAGGGACGGCGAGACCAGACGTGAGGCGGAGGAGACAGAGGAGGGGACACAGGAGGGGAACGAGGGGGAAGACGAGCCGGAGACGAGTCCGGAGGAGGGAGCACAGGGCCGTAGACAGGAAGAGGAGGAGGATGCGGTAGGAGAGGCACAGACGCGTGGTTTGGGGACGGAAGGCCGAGCAGACGAAGGGCTGACATCGGTGGTGACTGCTGCTGCGGCGGCACAACACCGACACGGGGACCGCAAGCTGCTCCACGGCTACCTCCAGAACACTCCACTCCAGCACCCCCAGAAGGAACACCCCCAGAGCTCGAAACCCCTCCAGCACCGGTACCACCCCCAGGCCCACCGGGACAGGCCACGACAGGAACCCCAGGACGAGTACCCACCCCAACGCCAGCGCCCCCAGAGGCAACGAACTGCTGCTGCGACGGTGGCGGCAACGTCTGCGGGGGCAGCGGCGGCGACGTCTGTGGGGGCAGCGGCGGCGACGGCTGCGGCGGCGGTGACGGCGGCTGCGACAGCGACGGCGACGGCGGCTGCAGAGGCGGCAACGACGGCGGCTACGGAGGTGGCAGAGGAGGAGACACCTGGGGAGGGACAGGCGGCAAGGACTGCACCGCAGGGCCACCAGAGTCAGCAGACTCCTCAACCGGGACAACCGACGTGAGGGGGGTGACGTGAGACACACCAAACGGGGCAGGACGGGGAGGGGGAGGGGGAGGGGCAGGTGTCACAGGATCGAATGTGTCGAGGAAAGATTGCACTATCGATCAGTACAAGGCGCTTTTATACTTCCATAGTACATCAGGTAACCAGGTTTATCTTATCCTAAGGAAATAGACCCTTCTAGAAGATAGAATCACCCTGTGTATAGCCACGCGAGGCTATTGGCTTTAAGGGATTACAGCAGGATTACGCTAGATATAGCGCCCAGTACATCCCAAGCCTGGTCGGTGATATAACTATAATAGCAGAATAAACCAAGATTAATGGAAAAGGGAGAATAGGAAACCAAATGAAATGAGATAAAAAGAGAAATGAAAATAGGAAGGAAGTAGAAAAAAGGCCAAGTGGTGTAATGGGGTCGTACTCTCACACTTCCCCCCCTCAAAGCTGGGTGGTAGTAGTAACACCCTGCTTGACAAGGTAGTCATGCAGAGAACGACGGGCGTTACCCATGTCGGTCTCAGGTACCCAGCTGTCCACAGAAGGATCATAACCCTTCCAACGGATGAGAAGCTCCATGGTGCCATTCCGACGACGGCGGTGTGCAAGCACGGACTCGACCTCGTACTCGGGTTCATTCTGGACGAGGACGGGCGGCGGCGGCGGCGGTTGGCGTCCGACGAAGATCGTGTTCGGATCCCGATATGGCTTCAGAAGTTGGACATGGAAGGCGTTGTGAATCTTCCAGGTAGCTGGTAGGCGTAAGCGGAAGGTAACAGGAGTGACCTATGCTTCAACGAGGAAAGGCCCGCACCAGCGAGGTCGCCGTTTAGATGGGAGATGGCTGATGTCAAGGTTGCGGGTGTCAAAGAGCACCTAGTCTCCCACCGTGATGGTGTGGTCGTTGCGATGGCGATCTGCCTGGCGCTTCTGTTGCTGTTGAATGTCGAGGAGGCGCTTGTGGGTCCGATCCCAAAGCTGATGCATGGTTGTGATGAAATCATGGGCAGGTTGAACTGTAGCGGATGTTGTCGGTTTTTGTGGTGTGAGTGGGTGGCGTCCGTAGCAGAGGAAGAACGGCATCTGTCCAGTAGCATGTGTAGCATTGTTGTAAGCAAACTCTAGTACGGGCAGGTGCAGGTCCCATTTGGAGATCTCGTCCTTGCAGGCTGCTCGGAGGAGTTGCTCAACAATTTGGTTGAGGCGCTCGATCTGTCTGTCTGTCTGCGGATGGTAAGCAGATGACATGGCGAGTTTGGTCCCGAGGAGAGACATAAGTTCCTTCCAGAACTTGCTGGTGAACTTGGAGTCTCGGTCGGAGATGAGTGTGGTTGGAATGCCATGCTGTGAGATGATGTATCAAACGAAGAGTTGTGCAGTTTCTTCGGTGCGTGCTGTCGTGTGTGTCAGGATGAAGTGTCCCATTTTGGAGAACTTGTGGATGACGACAAGGATGGCGTCATGACCGCTGGAGGTAGGTGGTAATCCGGTGATGAATTCCAGGCTAACCACTTGCCATGGTTGTTCTGGGACAGGAAGAGGCTGTAGTAGACCTGTCTTCTTCTGCTTGGTGCTCTTCATCCGCTGACATGTATCACACGAGGTGACGAACTTCTGAACATCTTCTGCCAAGTGGGGCCAGTAGTAGTGCTTTGCGATACCGGTGAGCGTCTTGTTGCTACCGAAGTGTCCGGCGTAGAGGACGTCGTGGTATTCTTCGAGTAGTAACTGGCGTAAAGGAAGGTAATTGGGTACCCAAATTTTCGTTGATCCTTTCCGGTACGCGATGTCACTGTCCCACTGTAGCAGATGTCGCTTTTCTGCCAAGGTAATTTCGGGGTCGATGGCGTACCCGTGTGTGAAGAGTCCCTTGAGGAGTGGATTCATCCCTTCGATCTGAATAGCGGCAACTTGTGCAGGTCGGCTGAGAGCGTCTGCTTTGTTTTTGTGGCCGGGCTTGTACACGATGTCGTAGTGGAAGTGTGTCTCGAGGAAGTCGATCCACCGGACCTGCCGCCGGGAAAGGTTGGGTTGTGTCATCAAGTATTTCCGGCTGCAGTGGTCGGTGTAGACGGTTGTTGTTCGTCCTTCGAGATAACATCTCCATGCTTTGAAGGCGATGATGATGGCAAGGGCCTCTTTGTCGTGTATCGGGTAGTTTAGTTCTGCTCCGTGTATTTTTTTGCTGAGGTAGGCAATTGGTTGCAGTCCATTCCCCTGGTCTTGCATCAAGACTGCTCCCACTGCCTGGTCACTGGCGTCAGCTTCGATGACGTAGTCGCGTTCGGGATCTGGCAAGATGAGTACTGGTGCGGACGTAAGTGCTTGCTTCAGCTGCTCCATGGCTTCCTGGTGCTTTGGCTCCCATTTGTAGGGCTTGTTCTTCTTCAGCAGATTCGTGAGTGGTGCTGCGAGTTTCGCATACTGTGGCACGAACTTGTTGTAGTAATTAGTGAAGCCTAGGAATTGCTACAACTCCTACACGTTCTCGGGTGTCTTCCACGTACGTACGGCTTCGATTTTCTTGGGGTCGACGTGAACTCCTTGAGCGCTCACCATGTGTCATAGGAACTGGACCTTCTCAAGGGCGAATTCGCTCTGGGACAGTTTGACGTAGAATCGTTCTCGTCGAAGAATTTTGAAGACGCGTCGCAGGTCTTCGACGTGCTGCTTCATGTCACGCGAGTAGATGAGTATGTCGTCCAGGTACACCACCGCGCACTCGTCCAAAAGTGGTCGTAGAATGTGGTTCATTTCGGCTTGGAACGTTGCCGGTGCGTTGGTAAGTCCGAACGGCATTGCCAAATACTCGTACGATCCATACCGAGTTCGGAAAGCAGTTTTGTGGATAGAGTTGTCCGCCATCCGTATCTGCCAGTATCCGGACCGCAGATCCAGTTTGGAAAATACCGTAGCTCCCCGAAGCTGGTCAAGCAGGTCATCGATTCCCGGTATTGGATATTTATTCTTGATGGTCTGCTTGTTAAGAGCTCGGTAGTCGATGCACATGCGCAGGCTTCCGTCCGTTTTCAGTGTGAAGAGTACTGGGGCACCGTACGGTAAAGTGGATGGTCGGATGAGTCCTTTGGCTAGGAGATACTTGATCTGTTTTTTCATGTCGGTCAGCTCCGTAGGACTTAGTCGATATGGTGCTCGGAAGGTCGACTTCGAACCCGGTTCCTCTACGATCTCATGTTGATGCGTCCGGTATGGCGGTAGCTCATTCGGAAGGTCGTCCGGAAGAATGTCTTGGAACTCCTTCAATAATTCCTTGATCTTTTCTGGAGTTTCCGAGGCTTTCTCTCCGTAATTCTCCGCTTCTGTTGCTATCGCCAGGAACCCGGTGTCGGTTCGCTTCACGTCCTTCTCGAATCGTGCGAGTGTCTCCACTGGGATATCTCCTGTATCGTCCCAGTTGAGTAGCTGTACTCTCCGTCCATTGTTGTAGATACTTGCGGTGCGATTCACCCAGTTGATCTCGGGGTTGAATCTTTTTAGGAAGTCTCGCCCGAAGATCAAGTCAAGCCCTTTGATGTTGGTGATGGGGAGTGCAGGTCTCCAGCGCAGTGGTCCGATTTGTAGGTGTAGCACTGCTTCGCCGTGTACTGGTAACTTGCTTCCGTCCACCATCGTTGCAGAGAATCCTGAAGGCTTGTACTCTTCCCGAAGTCGGTCGATTACTGCCTTGTCGCAGACGGTGTGTGATGCTCCGCTGTCCACGAGTGCTTGGAGGCGTCGTCCTTTGCAGATGACCTCGAGCACGAGGGGCACGCGTTGCTCGGAGTACCCAAAGATAGTTTCATTGATTGGGTCATAGGGTACATCCCAATATTCCGTACACACCTTTGTGTTGCTATCTACTCCTGAGCTGGCAGCTGGCCGAGGCTGCTTGGAGAACGGCTCTTCTCCAGGGCCCGGAGTTTCCTTGACGACTGTGCGCGTCATTGATGCCGAAGAACTGGATGCATCCGGAGGAGGAGTTCGGGGTTTGTGCAGCTTCTTATAGACCCCCAGCTTCCTCTTGAGCTGCTTCAGCTCCACCGACGTCTTCCCTGGGGAACGGGTAGTCGTTGTGGGCTGGTGTCAGGAGATGACGTTGACTCCGTGGAAAGGTCGGCTTCTTTCCACACTCCTTAATTTGGTCCCCAAGTTGTCCGGTACCGGTATAATCTCCACAGCTGTCTGCTTCTTTTGGAGTCCCTCCCGAAATTTCTCCAAGGCTCTAGCCCCTCGAAAATCATAAGTTTTCATTAAAGCATCTTTATAGGATAGCTTTAACAAATCCTTATAATTTCTTGGGTCTTCAAGGAGGTTCCCCGTCTCGGCAGAGTCTTTTTTCGCGGAGTCGTATTTTTCCTCGGCGATTTTCCCTAGCGAAGACTGGTTGTGGGGTGGAGATTTCCCCCCTTCATTTCCTCCTTCTCGCTTCGAATCAGCTTCGTCGAAGTTGATTTTCTCGGAATCCCGCGGCCGCTTCCGGATCTTTTTATTTTCGCCAGCTAGATCCGCAATCACTGGCGACTCCCGTTTTTTGTCTTCTAATTGGCCGAAGGATTCCCGCTACCGTTGCGTGCCCGATACTTTGCGCGTGCGGGTTTCATTTTGTTGCAGTCGAAGATTCGATGACCCGGCACCCCGCAAAAATCACACGTGTAGTTGGTGTTTTTCAGACGTGGCCGCCCCTCGAACCTGTCGACTTCCATCGGGTCGGCGAACGTGGGGTGAGCCGAGCGGTCGCCCTATTGCGTACTGCCGACGTGCGTCCGTCGTGTCCCGGCGTTGACCATGTCGAAGCGCTCCGCTGCCGAAACGACGTCACTGTAGCTCGCGTAGTTTGACGCTGCTACCTGGCGTTTGACTTCGGTCTTCAGCCCGGCGAGGTACGATTGTACTTTTTCCCCTTCGGTCAGGTCGGGAATTCGGTTATAAAATTCCTCCATCTGCTGCGTGTACTGTGCTACACTCCCGAACTGTCGATGGCGATGAATTTTTTCCCGGGCAAGGAAACTGGAATTTATCGGCTCGAAACGTTTCAGTAGGTCGGCGCGGAACTGCTGCCACGTGGCTTCACCGTGGATGAAGGTGCTGTTGCCGCCAATCCACTCGAGTGCCGGCCCTCGCATCAGTGTCGCCGCGAGTCGTACGCGTTGACCGTCCCAGACTGGCGAGCTCCATCCGACGGCTGCGAAGTAGATCTCCATCCCGGCGATCCATCTGCGGGCGTCGGAGTTTCGATCGCTCGGATCGAACGGCTCAGGTGGGCGCGGTTTCGGAGCCTCGAGAAACTGCTGCAACTGCTGCGTTGTCGCCGTTGTCGAGTCGTGCTGCGCTCCGGCGAGTCGAGTTACTCGCTCGAACTCGTTTCGCCACGCTTCACGATCCGCTCGCATCTCCTCCTGAAGGGCTGCGATGCGCGCGAAGAGCTGCTGGGTAACCTCGGCGTTGTCGAAGGTTGCCATCTTGTTCAAAACACGCGTGGGGGGAGTGATTCGAAAAAACGCGGAGCTGGTGCTTACCAGAATCGGCGTCGAATTGGTCGCCCCCGGCGGTTTTTCGAGGCAGGTTTTCCCGCTGCTGCTGCTTTGTTGAGCGCGGCCGAGTGAGAAAAGCTCTGATTACCAAGTGTCACAGGATCGAATGTGTCGAGGAAAGATTGCACTATCGATCAGTACAAGGCGCTTTTATACTTCCATAGTACATCAGGTAACCAGGTTTATCTTATCCTAAGGAAATAGACCCTTATAGAAGATAGAATCACCCTGCGTATAGCCACGCGAGGCTATTGGCTTTAAGGGATTACAGCAGGATTACGCTAGATATAGCGCCCAGTACATCCCAAGCCTGGTCGGTGATATAACTATAATAGCAGGATAAACCAAAGGTTAATGGAAAAGGGAGAATAGGAAACCAAATGAAATGAGATAAAAAGAGAAATGAAAATAGGAAGGAAGTAGAAAAAAGGCCAAGTGGTGTAACGGGGTCGTATTCTCACAGCAGGGGCCACCGGGGAAGGGGGAACCAGGAACAGGGGGGGAGTAACCGAGGGACCATAGTGGGGGAAGCGACGGTAGAAGTGGACGGACTCGTCAAAGGTGACGTCGCGGAAGTGAAAGAAACGGTGAGACGGGGGGTGGTAGAAGTGCTAGTCAGACGCGTCAAGGGGGAAGCCGAGGAAGACACAGGGAAGGGCGCGGGCAATGAGCTTGTCCATGCCAGAGGCACGAACGTGAGCAAGGCAGCCCCAGACGTGGAACGCAGACGCGTCACCAGGTGACCCAGACAAAAGGAGGGTCGGCGAAACCTGCGGCTGCTGGGAGTGCGGCCACAGGTTAAGCTGGTGAGCTGCGTAGCGAACAGCAAACGACCACAAAAAATGGGGTGCACCGGCATGGATCATGGAGGTACGAGCCACCTCCATGACCCAACCGATGCGTCGCTCAGCGACCCCATTCTGCTGCGGGGAGTCCGGCAAGGTGAACGTCTGGGTGATGCCCTCCGCACGACAAAAACGACCAAGGACACCAGAGGCAAACTCGCCACCACGGTCGGAGTGGAGACGCAGGACAGGGAGACCGCGGTGGACACACGCAGAGACAAGCCACGGCATGAGAACGTCAGGCACGTCAGCATTCCGCTCCAAGGGAAACACCGTGGTGTAGCGCGTGTAGTCGTCGACAAGCACTAGGAAGTAGCGCTCTCGATGCGGTCCATGGACGGGGGCGGGGCCCCAGACGTCCATGTGCAAGGTCTGTAGCGGTATGGTGGTGGGGGGGAACGAGGAAGAGTGAGGCGCACGGCGGAGCCGGCCCTCGACACACGGCGTGCACGGTGGTGCTGGGGAGGAGGGCAGTTCGGGAAACGACCCTGGGAGACCCAGGACAAGACCGTGCTGTGACATGTGACGCAAACGTGGGAGTGCAGGGTGACCTAGACAGTGGTGCCATAGGAGTGTCGGGTGAGTGAGCGACTGACAGGAGCAGGCCGCAGCAACCTGGGTAGACGCAGCCACCTGAAGAGACGTCCCAACCGGGGGGGTCGCGGTGTCTAGTGTGAACAGGCCGGACACCAGGTCCCGGGGGAACGTGGTGAGGCGGGCACCAGAGGCGGCCTCGATAGAGACAGCGTACCGCTCGTGACCAGGGAACGTAGTGGTGACGCCAGGGTCCTGGAGGCAGCCGCCACCAACTAGGTTCTTGGAGAACGAGGGGATGTGCAGGCCTGTAAGAGAGCCCGAAGTAATCGCCGGACAGGGATCGGTGGTGGAACTGCGGGTGACTACCGGGCCGGAGGAGGGGTCGGCAAGGGAAACTTCAGCAGGAGCAGCAAGTGGCGTCAGCGTAGTGGAGTCACGGAAGAAACACCGGGAAGCGCCAGAGTCCAGGGTGAAGGAGAGCGCAGCAGTGGCGGCCGCAGTCGGAGCAGCGAGGGAAGAACCAAGGCTAAACAAGACAGGGCATCCTACGCCTGACGCAGCAGGGGAGGCAAGACTAGACACACCTACACTAGGCAACAAGGGGTAGTAAGAAGCAGTCACACTAGAGTCATAAGCATACAGCACATGCAGGGCAGAACAAAGCTCATCCATGTCCATATCAAAAATCGGAACACTACGGCGAAGCAAGCTGTGCCAGTCGGGGAGGTCGGGCGCTGGGCCGAAGCGCTGACGAAACAGGTCGTCTAGGCGACGGAAACAGCGGACGGAGGAGTGACCAATCTTACCGCACACGAAGCCACGGCAAGGACCGGTCTGGAGCTGGTACTGACAGCCCCCATCACCTGAGCCGCCACCCGACTGCACACCACGCGCACGACCACCACGGCCAGCGCCACCACCAGCGCCAGGCCACCCGGGCGGGAGACCACTCGCCCGCCTCTGTTGCGGCTGCTGCGGCTGGTGTTGGGGTTGCTGCTGTGGCTGGTGCGGGTCCGGCTGCGGCGCCGGCGGCTGCTGAGATGGCTGCTCGGCTACACTAGGCACAGTCCCCTCGTCAGCGCTACCACCGTGCGACCCGACGCCACCACCACCTCCACCTGCACCACTACCCCCACCGCCGCGCCCAGCCTTGGGGCGGCGACCCTTCCCCTGACGGAACAGTGCTACAGCTGCGGTCTCAGCCACAGCAGCAAAACCGTCATAGAAGGTGCACTGAGCGGGGGCACAACCCTGGAAGATAGGGGCTGGCACAGTACCGCTGGTCTGGGCGATAGAGCGCTGGCGGGTCTCTATGGCAGACAGGGTGTCGACAAAGTCAGTGAGGGTGAGGTCACCGAGGTGGATGCTAAGAAAGCGGTCGCGGGCAGTAGCAAGACGGTCAGGGAGACGGGTGGCAAGTAGGTAGAGGGTAGAGCAGAGGGGCGGCTGAAAGGCTCTAAGCTGGATCTCAGTGCAGGCAGAGCGCCAGGTCACGTCTATCGTGCGCAGGTGAGCGGCTAGGTCAGCGACAGTAGTGAAAGATGCAAGGTCAGAGAAGAGCATCGGTAGGATCGGGCGACCTACAGAGGCAGCGGGCGGGGTGGAATAACGCTTGACAACGGCATCTATGAATTCCTGCGCAGTCGTGACTGGCCGAAAGCGGGGGCGCTCAGACAGGGGGAGGGCATGACTGATCGCAAGCTGCGCGACGGTGTCACGCGACAACCAGACTGAGCGGGCAAGGGCAGCAGCTGCAGCGGACTCACGGTCAGCGGACGAGGGGTCAGTGGGCATGGGAGCAGGGGGGTCAGGGCAGGGAAGCGTACCGTCAAGGTGGACAGCCAGGGAGTGGCCGTCCTGCCGCTGACCAGTGAGATGACTGCGGAGGTCGACCAGCCACGTGTTAAACTCAAGCGGCTGACCCTATGCGTCGAAGCGGAGCACGGAGTCCGCCATCAGGAGCGATGCAGCAGCGGAGCAGTGCGATGCAGTGCGGCGCAGAGCAGTGCTGTGCGGTGCAGTTCGGTGCAGAGCGGTGCTGTGCGGTGCAGTGCGATGAAGAGTGGTGTAGTGTGGTGCAGTGTGGCGCTGTGCGGTGCAGTGCGGTGCGGCCGGCGGCGGGCCGGCTGACGAGGAATGGGCGCGGGACCGGTCAGGAACAGGCCCGGGGCCGACGAGGGGGGGCTGGCATGTCGCCGATCAGGAATGGGCGCGAGGGCCGGCTAGGAACGGGCGCGGAGGCCAGCTAGGAACGGGTCAAGGGGCCGGCTAGGAACGGGCGCGGGGCCGACTAGGGCGAGCGCGAGGGCCGGCTAGGAACGGGCGCGGAGGCGGCTAGGAACGGGCGCGCGGGGCCAGCTAGGAGCGGGCGCGAGGGGCCAGCTGGAACGGGCGCGAGGGCCGGCTGGAACGGGCGCGCGGGGCCAGCTAGAAGCGGGCGCGAGGGGCCAGCTGGAACGGGAGCGAGGGCCGGCTGGAACGGGCGCGAGGGCCAGCTAGGAGCGGGAGGGGCCAGCTGGAACGGGCGCGAGGGCCGGCAGGAATGGGCGCTAGGGGCTGGCGAGGAACGGGCGCAAGGGCTGGCTGGGACGGGCGCGAGGGGCTGGCTGGAACGGGCGCTAGGGGGCCGGCGCGGAACGGGCTCAAGGGCCGGCTGGAACGGGCGCAAGGGGCCGGCTGGAACGGGCGCAAGGGGCCGGCTGGAACGGGCGCTAGGGGGGCCGGCTAGAACGGGCGCCAGGGCCGGCTGGAACGGGCGCTAGGGGGCGGCAGGAACGGGCGCTAGGGGCCTGCTAGAACGGGCGCAAGGGCCGGCGCGGCTGGGGGGGGGGGGAGAGAACGGGCGGCTAGGACCTAGGACGGAAGCGTGGGCGGGCGGTGGGACCTACCTACTCATGATACCATATCAGAATGGAATGATTGACTAGAAGGCATGAGTACAAGGATATATGACCTAAGGGCTGTACTCTATAAGGCACAAACCTATACAGTCTATGCAAACATAACAATAGATATGTTTGACACAGTGGTTCTTGCTTTCTTTCACTCTACGCTAGTAGAAAGCGCAAGAAGTGCTCCTATCCTATGGACACAACACAATGCTATCACCAGCAGCGCCAGCACCACCACCAGCATCAGATACACCAGCAGCAGAAGGTCCAGCAGGCATTAGGGTTTAGGATTAGGGAGGGATACACAATGCAAGGTGTCCGGTATGGGTAATCGTTCTCAGGCATACATAAGCTGAAAAGCGCAAGTACCGCATACCGGTAAGCCCATGCATGACCTTCACTGAGTTCGCAGAGTAACCGATGCCAACTGAGGAAAACCCTTCAGGCTCTACTCAAAGCAAAGCACGCCCTCCATTGTAAAAAAGAAGAGGGCGCACTGTACTAGAAAAAGACCCCTCACCCACCCCCCACAAAAGGCAATCCCCATTCTCAGCCCTATCAACCCGAAACCTCTACTTTTGTCATCCACTATCCCCAGGCCAGACCCCATATTCCCCATCCCCAAAACTACCACATCACCCGATTCCCACACCTTCTATGCCCACCGCGGCACCGCCTACATCTGGACTGCACATGCTGCCTGTGCTACAGCGCACGGACCAATCATGTGGCGCCACGTGCCTCCCGGCGCGTGGCGTCGTGTAGAATGTCCACATCTACACCGTCTGGTGGCAGCAGCACATAGCGCACCACCGACCCTCGGATGAAACAGTTCTTTACTGAGAGCTGCGAGGTGGGAGCGAGGGGAGTGAGTAACCAGGGAAATCCCAGAGTGGATATGGGAGGGAAGTTAAGACCCTTAACCTTTGCGAGGGGCATGGTGGCAGACGCACATAGCGCGCCACTGACCCCCAGATGAAACAGTTCTTCACTGATCGCTGCGAGGGGGCAAAAGGGAGGGAGAAGTGAACAATGGGTTGTTATGGTTTATCTCTGGCGGAAATAGACCCTAAACTCTAGGGGGGCTGGTGGTAGCAGCACGGACCACAGTACTAACACTCGGATGAAGCAGGGTGGGGGGAGGGAGATGGGAGGAAGGACGGGTAAGGGGTGATGGGTTGATATGAATCACGTCATAAGAGGGTAGTGAAGGTGGAGGCCCAAGACGAGGGGTTGGAGGTAGGGGGACTGTCTAGTCTAGAAGCTGCACGGGAGGAGAGGGAGGGGAGGAGAAGGGGAGGATACGGGAGCTAGGTGTAAGAGGGAAATGAAGGGTGGGGGGAGGGACGAGAGGGACGGAGAGGAGGGAGGCATGGGAGAGCCACGGATGCAGGGAGAGAAGGGCATTTGACAGGAAGCAAGGTGAACCGATGAAAGAAAACGTGGCGGGGTAGTTGTGGGGGGGGGGGAGGGAGGAGAGAGAGGGGATTAAGCGTAGGAATTGACGTCCGACAGCCGACGCCCGACAGCCGACGTCCGACAGCCAACGCCCAACAGCCGACGCCCGACAGCCGACGCCCGACAGCCGACGCCCGGTAGCCGACGCCTGGCATTCGACGTCCGACAGCTGACGCTGGACAGCCGACACCCCAAGGTGCAAAAAAACGGTCGTTTTTTTTTTTTTTTTTTTTTTTTTGCCGTATAAAACGGACCGTATAATACGAAAACCGTATTTTTCCACCTTGCGACGCCCGACAGCCTACGTCCGACAGAGGACGCCCGACAGCCGACAACCGACAGCCGACGTCCGACAGCTGACAACAACCGACAGCCGATGCCCGACAGTCGACCCCCGACAGCCGATGCCCGACAGCCGATGCCCGACAGTCGGCCCCCGACAGCCGACGTCCGACAGCCGACGCCCGACAGACGACGTCCGGCAGCCGACAACCGACAGCCCTACAGCTGACGCCTGACAGCCTACGACCGACAGCTAACGCCCTACAGCCGACGCCTGACAGCCGACAACCGACAACCGACGCCCGACAACCGACAACCGACAGCCGACGCCCGACAGCCGACGCCCGCCAGCCGACGCCCGACAGCCGACAACGGACAGCCGACAACCGACAGCCGACGCCTGACAGCAGACGCCTGACAGCCGACGCCCGGCAGCCGACGCCCGGCAGCCGACGCCTGACAGTCGACGTCCGACAGCCGACGCCCGACAGCCTACGTCCGACAGAGGTTGCCCGACAGCCGACAACCAACAGCCGACGTCCGACAGCTGACAACAACCGACAGCCGATCCCCGACAGCCGACCCCCGACAGCCGACGCCCTCCAGCCGATGCCCGACAGCCGACCCCCGACAGCCGACGCCCGACAGACGACGCCGGGCAGCTGACAACCGACAGCCCTACAGCTGACGCCTGACAGCCTACGACCTACAGCCAACGCCCTACAGCCGACGCCTGACAGCCGACAACCGACAGCCGATGCCCGACAGCCGACAACCGACAGCCGACGCCCGACAGCCGACGCCCGCAAGCCGACGCCGGCCAGCCGACAACCGACAGCCGACGCCCGACAGCAGACGCCCGACGGCCGACGCCCGGCAGCCAACGCCCGGCAGCCGACGCCTGACAGCCGACGCCCGACAGCCGACGCCCGACAGCCGACGCCTGACAGCCTACGTCCGACAGAGGACGCCCGACAGCCGACGCCCGACAGCCGACGCCCGACAGCCTACCTCCGACAGAGGACGCCCGACAGCCGACAACCGACAGCCGACTTCCGACGGCTGACAACAGCCGACAGCCGATGCCCGACAGCTGACCCCCGACAGCCGACGCCTGACAGCCGATGCCCGACAGCCGACCCCTGACAGCCGACGTCCGACAGACGATGCCCGACAGACGACGCCCGGCAGCCCACAACCGACAGCCAACGTCCGACAGCCGACAACGGACAGCCCACAACCGACAGCCGACGCCCGCCAGCCGACGCCCGACAGCCGACAACGGACAGCCAACAACCACCAGCCGACGCCCGACAGCCGACGCCCAACAGCCGACGCCCGGCAGCCGACGCCCGGCAGCCAACGCCTGACAGTCGATGCCCGACAGCCGACGCCCGACAGCGTACGTCCGACAAAGGACGCCCGACAGCTGACAACCGACAGCTAACGTCCGACAGCCAACAACCGGCAGCCGATGCCCGACAGCCGACCCCGGACAGCCGGCGCCCGACAGCCGATGCACAACAGCCGACAACCGACAGCCGACGTCCGACAGCCGACGCCCGACAGACGACGCCCGGCAGCCCACAACCGACAGATAAAGCCCGACAGCCGACGCCCGACAGCCGACGCCCGACAGCCTACGTCTGACAGAGGACACCCGACAGCCAACAACCGACAGCCGACGTCCAACAGCCGACAACCGACAGCCGATGCCCGACAGACAGCCGACCCCCGACAGCCGACGCCCGACAGCCGACAACCGACAGCCGACGTCCGACAGCCGACGCCCGGCAGCCCACAACTGACAGCCGACAACCAACAGCCGACAACCGACAGCCGACGTCCGACAGCCGACGCCCGGCAGCCCACAACCGACAGCCGACAACCGACAGCCGACGCCCGACAGCCGACGTCTGACAGCTGACAACTGACAGCCGACGCCCGACGGCCGACGCTGCAGCTCTGAACTCACCATGTGCGGGTACTTGGCGTCCTTGACACCTCGCGAGTTGTGCAGCTTGATGCTGAGGTACTGGTGCACCTAGTGCAGCGGGTGAGCAGAGAGACCACAACAGAACACCCTCCTGAGCACTCACCATGTGCGGGTATTTGCATCGTTCACGACCCTGGAGTTGTGCAGCTTGATGTTGAGGTACCGGTCCACAGAGTGCAGCGGGAGAGAGGACGAAGGAGGTTGCCTCAGCCCAGCCTGCAGCTCTGGACTCACCATATGCGGGTATTTCGCATCATTGACCACGCGCGAGTTGTGCAGCTTGATGTTGAGGTACTGGTCCACGGAGTGCAGCGTGCCGCTGATGGCCAGGTCGTTCTTCAGCTCCACCGTCACCTCCTTGCCGATCAGCTCCTTGAAGTACGAAAAGAACAGCTGGGGGTAGAGGGGAGGTGGTGGGGTGCATAAGGTGGGGGGTGTTAGACAGGGAGGTGGACAGGGGGTGCATAAGCGGACAGCCTGTTCTTATCTCCACACCACGGTCACCTCCTTGCCGATCAGCTCCTTGAAGCTCGAGAAGAACAGCTGGGGAAAGAGGGGGAGAGGCGGGGGAGGGGAGTGAGGAGTGCGTAAGGGTTGGCGGAAAGGAAACGGGGCAAGTGTGGATGGACATATTGTGCAATGGATTGAGAAAGCGGCTGGCCTGTCACCTCCTTGCCGATCAGCTCCTTGAAGCTCGAAAAGAACAGCTGATAGGGCCGGGGGGAAAGAGGGGGGGGGGGGGGGGGGGGGGGGGAGGCGGGGGGAGAGGTGTCGCAGAAGAAGAAGATGGCAAGGGTGGATGGTGAGCGAGAGGGCTCGATACGCGGACAGGCTGTTTCCAGCTCCACTGTTGCCCTCCTGCCGATCAGCTGCTTCAAATTCGGAAAGAACAGCCGTGGGGGGTTGGGGGGCAGGGGGCGGGGGGGGAGAAGAGACAGGGGGTGTGGAGAGGGGCTGAAGGGGATGGTGCAGAGGGAAGGGAGGGGTGGACGGGCAGGGAATGGCATGAGTCTGCTTTTGAGTCGCCTCAAAAGGGGATGGTGCAGAGGGAAGGCGGGGGTGGGTGGACAGGCAGGGAATGGCATGATATGAAGAAGCCAGATGCCAAAAGGTTTTCCTTGCGGATAGCTAGCCAGGGGTGGATTGGATTGCAGATGGCAATGCGCGTATCCTCCTCATGCTTGTATCACGTCTGCTCTGCTCTGCTCCCTGTCCCCTCGCTCAACACCGCGCATTGCCCCATTGCGCGCCGACACAGAGCGTCCATGCGCGCATGGCCATGTCACCAGCGGTCGCCGGCTGCACCCGCACCGTTTACCGGCTGATCGCTCTAGCACGGCCGCGGGCCTAACCTATCCCGTGCTCAACAGCGCAAAATGACGCACTGACACGTGTCCATGGCCGCACCGTCCACGTGTCAAGCCAAGCACAGGACGACGGTTTCCCATTCCCTCCCAATTCCCGCACCCCGGTTTTCCCTTGCACCCCTTTCTCGTCCCAAATTCCCGCCCCAACTCCCGTCTCCCTCCGCGGTTCTCGGCGGCGATCAACGGTGCGATCGGCGTTGCGGGTGTGACTCGACCAATATGACTCGAACAATATAGCGTTCGTTGAAGTTGAACTAGCGGCACAGCGAAACTCGCACGGTGCCAAAATCGGGAGGGTTGCCGGTGCGAGGGTCGAAGACAAGCGAGAAACGCGGAAAGCGGTGCCTAGATGAGCAATTACGGAGGCGATACCGAGAGAAGCAACTGTTAGGGTTTCGTTGTGGGCCCAACTCACGTGCCTAAGACCTAAGTAGGTAGATCCTGACTAAGGGACGCTAAATAGCTTACCATGATCCCGCGACGCGGAACGAGGGGACGAGGGGAGTCGAGAAGGAAACTTTAGAAGCAGCGGCCGGTGCAACGAGGCGGGACGAGTCGTGTTAGGGACGAGAAAAAACCTCCTCGTTGACCAGAAAGACACGTATGTATAATGGCTGCGGACAGCGACGATTGCGGTAGATCGAATATGAGTGACTCGATCCCGAGAGATGAAGGTGAGGAGGTGAATGGAGGCGAGGGCGGCTGGTCTGGTGCCAAAAAGCTCTAGTGAGTGGGTTTTCGGAAGAACCGATGTAACATTTGAATTTAGTCATGAAGATGATACATTAGAACTGCTGTACAGAGCTGAACAACAACAAATGCACGGAAATGGAAAACTGGTTGGCTATAACGAATCTGTGCGAATATCTCACATGTACAAACAATATCACTGATTGATCTTACGGTTGTATAGGCTCTTACTACTACTGCCTAGTCAAAGCCCAGTTGTCAAATGGACATGTGAAAGGTATGGCATGGCCTGCCCCCCCAGTAAACGCGACCTACACCAGGCAGTTAGCCCAGCCTGCGTTGAACCAACCCGACTTGGGAGTTACCACACCACACAATGAACCAATCTTGGGATATTGCTACGGCAATGTCATGACGAACCTGCGGCGATACAGAACCAGAAGACAAGAGATGCACGAGCATAGAGCACCCGAACCTGGCAGAGGGAAGGAAGGAAGAGGGGAGAGAGGCGTGGAGAAGCGAATAGCGGTGAAGATAGCACAGCAGGTAGAATGTTGGAGGAAGAAGGGTGGAGAGCAATTCGTTGGCAAAATGACAGGCGGACAGACAGTTGAACAGGCAGCAACACAGCATGATGGGGCACCATAATAGTTGAAGCACACACCACACAAGCCATGCAGATCCATAACATTCCAACCACACATCCCCTCCAGAGACATACCTCTTTAAGAGCCATACCCCCGCATGTGTGCACGGCGCTCCCTCCCCCCACAATGCTCGTCTCTACCACCTTCACCCCTGCAGCCTTCGCCCCCTTGCCCCTCGCTCCCCCACATGCTGCCATCACAGGAAGGGCTCGCGGCGCCGCCACTGCTGCTGCTGACGGTGCTGATGGTGCTGACGGTGCTGCTGCTGCTACGGTTGGTTCTGCTGCTTCCCCAGCATCCCCCATGCGCCCTTCAGCACCGCTCTGCACTCCACCCAACAACCTGTCCCCCACCCAACCACTCTCCCCCTCAGACTCCCATCCCACCTTTTGCCTCTTCCTACTAGCCACTACAACACCCATTCTCCCCTCTACTCCCACCTCACCCAACCGCTCCCCTTCCTTGTGCAACTGCTGCTGCTGCTGAAACTCCTTATGTGCAAGCGCATGTGCGTGCGAGCCGGGGTGGCAGTTGGCAGAGGAGAGAATCGGGAAGAAGAGATGCGAGAGGGGGTGCACAGCGCACTCTATGGCACACCTGTCCACCACCAGCCGCCCCTGCCGGTGCAGCAGGCAGTGCCCATAACCGGACCGCACTGTTACGTTTGTTACCAGCGCTGATGCTGAGAAGTCCAACGCGCTGCCATGGGACAGGGGAAAGGGACAAACCACACAGGGGGGCTTAAAAAAAAAAAAAAAAAACTGGGCATGTGCAGCTAAAAGGATGGGGGAAACCGCAGAAGAAGGGGGAGAGAAGGCGCGTAGGGGTGAGCCCTGAGCTAAACAGGACACTTTCTGACGATTCCAATCGCCCTTCCTCCCTCCCTAAGAGCCTGCTCTCACCTCTCGGCCCATCTGGGGCTCTCCAGCACGGTGTCTGCACACGTCATGCCCGCTCCCCGCTGATAGGGGGGGGAAGGCAGGAGAGAGGAGAGGTAAAATGAGACCTGAGAGCTGCCCGCAAGTCGAGACTGGCATGGCATGGTAAGACAGGTGCGGACGGCAGACCATAAACAGCAATGCTCACAACAACACATTATCCCATCTCCCCTCCAATCCCCTCCACTCCCCTCCACCCCTCCACTCTAAGATCCCATCCCCCTTAAATCCATTCCCCCTTTTATCCCCCAGCACCCCTGCGATTTTCCCCCCATCATTCCCCGATCCTCCTCCGATTCCCCTTCTCCCCATCCCATCCCCCCCTTCTCACCCACCAGGCACAGCGGCTTGTCCACGGCCACACTCTCCACAGCGTGCACGGCGCCCGCTGCCAGCAGAATGGTGTCACCGGGGCTGGAGGGGGCGGGGTGACGTGTGGGGGGGAATGTGGGTTGTTATGAGACAGGAGCGCAGACTAGCCCAGTGGAGAGTACCCTAATATCCGAACAACGGATTGCTAGTACCCTAGTATCCTAGTGACGTCCTAACAGCACCTAGAAACCACGCACCGTGCAGCCCGGACAGCAAGTGCCAGTGACGGGAAGACACGTGGCAGCATGCTGTCGACTTCGTCGTCCGCCTCCCCGCGCAGAGGCGGGGGAAGGGCGGGCGCATGCGGGGTCACTGAGGGCGGAGGAGGGGGAAAGGCGGAGGGGAGGCTTGCGCGGAGGGGGAGCGGCGAGAGAGCGGAACCGAGGGAGCGGCGCAGGTGGTGACGTGGCGCGGAGAATCGGCGGGAGAAGCGGAGCGGGTCGACGTGGATCCACATGCGACGATCGGCGGCTAGATGCTGCCATCTGCGGCACACCCGGCCCACGTGGAACCGATCTGCGCGGAATACGGGAGGAGATATGGGAGACGCCATCTCGACGATGAGAGGGAGGAGAGAGACGACGCGAGCAAAGAAGCGACGCTGGCGCGGAATCAGCACCTACGGCGCCTCGATGTTGCCTCAGCAAGCGCGCGGAATAAAATCCAGTATTCTGTTGCGATCTCTGATTTCCGAAGAGTCACCTGGCAGCGGGGAGAGGAAGGAGAAGACGAGCAGCAGGCACGCGTCGTCGAGGCAATCCATGGTCGTTGCGCGGCACCCTCCGCCAGCCCCGCCCGCTGCTGCCGCGGACGCGGAAGGCTTCCGCTCACCACCCGCAACACTTGCGCCTTCAGGCGCAGGTTCCGCCAGCGTGCATACTTCGCCGTGCGCGGGAGAATCGTGGGGCCGATTATCCATGCCGCGACGCACTAAGGCGAGATACCGACCAGTGACGAAAGAGGAAGTGCGCAAAGATAAGCGATTGGGATAAATCACGCTTTATGGGATTTGAGGGGAAGGCGAGAAATGGCATGAGGGGCAGGTGAGCTGGGCAGGGCAACGGGCATGACAAAATGTCAAGGGAAGTACACATGAAGTCCTTTTCAGGCCCAGTTCTTATTCGGGCGGGTGCTCCAAAATCGAGGACATAACTTTCACGGGCGAATTGGGCCAATACAAGTCATATTCTAACACAATCTCCAGGAAAGTTGGAAATTGCACCAATAATTCAGACCCGTACGCCAGGGGCGAATGTGCCCTTATCGTTCCCCAAAATATAGGGTCCGTGTCCGTTCTGTACTGTGCATGGGCGGCCTCCGTGTCGGATGCGGCGACGGTCCCGAAAAGTACTTGTCGCACAGTTTTCGCAAGGCGTGTCAAAGCGCCGTTTCGTTGTCGTGGAAAATATCACATATCGGCTCGCAATCTTCATGTTATGATATAGGAAGTGTCAATGTACTATAACTTGAGAATACAAGGTCGCTATTGCAAAGAAGGCACGAGGTTATATAGGGGTTGGCGTGCTAGGGCGATAACCTCGGAACGTGGGTAGGTTCGGCAATGTGGCGACAGTGCCGGACACGACTCGGGAAAGGGTTGGGGCGACAAATGAGGCCGAACGTGATGAGTCGATCGGAGATGCGAAGGACGGGCGGCGACGTGAGGGCGATCTTTAGTTGGTCGAATGCAGCTTGCTGCTTCTCTCCCCACCAAAAACAATCGTGATCCTTGAGTCGGTCATTTAGCGGGGTAGATAACCCTGCCATATTAGGTATAAATCGGCGGACGTAGTTGACGAAACCCAAAAAACTTTGCAGCTCCTTTATATTGGTTGGCGGCTTCCACTCCTGTATGGTCTTGATTTTCTTGGGGTCGATCTTCACTCCTTTGGTAGAAACGACGTGACAAAAAAACTCCAACTCCTGCTTAAGAAAGTCGCACTTAGACCCTTTCGTAATAAGGCAATTATTGTGCAGCAGCGTGAAGACTGCATCAAGATCCTGTAAGTGCTGCTCCCTGCTGCGGCTGTAGATTAGTATGTCATCGAGGTAGATAATAACGCGTTTATCTACGAGTTCCCTGAAAATTCCGTTCATGGTCATCTGGAAAGTCGAGGGCATGTTCGTGAGGCCAAAAGACATCACGAAGTATTCGTAACTGCCGTAGTGGGTGCGAAATGCAGTCTTGTGACAATCTTCGGCGGCGGCGCGAATTTTATGGTAACCCCATAGCAAGTCGATTTTCGAGAAGAACTTGGCTCCGCAAGTTGGTCGAGTAGTTCGTCGGCTCGCGGGATCGGGTAACGCGAATTGATGGTGATCCTGTTGAGCGCGCAGTAGTCGATGCACATGCGGAATCCTCCATCCTTTTTCGGTGTGAACAGTATCGCGGCGGCGTATGGCGACGTGCTGGGCCGGATAAAGCCCTTCGTCAAAAGGTAATCCAGCTGCTGTTGCAATTCTTCCAGTTCTGGTTGGCTTAGCCGAAATTGTCGCTGTACTGTCGGTTGGGCGACTGGTTCCAGCTCGAAGCGATGGTCTTTTGGTCGGCTCGGCGGAAGTCCAGTGGGCAGGTCGTCCGGGAAAGTCTTGGGGTATTTTCGAATCAGGTCCGCTAAATCCAGAGGAACGGCTTCGCACAGCTTCGCGATATCTTCGGCTGTCATTGTCGACGTCATCTCGCGAAGATCAACGGCGCACGCTGCAGCTCCTACTTTTATCGCGCGCTTGAAAATTATCGCATGGACTTGGGTGCATCGCATGCGAGGCCCCGTCCATTTCGGTAGCTCGCGGGGGATCCCATCGAGTTTTATGCTGCAGTCGCCCGTCGTCTAGTCGATCTTCGGGTTGTACTGTCGCAGCCAATCCCGTCCCAGCAGCACGTCGCACCCGTCGAGTGTAGTCACCAGCAGCCCCATCTGAAATTTTACGTGCTCCCTGCAATGAAAACTGACGTTCTCCACTCGCTCCCTTATAGCCAGGGGTGTTCCATCCACCAGTCGGGCGTCAATTTCGGGTAGACACTTGAGTAAGGGAATACCCAAATTTTTAGCCCTGTCCAGCTGTATGAGACTGTGACTCGCGCCTCCATCTACGAAAATCTTCAGCAACACTCCGTTGACTTTACCCTCCACCAATACAGGGTGATCAGCAGTTTCGTCCCCCTTATTCGTCCAGGTCCGGTCGATCGCAGCAATCGGGATCACGACCCGGTGGGGACTGTGTGGCTCGGGCGAAGAAGCCTGCTCGTCAGTAAGGGGCCCAGTACTTACTGACGCGACCCATTTCCCAGTCGCTCCTCCGGCTTCTTCCCCATAGAATTCTGGAGGGCTATGAATTCTTGGCAGTTGCATCAGATGTGACCCGGTCGGCCACAGTGGTAGCATAGCCCTGTATATCGCAGAGCAACTGCGTAAATATCCAATGCGTCCATCCCTTTTATCATGGCGCGCTGGTACTGTTCTCGAGGGCGACCTCGTCGTAGAAGTTCGTCCTCGGCTTCGTGAGCGAATCAGCGGCTTCGGCGAGCTGGATGAAGTCTTGTAACTGCTTTGCAGGGCGTTGCAGTTTTATCTGGTACTATATTTCAGGCTTCAGCCCGCCCATATACCTGTCGACCTTCTCCAACTCGTGCATGTAGCCACATCTGTCCACCAACGTCAAGAATGACGCGGTGTACTCGGACACGGATCCCAGCTGCTTCTACATGCGTAGAGTCTCGCGCGCTTTGTCTGAGTCAGGAGCATGCTAAAACCGCTTGCGAAGCTCTGCGCACCACGTTGCCCACGTGCGAATGTGGGTCGCACCAAACAGCAATTCTGCCTCGACTTCGTCGCCGAATTCTTCGGACCACTCGTGCTGTCCTTCTGTACGAGTTGCCGCTGATTCGACGATGACCTTCCACAAGTGTAGGGCGGCCCCTTGCAACAGTGTTAGCGCGTGGCTAATCCGCTTCTGATCGTGTCGGATGCCCGCTGCATTAAAATATATATTTATGGCGAATATCCACTGCCGCACCGTCACGCCTTAATTAGCTGGGTCAAAAGGAGCGGGTTGCTGATATCTCACGCCGCCACTTGTCGAGTGCGGGGCTGTTGCCGCTAGTCGTGCCAGCTCCACTGGCGACGGTTGCTGCTCATCCGCCTCGCTTCGTGCATCGTCGCCCGGTTCCTCTTAACGCCTTTCTTGTGCTTGGCGAAGTCGTTGGTTCTCCTCGCGGAGGTTGTTGACGACGCTTGTCAAAATATTCAACTACTCCATTAATGCGTGCAGGTCCACAGTTTCCCAAGCAGAGTTCGCAGCAGTCAAGGTCATCTGTTCCTCAACTTTCGAGTCTACCGGGGCCATGGCGGTCAGGACGGAGCAGAAGCTAGCGCACACGCTGTAATTGTTGACGCAAAAATATTTACGATCGAAGACAACTGCTGTGTAGCCGTGCTAATCCCCTCTGACCACCCTTAACTAATTAAACGGGAAAACGGAAGGTTCCTGGAAAGTTCCAGCTCTGATACCAGCTGTTATGATATAGGAAGTGTCAATGTACTATAACATGAGAATACAAGGTCGCTATTGCAAAGAAGGCACGAGGTTATATAGGGGTTGGCGTGCTAGGGCGATAACCTCAGAACGTGGGTAGGTTCGGCAATGTGGCGACAGTGCCGGACGCGACTCGGGAAAGGGTTTGGCCGATAAATGAGGCCGAACGTGACGAGTCGAGGAGTTCGGGTGTACGCGCTAGCGTACGACTCAATAAGGAATGGAAATTCCTTACACTTCACGACAAAAGAAACACAAAATAGTCATATACTTTCGAAACGATTCATTCTGGACACAACCTTATTTACATGAAGCGCACACAAAACCAACAATACAAAAAACGAGAGTCATCGTTGTGATGTATTTTACCTAGTGTGAGATCCAATAAGATAACAGAAAAAAACGAGGTCATATTGCAACAGCTCTGATGACGGGGCTGTCTAGTGGACATCCCGTCAGAGATTTCTTCGGTTGCTTTGGCACGATACGATTGGGCAATGTGTTAGAATACTCGAATAATTAGAAAAAAGAGAGAACAAGGGAGATATAGGGTAGGAGTTGTACCCTCTAAGAACACACACCTATTCTAGCCTATAACTTCAACATGCAAATGTATGTATAAGTTGACACACCCCCTAGGTTAGATAAGGGGTAGTGCTGAGCAAGAAGCACACAGTTCAGGGTGGCACTACTAGTCCAACCTCTGAGAGAGAGGTCCGAAGCCCAGTTAGCAAGAGTACAAACAAGAAAGGAGCAATCCAGGGCGACACTACTACTCCGGCCACTGGAAGAGAAGCCACAAGGCCAGTCTGAAACATATGTATAAGAGGAGTACACAACCAAGGTCCTAGCAAATGAGAGTCTACACGAACTAGACCAAGCTGCAAACAGTGTCGCTAATGATCTCTAGGCGCAAGCGCCTTAGTAAAGATATCAGCTGTGTTGGCACCAGAGGCCAAGTGAACTACGCGGGCCTGGCGACACTGCTGTAGCTCCCTCAGAAGGAAATACCGCAGCTGGATGTGCTTCGCTCTGCCCTCAAGTCAAGGCTCCTGACACAGAAGGATCATGGCCCTGTTGTCAACGTACAGTACCGGGGCAGAGCTAGGCCTCTCACCTAAGTCGGTGAGCAAGAAGGTCATCCAGCGGAGCTCCTGTGCCGCCATGGCACCCTCGTAGATCTCAGCCTCACAGCTAGAATGGGCAACAGACGAGGAGCGAGTGGACCTCCACGAGATGGCACCTGAACAAAGGCTAAAGCAGTAGCCCTGGGAGGACCTGAGCGTCTCAGCGTCGTCTGCCCACGAAGCGTCTGTGTGCCCAGTAAGGACCATTGGCCTGCGTCCTCCTAGCACTAACCCCAAGCCCGATGTACTTGCTAGATAACGCAAAACCCTCTTAGCGGCAGACCAGTGCTGTGGTCGGTGTCTGCGTGTGGCCACAAAGCGAGACAAGACGTTGAGAGGGTATCCGAGATCTGGATGAGTGCAAGTCATCAGGTACATGAGGCAACCCACTGGCTCTGTGTAAGGACTACTGGGCTCTACTTACTCCTCAAGAACTGGAGCAGGGAGCCTGTAATTTACTAGCAGAGGTGTGGGCTTTGCGAAGGAGAACTGAAGGCCGAACCTCTGAAGGACCTGGCGCACCAAGTGTGACTGTGAGAGAGTGATGGTGCGCGCTGCTGTGTCCCTGGAGATCTGCAGGCAAAGGTAGCGGCGCAACTCTCCTAGGTCAGTGCAGGTGTGTCTCCTCAGCAGCTCGGCCTTCAAAGAGGCCACTGCGTCTCTGTCTGCAGTAGCGAAGACCAGATCGTCTACGCAGACAAGGATGTAGAGTGGAGTCTGGCCAGCACGAACGAAGAGCGAGGGGTCTGCAGGGGATGGAAAGAGTTGCAGGTCAGCAAGCGTAGCATGCAACGTGTCGTGCCACTCACGAGGCGCTTGTCATAGGCCGTAGACCGGGCGCCGGAGGAGCCACTGGGTCCCAGGAGGGAAGGTACCGGTGAAGCCCTGCGGTCGGCATAGGTAGACCTGCTCGTATAGGCTGCCCTAGAGAAACGCTGTGGAGAAGTCAAGCGAGTGTAACTCGTAGTCACGCTGTGCTACTACGTGTAGCAGCGCCCAAAGAGTAGTCACCTTTGGAGTCGGGACGAAGGTCTGAAAGAAGTCCACCCGCTCGCGCTGACTGAAGCCTCTAGCCACGTAGTGCGCCTTGAGCAGAGGGGGCTCTCCGGGGGGGCGCTTCACCTTAAAGAGCCAGCGGGCATTGACTACGTTCACCCCAGGTGGGGGAACTGCATCGACGTAGGTGCCGGTGGATCTCCAAGATGCCATCTCCTGCTCCATGGCAGCTATCCACTGTGAGGCCCAGGGTCCCGAGGTCCCCTCAGCGTAAGTGCGAGGGGTCGGGATGTCAAAGGCGTTTGGGTCACTCTCAGGGACTAGCAGCATGGAACAGAGATGGGGAGCAGCCTCAGACAAGAGAGCAAGCTCGTATTGTCTGTCCTCTAGGACGTCACTGCCAAGGGCAGACACACCCCCGACGGACGGAGGACAGACAGGGTCAGAGACCAGAGCGGTGGCGTAATCAAGGCGGCGGGTAGAGGTGAAGTCAGCGACAGCGGCGACAAGAGCGCCAAGACGGGAAACAGGGGTAGACGGGTCGGTAATGAGGGAGGCAAGGACCTAAGGAACAAGGGGACGAGCGATACAAAGGTAGTCAGACAGAGGGGGAGGCACGGCAGCGAGTGACGATGGAGGAGGCGAAGGTAGGAGAGGAGGACGAGACGCGTGGGAACGAAGCAACATAGGGTGAAAATGCTGAACAGGAGAAACAGGACGAGCACGAGAGGGACGGCGAGACCAGACGTGAGACGGAGGCGTTGGGTCAGGGGACAGAGGAGGAGAGACACAAGGGGAACGAGGGGGAAGACGCGTTGGAGACAAGTCTAGTAGAGGAAACACAGGACCGTAGACAGGAAAAGGAGGAGGCGGCGGGGGAGGGGTAGGCGAGCGGTCAGGGGAGGGAAGGTCGAGAAGGCGAAGGGCGGACACTGGCGGCGACTGCTGCTCGACGCCGACACCTGAGCCGCCAGCTGCACCACGGCTACCTCCTGAACACTCCACTCCAGCACCCCCAGAAAGGGCACCCCCAGAGCGAGAACTCTCTCCAGCACCGGTGCCACCCCCAGGCTCGCCGGGACAAGCCGCGACATGAACCCCAGGACTAGCACCTTCCTCAGTGCTAGCACCCTCAGAGTCCACGAACGGCTGCTGCTGCTGCTGCTGCGGCGGCAGCGGCGGCTACGGCTGCGGGCTGTATCCGCCCCCTCGCGCCGTAGCCGACCCCTTGCGCCTAGTCGGCCCCTTCGCGCCCAGCCGGCCCCTCTCGCGCCGTATCCCGCCCCTTGCGTCTAGCCGGCCCCTCGCACTTAGCCGGCCCCTCTCGCGCCGTAGCCAGCCCCTCGCGCTTAGCCGGCCCCCTCTCGCGCCGTAGCTGGCCCTTCGCGCCTAGCCGGCCCCTCGCGCCTATCCGGCCCCTTGCGCCTAACCGGTCCCTCTCGCCTAGCCGGCCCCTCTCACCCAGCAGGCCCCTCACGCCTAGCCGGCCCCTACCGCCTAGCATGCCCCTCCTGCGCACCGCCGGCCCCACGCGCCTTGCCGGCTCCTCTCTACGCGCCGGCCTTCCCGCACCTGCCCGGCCTCTCGCGCGCCTGGCCGGCCCCTCGTGCGCCTCGGCCCCTTGCGCTTCCGCAGGCCACTCACGCACTCATCGGCGGTGGGCGGTGGGCGGTGGGCGGTGGGCGGTGGGCGGTGGGCGGTGGGCGGTGGGCGGTGGGCGGTGGGCGGTGGGCGGTGGGCGGTGGGCGGTGGGCGGTGGGCGGTGGGCGGTGGGCGGTGGGCGGTGGGGGGGGCGGTGGGCGGTGGGCGGTGGGCGGTGGGCGGTGGGGGGGGGGGGCGGTGGGCGGTGGGCGGTGGGCGGTGGGCGGTGGGCGGTGGGCGGTGGGCGGTGGGGGGGGCGGTGGGCGGTGGGCGGTGGGCGGTGGGCGGTGGGCGGTGGGGGGGGGGGGGGGGGGGGGGGGCGGTGGGCGGTGGGCGGTGGGCGGTGGGCGGGGGGGGGGGGGGGGGGGGGGGGGGGGGGGGGGCGGTGGGCGGTGGGCGGTGGGCGGTGGGCGGTGGGCGGTGGGCGGTGGGCGGTGGGCGGTGGGCGGTGGGCGGTGGGGGGGGGTGGGCGGTGGGCGGTGGGCGGTGGGCGGTGGGCGGTGGGCGGTGGGCGGTGGGCGGTGGGCGGTGGGCGGTGGCGGTGGGCGGTGGGCGGTGGGGCGGTGGGCGGTGGGGCGGTGGGCGGTGGGCGGTGGGCGGTGGGCGGTGGGCGGTGGGCGGTGGGCGGTGGGGCGGTGGGCGGTGGGCGGTGGGCGGTGGGCGGTGGGCGGTGGGCGGTGGGCGGTGGGCGGTGGGGGGGGGGGGGGGGGGGGGGGGGGGGGTGGGCGGTGGGCGGTGGGCGGTGGGCGGTGGGCGGTGGGCGGTGGGCGGTGGGCGGTGGGCGGTGGGCGGTGGGCGGTGGGCGGTGGGCGGGGGGGTGGGCGGTGGGCGGTGGGCGGTGGGCGGTGGGCGGTGGGCGGTGGCGGTGGGCGGTGGGCGGTGGGCGGTGGGCGGTGGGGGGGCGGTGGGCGGTGGGCGGTGGGCGGTGGGCGGTGGGGTGGGCGGTGGGCGGTGGGCGGTGGGCGGTGGGCGGTGGGCGGTGGGCGGTGGGCGGTGGGCGGTGGGCGGTGGGCGGTGGGCGGTGGGCGGGGGCGGTGGGCGGTGGGCGGTGGGCGGTGGGCGGTGGGCGGTGGGCGGTGGGCGGTGGGCGGTGGGCGGTGGGCGGTGGGCGGTGGGCGGTGGGCGGTGGGCGGTGGGCGGTGGGCGGTGGGATTTGAACCCCAGACCTCTCTCTTCAAGGGTTTTTTTATAACCCACTACGACACTAGGTTGATGAGAGATTTATAAGGAACATTACACCTTGTGGACTTTCCCCACATTGCAGGAATTCGCGCACCTCTTGACCTTTCCCCATGCACCCCTTGCTGATTTTTCCCGCGCACCTGTCATACGCTTTCTGTTATTGCACTGAGAGACTATTCTACCTATATATCCATCACCGTCACATACATACACACACATGCATGCACATACTCCCAGCCCCTCACATGCAATGTCCTAGTTCAACCTCGTCAGGCCGGCGTAATCATTACGCTCGTCAAAGGGCTGAAGACTTACAGTCACATCGGGAATTACTTGTAATGACTGTTCGGCCTTGATTAAGGGAGTGCCTTCCTTTAGAAGGTGGGAGAGTGTAAGGAATTACCATTCCTTACTGGGGCTCGCCACAACGAGTACACGCGAACAGTTCACGTCCGCAGGCTCGGCCCTCAAGTCACACGCCAAACCAGCCCCCGTCGACCTCGTCAGCCCCAAACTCATCCCGAGTCGCCCCGAACCCACTTTGACTTCGTCACTCTCGGGACTATCGAGCCCTTGATTGGTCCAACCCTCGACATTCAACCTGGTCAACTCGCACTATATAAGCCCTAGGCCTCATTTCTATCAGAACGCTACAATCACGTTCCCCTTATAGTATTTTGCGCTATACTCTGAATTAAAATTCATAACAACCTTGCTCATTTGTAACGAACGTGTGTAACACAATCATATATACAGCCATATCACCCTAACAGCAGCATTTGGCAGCCAGGGAGGGCGGAACGCCTGATGGGCAGACGAGGGGAGCGAGTGGGCGTTAGTAGCAGCGTGCACAGGATGGAGGTTGTTGGCACCGCTGCGATACAATGGTGGACCTGCTTGTCCCGCTTGTCCCCCCAGCCCCGCTTGTTCCCCCTCTCCCACTTGTCTCTCATTGTTTGGTGCTCTTTGCCCACGTGCTGCTGACTGCTGCAGCTGTGGGGGCTGCGGAGGAGGATGAGGAGCATGGAGCAGAGCCAGCACAGGCTGCTCTTGCCCGGACACATGCACCCGCCCTGCCTGCTGCTGTTCCTCCTGCTGCTGCTGCTGCTGCTGCTGCTGTGCTTGCACCTGCCACTGCTGTTCCAGTTCATGCCCATGCTCCAGCAGCCAATCATCATCATCCACCTCCATTGCTACTTCCTGCTGCTGGTTCTGCTGCTGCTCCCTGCAGTGTCCCCTATTCACCCAGCTGCCACCATCATCGCCACCACCATCAACACCATCATCATCATCATCATCATCATCATCATCATCATCATCATCATCATCATCATCATCATCATCATCATCATCATCATCATCCAAACCCCCTCTCCCAGTAGGGTTACCGGCGATGGTAGTATTACAGACTAGCAGGGCATAGAGTGTGTCTGTGCTGACCCGCAGCTGCTGCCAGATGCCCTCCATCTTCTGCTGTAGCGTCTTATGGTGTGCTAGCTGGGCCCTAGTGGTACCACAAGACAGGCAGAGGGTAGGGGTCTAATCATTGTACGCATCACAGGCAGCAGACACAGATGTACAGAAGTTGACAGCCCAAGCCTCATAGGTGCACCAGAGCCACATTTGCAGTCTTTCAGCAGCTAGGACGGGAGGGACAAGGAGCTTTGAGTGATGCACACCTGAGACCGTCAGACTGATCCTGCAGCTGCTGCTTTTTCTGAATAAAAACCGTGTGATTGGAGTCTAGTTTTAAGGCGCCTCGAATCTAGACAAGAGGGACAAGGAGCTCTGATGCACACCTGAGAGTGTCAGACTGATCCTGCAGCTACTGCTTTTTCATGGTCACCTGGTAGCCAAGGGAGAAGGGAGGGTGGCAGCCCAGGGGGGAAGGTTGAGTGAAGGGAGGTGGAAGCAGAAGGAATGAAAGCACTGGAGGGCAGTGAACGACGTTTTTTGCAGGACGAGTGCTGCACGGCATGCACCAGTGCTGCACAACAAGGGATGGATAGGAGTAGTCGGAGAGGATGAAAATCAGCAACAACTCTAAATAAAAAAAGGCAAGGATTTGAACCCCAGTCCTCTCTCTTCAAGGGTTTTTTTTTTTAACCAACTACGCACTAGGTTGATGAGAGATTCATAAGGAGCACTACACCTCGTGGACTTTCCCCCCATTGCAGGAATTCTTGGCGCACGCCTCTTGACCTTTCCCCATGCACCCCTTGCAGACTTTTCCCGCGCACCTGTCCTACTCTTTCTGTTATGGCCCTGAGAGACTATTCTACCTTTATATCCATTGCTGTCACATACATACAAACACATGCATGCAAGAATGAGTGCTTGAGCGTTGCCCCATGAAAGCACATCTTGAGTTTTTTTCCTGCGACTATACCTATCCCAAAACCTTTTTTTGCGTGGGGAGTTAGTAAATGGGCTGTAGAGCCCAGAGACTACTGCTCAGATCCAAAATCCTAATGGGTAGAAAGTTATGGCATTTCAACATTTTCCCGAAGAATGAGTACTTGAGCGTTGCCCCATGAAAGCACATCTATAGTATTTTTTCAGCTACTAAGCCTATCCCAAGACCATTTTATAGCATGGGGATTTTGTGCATGGGTTGTAGAGCCCAGGGACTACTGCTCAGATCCAAAACACAAATATTTGGGAAGTTATGGCATTTCAACTTTTCCCCCAAGAATGAATGCTTGAGCGTTGCCCCATGAAAGCACAACTTAAGTATTTTTCCAGCGACTATACCTATCCCAAGCCCATTTTCTTGCATAGGGAGTTAGTACATGGGCTGTAGAGCCCAGGGACTACTGCTCAGATCCAAAATCCTAATGGGTAGGAAGATATGGCTTTTCAACGTTTCCCCCAAGAATGAGTACTTGAGCGTTGCCCCATGAAAGCACATCTAGATTTCTTTTCCAGCTACTAAGCCTATACCAAGGCCATTGTTTAGCATGGGGAGTTATTGCATTGGCTGCAGAGCCTAAGGACTACTGCTTAGATCCACAATCCAAATGGGTGGGAAGTTATGACATTTCAACTTTTGCCTCAAGAAGGACTGCTTGAGCGTTGCCCAGTGAAAGCACATCTAGAGTTTTTTTCCAGCTACTATGCTTATCCCTAGCCCATTGTTTTGCATGGGGAGTTAGTGCACGGGCTGTAGAGCCCATGGACTACTGCTCAGATCCAAAATCCTAATGGGTGGGAAGTTATGGCATTTCAACTTTTCCCCCAAGAATGAGTGCTTGAACATTGCCCCATGAAAACACATCTTGAGTTGTTTTCCAGCTACTAAGCCTATCCCAAGCCCAGTGTTTTACATGGGGATCTGGTACATGGGCTGTAGAGCCCAGGTACTACTGCTCAGATCCAAAATCCTAATGGGTGGAAAGTTGTGGCATTTCAACGTTTTCCCCAAGAATGAGTACTTGAGCGTTGCCCCATGAAAGCACATCTAGAGTTTTTTTCCAGCTACTAAGCCTATCCCAAGCCCATAGTTTAGCATGGGGAGTTAGTGCATTGGTTGCAGAGCCCAAGGACTACTGCTCAGGTCCAAAATCCAAATGGGTGGGAAGTTATGACATTTCAGCTTTTGCCCCAAGATTGAGTGCTTGAGCGTTGCCCCATGAAAGCACATCTAGAGTTTTTTTCTGGCTATTAAGCATATCCCAAGCCCATTGTTTTTCATGGGGAATTAGTTCATGGGCTGTAGAGCCCAAGGACTACTGCTCAGATCCAAAATCCTAAAAGGTGGGAAGTTATGTTATTTCAACTTTTGCTCCAAGAAGGAGTGCATGAGCGTTGCCCCATGAAAGCACATCTTGAGCTTTCTTCCAGCGACTATACCTATCCCAAGCCCATTGTTTTGCATGGGGAGTTAGTACATGGGATGTAGAGCCCAAGGACTACTGCTTAGATCCAAAATCTTAATAGGTGGGACGTTATGGCATTTCAATGTTTTCCCCAAGAATGAGTGCTTGAGTGTAGCCCCATGAAAGCACATCTAGAGATTTTTTCCAGCTACTAAGCCTATCCCTAGCCCACTGTTTTGCATGGGGAGTTAGTGCATCGGCTGTAGAGCCCATGGATTACTGCTCATATCCAAAATCCAAATGGGTCGGAAGTTTTGGCAATCCAACTTTTCCCCCAAGAATGAGTGCTTGAGCGTTGCCCCTTGAAAGCACATCTAGAGTTTTTTTCCAGCTACTAAGCCTATCCCAAGCCCATTTTATAGCATGGGGATTTTGTGCATGGGTTGAAGAGCCCATGGACTACTGCTCAGATCCAAAACTCAAATAGTTGGAAAGTTCCCTCTCCTCCTTGCAAGAGCTCGAGATCAAAGCATGCAACAGCCTGGTATCCCTCCCTCACTCACTCCCCCTCCTCCCCTCCCTCCACACACTCGAGCTGATTGCCTGCCTCTCGCTCTCCTCCCTTCCTCCAGACTTCTCCCTGCTGACCTCCCTGCACACCCTCTATCTCTACGACTGCCATGCGCTGTCCCACCTGCCCGCCTCTCTCCCCCTCCTCCCCTCCCTCCGCGCGCTCTCTGTCTACAGCAAAGCCCTTAAGCAGCTGCCCTTGCAATGCCGCACTGGGGAGGAGTGGCAGCAGGAGGGTGGAAGAGGGTTGGACGAGGTTGGAGAAGAAGGCGCATTGGGAAGGGAAGAGGGGGCGGTGCTGGTTGCAGGCAGGGCGAGGGAGGATGCGACAAGTGGTGTCACTGTCACCAGTGTACCTACAGCACCCACTGCTGTACCCAGCGCGCCCTGCAGCGGGGTGGCGCTGCTGTCTCTGCGGCATCTGGTTCTCTCCAGCAGCCAGCACCTATGCCAGCTGCCTTCCGCCCTCACCCTCCTCCTGCACCTCTCCCATCTTTCGATCAAAGACCTCCCTCTCCTCTTCTCCCTCCCTCCGATGATCCTCCTCCTCCCTTCTCTCACACACCTGGAGTTACAGAGCTTGCCCTCTCTTACCCACTTCCCCTCTCCCCCTCTCTCTCTTTTCCCCCTTCCTCCTGCACCTCCTTTCTCCTCCTCCCTGTCGCCCTCTCCATCCTTCCCCTTACCCTATCCTCCATCCTCCAACACCTCCCTTCCCTCGTCTAGGCTCTCTCTCGCCCCTATCCGCTCTCTCTCGGTAAACCACTGCTCAAAACTGCTCTCCCTTCCCGCGTGCCTCCCCCTTCTGCCGCACCTATCCTCTCTCTACCTCTCTCTTCTCCCCGACTTGCTCTCGATCTCCTCCTGCCGCCCTGCTGCTGCTGCTGCTGCTGCTGCTGCTGCTGCTGCTGCTGCTGCAAGCACACATGGGGGGGAGGAGGATGGGGGGCGAGTGAGGGTGGGAGGAGATGGGGAGGGAGGAGGACAACAGGCAGCAGCTCTTCTGGAAGAGGAGTCAAAGGGGGCAGTGCAACAGGAGGGGGGGTCAGAGGCAGCAGGGGGGAGCAACTCGCAACGGGAATCGGCAGGGAATAGAGTGAAGGGGATGTGCAGAAGGGCATGGAGAGTTTGCATCATGAGAAAGAGTGGAGCAACCTGTTGCTGCAGGGACGGCACGCGGAATGGCCGAGGCTTCAGAAGCTGACTCGTCAATTCTGCTACAGCCTGACCAGTATCCCATCCTCGTTGAAGTCTGCTCCACTGCTCCGGGATGTCCATGTGCAAGAGTGCTACGAGTTAGATAGGAAGAGATGACTTTTCCCTAATGCGTTCCCCTCCCTTCCTACCCCTCTCAACCCCTTTCTCCAAGCCATCTCTTCTACTCTACTGTTCTACCCCTCCTCCACCCTTCTCCAACCCTGTTGGTAGGCAGGCTAGATGGATACCTTTTATAGTAACTCTGTAGTGTGTGTCCAAGTTACACTCATGCTTCTCTCTTTGTCTCATTGTATGGTCACAACACAACAATCAAGCAGCACCTGCCCAACCCAACCAAAACCACAGACACTACCGGCTGTATGGGTGGGTTGCAAGATATGATCCCACTAGCACAACCATATTGAGCTCTCGAGTATACTTCACCAAACCATGATTCGACATACCGGTACATATCATGCATCCACCGCCCCAATCATCTGGACACGCGCACCATGCCCTTTCCAATGGGTAACCTAGAGCCTCCCCCAGGGCAGCTGTCTGGTACTAGCCTTGGCACAGGGCTTGCATTGCACCATTGAACTGGTGGGTGCACCCATTGCCCACAATACTCAACCGGGCCGCTCGAGGCTTGAAATCCCCGCCACTGACACACCATTGCAGCAGTCCTGCGCACCCAACCAATGGGTGCACCCACCTGTGCAATGCACACCGGTACTTTAAATTTCTACCCATCCCTCTCGGCGAACCTAGGCGTGGCTTTGTGCTGTTCCGCCAGTCTGAGCACCTCCTGGGCCATGACGTCAGCAGCGTCGGCAGTGGCAGCAGCCTCTGCTCTCTCCCTCATCGTCTCCTGCCTTGTGTCGTCCCCTGCCATGGCCGGAAAAGGAAATGTAGGATGTACACCCATGTATGAAGGAAAGATGGAAAGTGCTAACCGAAGCAAACAAGAGCAGACCACATCACGAACGATAAGCAGCACGCATAATTAACAAAGCAATTAACAAAGCAATCCAGCACACAAAGGACACGGGATACAGTAGGTGGAAGTCAAGGGCATCAGACGCTACCGAGCAGTGAGGTGACAGCCGAGAGGAGGGTGTCTGGGGACAGCTGGGTCTGTGGCAGCATGACGGCTGCTCCCGCACCAACCATGGCACGCGCATTCACCGTCTGATGGTCCTCTGCCACATGTGGTGATGGCACCTAGGGGATGGGATTGAATGCAGAGGTGTGAAAGACGGCATTGCGGGAAGGCAGCAGTGTAACGCGGAGCACAGTCGATGGAGGCAGCATCGCAAGACCAAGCTTTGCTGAAACCAATGCTTGGGGGGGGGGGGAAGAGGGGGGTGGGGGGCAATGACGTGTGGAATGCAGGAGGAGAGGCGGACAGAAGAGAACCCAGCGAAGATCCATGCTTTGTTGCGTTGCTGCATGAATCAGTTCAAACACTAGATTTGACTTTGCACTCAATTGCGTGTGTGCACATGTTTCAGGATTTGCATGTGTGCATGTGTGCATGTGTGCATGTGCGCATGTGTGCATGTGCGCATGTGCGCATGTGGGCATGTGTGCATGTGCGCATGTGGGCATGTGTGCATGTGGGCATGTGTGCATGCGTGCATGTGTGCATGTGGGCATGTGTGCATGTGCGCATGTGTGCATGTGAGCGTGTGCGCGTACCAGGATGCATGGCGTGGCAGTGGCGAGCAGTTCCGAGCACGTGACAGCGCCTGCACGCGCCACCACCACATCCGCTGCTGCATACGCCAGCTCCATTCGATCTATGAAGCTGCCATGGGTGATGGGTCGTCAGGGGCCAAGGGGGGGTTGGGCGGAAGAAGGGGGTTGAGGTGAGGGAAGGAGGAGGCGAGAGGCAAGAGGCGAGGCAACAGGGGTTGAATTTGAGGAGAAACGAAAGGCAGAATGAGGGTGGGTGGTGAGCGGTTATACGGGGTGCGGCATGAGTGCAGCAGTTGAGAGCAGTAAGAGGGGACTTTGGCATGTGGATTGCGCGTGTTATACAACGCAGTCATCACTGAAGGACCAGAGCAACGGAGGGGCGAGACGACGACAAACAGCAGAGAGCAACAGCGTGAGAAAGCAGGTGCGGAATGGAAGTGAGGCGGGTCGGTAGGGAGGGCCAGGGGAAAATGGGGAGACAGGGAGCAGGATGGAGGGAGGCGAAACGGTTGAAATAGAGGGAACTGCGGGGGATAGGATCAAGCAAGCGAGCGAGGTAAGCACGAGGAGAGACCTCACGGCATGAGGGAGACGCGGGGATGAGACGCCAGAGGAAGAGCTCTCATCTCCTCCACGTGCCTTGCACCGGCCTGCCATATCACATGCACCTCGCTCTGCCCGCCCCTCTCCCCCCCCTCTCTTCCCTCGCTTCCCTTCCCCCTCTCCCCACCATCCTGCGCACCATCCAGCCCCTCACCACCGCACTCCACACTGCTGCGCCCATCGAGCAGCCGCTGCAGCGCTCCTGCTACTGCTCTATTGACGGGCTCTGCGCCCAGCGAGCCCCCCAGAACCAGCACCACCTGCGCTCTCCGCCCAGGTACTGCTGCTGCTGCTGCCCGGGGGAAGAAGTACTTAATCGCCTCGTCTCGCTTCGCTTCCCCCCCCTCCCTCACCGCTCGCAGCACCGCGCGCGTGGGGTTCCCCGCCACGTGGCAGCGCCTGGTTGGAAAGAACCGCTGGGCGACGGCAAAGGCGACGAAAACGACGGTCGCGAAACGGCCGAGCAGGCGGTTCGCGATTCCCGCGTGCGCGTTCTGCTCCTGAAGCACGAGGGGTACGCGACAGATCACAGCCGCTAGACACGTGGGCGCGGACACGTACCCTCCCGTGCCTACTACGACGTCAGGCTTTAATCGCGAGATTAGGAGAACGCAGAGGAAGAGCGCGTGTAGAAAGCGGATCGGGAGGAGGAGGTTGGTGAGAGAGGCGAGGAGCGGGCGGCGGATACAGACGGCAGGGATTGGATGGATCGGGTAGCCTGCGCGAGGGACAGCCGTCCATTCCATGCGCTCCCTGGTTCCGACGAAGTTGATCTCGGCCGTTGGATCGCGGGATCGGACGGCGTCGGCGACGGCGACGGCCGGGTACACGTGGCCGCCTGTGCCGCCAGCGGCGAAGAGGATCGATACGCGCGAGGGTGAATCTGACGTGGCTGCTGGTGCTACAAGCGAGGGCGATCCTCCCGCAGAGCATGTGACTGTAACGGATGAATACCGTCCGCTACCTCCATTGGTGTTATAGAACCGCTGGCGGCTATCACTGGGACTAGTACTAGCAGCACTCCCGCTAAAAGCACCCCTTTCACCCCACGTAACGCCCACACCTCGGAGCCAGCAGTCACCAGCAGCAGCAGCAGAGTCGATACTACCGCTTCCATTCCCCCTAGCCCGTACGAATTCCGACGATGGTCCGCTTATCCGCGCAAGCACCCCACGACGCCCGCCGCCCTGCCTGCCTCCCGCGCAGCTCCCGCTTCCGCGCAGGCCCGCATCCAATCCCCGCAACAGCGTCGTGCGCGGAGCGGCGGAAGCGGAAGTGGAGGCTGGCGCGGGCAAAAGAGCGCGCATGCGCGGGAACGCCGTCGCGGTGCTTCCGTGAGTGGGGTTCCCGCGAGAGGGGAGGAGCGCTGAGGCGCGAATCATGGCTTCTCTCGCGGGAAGTCCTATGGGGGCATCGACTCGGCGCGTAACCAAGTGGTAGATTCCTGCTCGGCGTTCCTTGCAGGCCTTAGCAGAATCTAGATACACACATGCAGTGCAGTAGTAGATATGGTATTTCTCGACTCCAGTCCTAGCTGAGTGAGTGCCCCTCAACCGCGTCGCGGTCAAGACCAGGTCTTCCGCGACCTTCGCGAGTGCATAACGCAGAGGGTTTTGCAGTTCATGGAAAATCGCTGCAGTACATTAGCAAATTGTAACAATCATCCCAATTATCCCATGTTATGAATGGAACTTACTAGTAGCGCGGAGGGCAATGGCGAAACTGTGAACGAGTAAATGACAATACAATGAAAGACAATACAATGTATAAGAAACCTAGGACGATCCTGGACGTAGGCTCTGAAGGTTCGAGAAAAGTGTCGAAGGGCCTCGATGTGTCGAAGCGAGGTCCGGAAAGGCCCAGGAGGCTCGAACTGAAAGGTCTGGAACCCTAACGCTGGTTCGGGACTGTTCGAGTCATACGCCCTGTAGCAAGCCTCAGTAAGGAATTACTAATTCCTTACATCCCACATCAAGTAACCAATAAATCCAACCTAGAGGCTTTCCCAAGTGGCCCACATATCATGTCCATTCACCTTCAAATCCAACTAAATTCCGCTCATGAGGCAGACTCAATCCACCAACCACGTGTGAAATGCCTAGCTTGTCGTACAGAAAGTGCACGGGAGGGACTGTTTGAGAGAATCCAACCCTCCACCTTATTGGTCTACCTGACTACCACAGTCATTGTTCCCCTTCCAGCCGAATACAATCCCGCCCACACCTGTGTGTCCCGTAGCGTGGATCCATGCATACTGTAACGAGGGTGGAAGGTAAGCCAGGCTAAAACAGCTTTGTGAGATGTCTTGAATCTACGACCACCTCCCACGTTCCCCCTCCAGCCGAATACAATCCCGCACCTGTGCCTCACGAAGCATGGGTGCAAACTGCAGCGTGGGTGGAAGGTAGACCAAGCTGTAACAGCTGTTCAGAGTCAGCTTTTGCAGGCAGGCCCACTCGACACACTCCCCATGCCGCAAGACATAGCGCCAGTCCCCCTCATTCCGCAACTCAGTGTTGTCCTTCCGCAACGCCACATCATCTTCCCCCGCCTCTTCCTCTTCCCATTCCTCTTCCCCTTCCTCTTCCCATTCCTCTTCCCATTCCTCTTCCCATGCCTCTTCGCCTTCCTTCTCCTCTGCACCTTCCTTCTCCTCTTTGCCTTCCTTCTCCTCTTCGCCTTCCTTCTCCTCTTTGCCTTCCTTCTCCTCTTCACCTTGCCCTTCCTCTTCCACCATCACCCCAGCTTGCCTACCCTTAGATGCTTTCCCCACATGCTCTCCACCCTCATGCATGTCTATCTCCTCTAGCCCTTCTGCCTGCCCTGCTTCCCCCCCATCTTCTTTGCTTCTCTCACTTCTGCTCGGTTCTGCTCCTTCCTCCCCATCTTCTCTGCTTCTCCCACTCGGTTCTGCTCCATCGTCCCCATCCTTTCCACTTCTCTCGCTTCCGTTCCCTTCTGCTGCATCCTCCTCGTCTCCTCCCTCACTCTCCCATCCCTCGCTCTCGTCATCGCCATCTGCCCCACTATCCCCTAACACAGCAGCAGCAGCACCCCCAGTAGGGCGACACGCGGACGGGATTGAGCGCAAGCTTTGAAGGCCGAACAGATACAGAGACGTGAGATGCGGTAGAAGGGGGAGGCACGAGGGAAGCGAGTGCAGCTTCAAATACCTCAGAACAATAGAGCGTATCGGGTAGGCAGAGTGCATGGAGGGGCGGGACTGAGGCTTGTCATCAGGTGGAGGGAAGGGCCCGGAGGATGATGCTGGAAGGGGCGGCTGGAAGGACAAAGACAGCGTGTGAGACTGGGGGAATGGAGGAATAGGGGGGCAGGGGATGGAGGTGAGAGAGTCAAGGCCGTTCAGCTCAAGGTGTGTGAGCGAAGGGAGGAGGAGGAGGGTCGCAGGGAGGGAGGAGATGGCATGGCAGCTGTCGATCTTGAGTTGCTGGAGGCTGGAGAGGTGGTGGATGTGCGAGGGGAGGGAGGAGAGCAGCGGCAGATGGTTGAGAGTGAGGTGGGAGAGGTGCAGGAGGAGGGTGAGGGCGGGAGGCAGCTGGCATAGGTGCGGGCTGTTGGAAAGAACCAGATGCCGCAGACACAGCAGCGCCACCCCGCTGCAGGGTGCCCTGGGTACAGCAGCGGGTGCCGTAGGTACACTGGTGCCAGTGACACCACTTGTCGAGCCCCCCCCCTCCCTCCCTGCAACCACCACTGCTGCTTCTTTGTTACCCAATGCCCCTTGGGCATCGTCAGCTGGCACACTCCCCACCCCAGTATCACACCCCAAGGGCAATTCCTTGAGGTCTTTGCAGGCGAGAGAGAGGGTGTGGAGGGAGGGGAGGAGGGGGAGAGAGGCGGGCAGGTGGGACAGCGCATGGCAGTCGGAGATAGAGAGGGTGAGCAGGGAGGTTAGTTGGGAGAGATCAGGAGGAAGGGAGGAGAGCGAGGAGCAGGAAGAGAGGTCGAGTGTGCGGAGAGAGGGGAGGAGGGGGAGTGAGCGAGGGAGGGAGGAGAGACCCTTGCATCCTTTAATCTTGAGCTCTTGCAAGGAAGAGAGGGAACCGAGGGAGGAGGGGAGTGAGGAGAGGAGAGGGCAGTTGGCAATGTGAAAGCGAGTGAGGGAGGGCAGGGAGGGGAGTGAGTGTGGGAGATGCGTGAGGGAGGAACAGCCTTCAATCTCTAGGGTTAGGAGGGAAGAGAGGAGGGAAATGTCTTCAGGTAGGGCCAAGAGGTACGAGAAGGACGCAAGGGAGAGGCGCTGGAGGGAGGTAAGCTGAGGAAGAGTGGGAGGCAGGGCTTTGAGGCGTGGTCGATTTTCCATGTTGATGTTGTATTCCGCCAAACGGAGCTCCTTCAAACGGGGCAAATGCAGGCCGAAGTCAGGAGGGAGCGAGGAGAGAACAGGGTGCTTCATGTTGGTGATTGAGAGATGCTCCAGGGACAGCTGGTGGAAGAGAGAGGGGGGGAAGCAAGTGAGGGAGTCGCAACGGTGGAGAGAGAGGGAAGTGAGGTGCTCCGTGTGAGCGAGTGAGGGGGGGAGAGATGAGAGGAGGAGGAGATCGGATAGCTTGAGGTGTTTGAGGGAGGAGAGGAGGCCGAGAGTGGGAGGGAGACGTGTGAGGCAATTGCAATCATTGATGGTTAGTTGGGTGAGGGAGGAAAGGGAGGAGGAGGAGGCAGGCAGGAACTCCAGCCAATGACATTGCTGGATCGTCAGTTCCTCGAGACTTTTGAGCTGACCGAAATCGTCGGGCAGCGCGATCAGATCATCACAGTTGACGATGGTGAGGCGGCGGAGGGAGGAGAGGCGGGGGAGGGACGACGGGAGTTCCTGTAGCTCTCCAAAGTTACTAACGGAGAGTTCTTGTAACGAGTAAAGATTCCCGATCGATTCTGGGAGCTCCGAGCAGGATCGGAGGGAGGAGAGACGGAGGGAGAGGAGGGAAGAGAGGGAACCGAGGGAGTAAGGGAGCGAGGAGAGGAGGGGACAGCGATCGAGAGTGAGGGAGGTGAGGGAGGAGAGGAGGCCGATGGAGGCGGGGAGGCGAGGAAGGGAGGAGCAGGAGACGAGGCTGAGGTGAGTGAGGGAGGAAAGGAGGGTGATGGAATCCGGGAGTGACTGTAGCGAAGGGCACTGCAGGTGCAGGTGACGGAGGGAGAGAGGGAGAGCAAAACGGTCATCTCGTTTTCCCGCGCTGGGTTCAGTGGGGCGTGAGGGGGTGCCATTAGCAAGCGTGAGAGGTTTAGGGAGTGAGAGAGCGTCAGACGGAGAGATAGGGGGAGGGAGTGTGAGGGAGGTTAACGAGGAGCATTTCAGCAGCAGCTGCTCCAAGCAGCCATGGCTACTCATAGCTTGAGGCAGCCACCTAACGTCTTCCAAGCACTCCTCCAAGTTTAGCTCTCTCAGCTGCGGCAACCCGCTAAGCAGCGACTGTATATCCCCGTCGCCAACATACGGCACGGCTAGAGCCTCCATTCGAAAGAAGTCCCTCTCTTCCCTGCAGAACTCCTCCTCCTCCTCCTTCTCTTCCTCGCTATTCCACAAACCGAACATAGCCTTCCTTTTTCCGAGTCTCAGGCTGGTCAGTAGCGGGCACTGCTCCGGAAGATCCGTGAAAAAGGTTATCGGCATGAAGCCGAGCGCGCGGTCAGGCGCGCAGATCGACGTGAGGTGGGGGAAGCGCGCGGCGGCGGAAAGCAGCTCGAGCCCGGAGAGACAGCGTCCGGGGGGGAGGCGGATGGCGGACTGCGCGAGAAGCGCGAGGCGGAGCCATCGGCGGCAGACGCAGGCGTGCGAGAAACTGGAGCCGTCCGATGCGATTTGGCGGAGGATCGAGCAGAGAATGTCGTCCGATAGGAGATCGATCGGCGATCGTTGATCGGCGGCAAGGACAGCGTTACTAGGAGCCATAAGATCGGACGGTGGACGGGAACCCAAGTGGGGCCAGCCAGCTGCGAATGAGTCTTTTATCTGATTTAGGTGCCAACAGGGGTGCGGGAATAGAGCCAGCGGGTGTGAGAAAGGAGGAAGCTAGCCAGCAGTTTCGGGACCGCCTGTGACAGATCGCGCGCGTGCTAAGGTAGACAGGCTTGGATGTCAGTACCTGGATGAGACCTGGGTAGAGAGTAGAGATTATGAGGTGGAGGACCTCTGCCTGAGTGGTATCAATGGCTGCATGTAACAGGGGTTGGGTGCGGTGAGGAGGAAAAGTTAACTGGCTCTTTCCTGAAGCTGCTGCCTGTGATCATGCACTCCCTACAGGCAGACTCAGACTGACATAGTGTATTTGACATAACATTTACTACAAAGAAAGAAGCTCCTCTATTCGAGTGCTTTTACCCCATTTTTGAAAGAGATGCCATGTTTGGTTTATGCGACAGCTGAGAATCGGTGCTAAATCAAGCATGGACATGTCTTTCTCAAGAGGGAGAGAAAAGTCGGTGTGCGAAGCATTCGAGGGTGTCTGATAGGCTGCAAATGATGTAGACGGGGACGTGATGTGGCGAACGAATGCCTTGTCCATCGGAACATCCACAAGCATCCTTCCTGGTGATAGCTGCAAAATAACAACGCAAACATGGACAATTCTTGGCAAGGCATGAGAAAACATGTGGGTGGGTGGAGGAAAGAATTATTAAGACTCGAATACACCTTCGAACATTTCATGACCCTAAGCTTGTCCTGCACTCTCTTCAAGCCCCCACCACTCACGAGCACAGGGCGGTGAATGCTGAATGCAATGGCTCCCCCTAGCGGAATGGCGTACTTTGCTCGCTGACGGTTCTGAAACATGCGCTGGTCGCGATGCGTGCTGCTTGCTGTCAGCAGCGGGGGCGGCTGGGAATGGGGAGAGAGAGGGGGGGAACAAGGGTGTGGTGAACAGTGAAAGGAGTAGAGAGAGATGGGAGCGAGAATGTATGGAACGACAGAAGTGCGGGAGGGATGGGCGGCAAAGAGGGGAAGGGCAGGATAAGACAGGTCGAGTGGCAGAACACGATGAGGGAGTGGAGGGAGGGGGACAGAGAGAGGAGGCAGGTGTGAGGGCGAGAGAACTTGGTGGTGGGAGGACAGAAACAGATGCAGGACGATTATCTGAGCCCGGATTACCTGAGCTGGGATTTCCACTGTAGGAACACCATCAAGGGACGATGGAGGCGAGGGCATGTGAGGGTACCACCAGCTGCGGAAGAGAAGCATGCCATTAGTTGGATTCTGGAGTAGCTGGAGGTAAGAGGATGGGGCGAGGCAGAGGAGAGGGAGAGGGAGGAAAGAGAAGGGGAAGGGGAGGGAAGAAGAGGGAGTGGGGAAGGCAGCTTTGAAAAAGGGAGGAGGAGGAATTGAGGAGGTGTGAGATAGAATGGGGAAGTAGGGGCGGATGGCAGGCAGGAACTACAACGAAAGCAAAGCTTGTGCAAAGTTAGGCTTACAGGAGAAAGAGCTGAATTCCAGATGCTGCTGCTGCTGCTGCTGCCCCCTTCAATAGCACCATCCATAGGAGTGCAGTTAGGATGCATACCAGCCATTCTACCTACTGCAGGCATGTTCTTGAGCAGCAGCGGGGAGAAGGAGGGCGGAGCGAGGAACTCGTCTAAATCGAGGAAGAGGACGGCGTGGAAGTGAGAGTGGGAGCGGAAGTAGCAGTCTAGGAGGAAGAGACGCTGAGCCCTGTAGTGCATGTCCAGGCCAGAAGGCCGCTGATTGGGTGCTCCGTTCACCTGGTTGTGAGAGGGGTAAGTAGGCAGAGAGGCGGGAGACGGGAAACAAGTGCAGTCTGCATGAGGTTGTTACAAACGGGGGCAGGGGAAGCGAATGAATGTAGAACGAGGGTGTAAGATGAAAAAAGAGCAGTGGTACGAGAGAAAGGAAGGAGAGATGATGGCAGACCCTTGCAGAAGCGGGAAGAAGTAAGGCACAGTGGAGGAGAAGCAGCGAGGCTGTATGTTGCACTGCAGAGGGTAACATTTTTCATACCTCTGTGAAGGGGAGGTCCCAGAGCACGAGGGAGATGAAAGAGGGCCAGTGCAGGCCGGAGAAGCGGAGGAGGGCACGGGACAGGGGTGAGAGGGAGTAGCTATCGTTGTCTATAACGTATGCTGTGATGTGCTGCGCGCCCATGAGCCGAACAAAGTGCAGCCACTCCAGCCACAGGGACTGATAGGCGGGTGTTGAACGGGTAACAGCGGAAAGTGGGGGGGTTGGGGGAGAGAGTGGAGTGAGCGAAAGGCACTTTTCAAGAAAGGTCAACAACTTGAGTGGCCTCAGTAGACAGCAGGAGTCAGTGGAAAGTACACTCGAGCAATTACGAGAACAAAAAAGTGCCTTGACAAGCAGCATAGAAACTATACAGGCAGACACAGGCAGCTGGAAGGAGAGTGCAAGGGGTCTAAGGAGGCGAGCGTTGGAGAGGCGAGTTACCGATATGTCAAAGAAGAGAGGGCCCGTGCACACACTGAGTTGAAGAGCCTCACCACTCTCACCACCTTGCTCCTTCCCCCCCCTGTCAGACTCAACCTCATCCACCCCTTTCTCTTCCACTGTTGAAACTGTGTCCTTTACCCCACCAACATCTGCCTCCCCTTCATGTCTGGCGATCCAGTTGAGCCTCACAAACGGCATACTCTTCACTGGACTGTACCTAATGCCTTTGCTTGTGCTACTGGCACCGCAAGAGGCAGAGGCAGCAGCGGCTGTGGCGATGTGTGAATCAGTGGTATGGCGATGGATGAGAGTAACCGCTACAATGCTGCTATTGATGCTTCTGCTGTTGCTGCTGCTGCTGCTGGGGAAGTTCATGTCGCTGGTAGTTGATGCATCCGCACGATTGGCATGGCCAGAGGCTGGATTGTGAAGTGAAACGACTGGACCAGGCAGAGGGCAATGCATCTGGAAACAGCGATGAGAGCCAGAAGACATAGCAAAGTATGAGTCAGTACCATACGACAGATTGGAGGGATGATTGAAGCCACGCCTGCTAAAACAAAACTGTCACAGGCCATCCTTAGCCTGTCATAATCATCTGCGCTCACCTGCACTTGCTGGTGTCTCCTCCCATGCTTGTCATCCTCATCTGTTAGACTGCAGCACTGCCCACTCCGCCAACACACCCACTCCCCTTCCCCGCCCACCCCACTCTCCTCCTCCCCACCGTCCGGTCCGCCAGTAACCTCCGCCTCTGCAAGGCCTAGCCCAAAAGCCCTGGCACAGTCTCCCCTGAACGTTGTTGCGTCTGATCCTGATCGATTGGACCCGGTACTGCCATATGCAGAGCACATGTGTTTCAGCTGCACGCACAGCAGAGCTTGCCAATCTCCCAACCCCCCCACAAAGGCGCTGTTGCCTGCCACCAGCAGCACCACACGAGGGGCCAAGCTCTGCAACGAGCGTGCACTGCAACTTCTCCCTGTGCTTTCTGTAGCGCTGCTCGTGCTGCCAGTGCTACTAATGTTGGTGGTGGTGGTGGTGCTGCTGCTGCTGCTAAGTTTACTGCTACCTGCAGCAGCAGCATTCGCCCCTCTTCCCCTACCAGTCCGTTTCAGCCAGCTTCCAGGCAAGCCCCTCCTGCTCCACACTCTCACCGCCGCTCCCCACATCCCACCGACACTAGCAGCAGCGGATGCAGCAGGTGCGGCAGGGGAAGGGAGCGAAATCGGGTGCGTGTCAGCCCATGCTGCTACCAGAAACGCATCTTGCTCGGCAATGGTGGGAGAGGAATCGGATGCAGTGGCAGCAGTGGCAGGAGGGGCAGCGTGAGGGGCACCAGACGGGTGCAGGGGCGTGCTTGGGTCAGATTGATGCTGCTCATCCTGCAAAACAGCATGCGTGATGGGACGTCGTGATACATACACCCTGCCACACATACACTCATACCATGGCCACACGCACTCATACCATGGCCACACGCACTCATACCATGGCCACACACTCTCACACCATGCCCACACATCTGCATGTCCCCCACCGGTCTCCACTCCCTCATGGCTCATCACTCCAAAGCAAATACCAACCCCGAACAGTGAAAGTCACTCATGGCCAGGTGTAACAAGGTCAGACAGTTGTGGCATTGTCAGGCAGATATGGCATGGTCAGGATGGAACATGATGTCACGAGATGCGATACAATGTGATGTAGTAGGCTGTAGGCAATTGAAACGAATGAAAAAATACAATGTAATCTTATGTACATGATTGGGCACCAGGGATAACTGCTCACATGTCCATGTCAGCACCAGCCTGATTCCAGTCCGTGCCATTATGCCCACAGCATGGCAGCCATGGCAGCTGCACTGCACACCATGGCAGCAGAAGAGGTAAACTCGTAGATGCTCCTGCTGCTTCCCCTTCCATTTCTAGATGAGATGTTACACGTGAAGCAGGGCGGGAAGACACAGAGAGGTCGCTGGAAAGAGCCGCTAGGACGCGCGAGACAGCTGAAAATCTGTGCCATGTTGGCCCCCAGATCCAGTCCTAGGGAACCTAAGGAAAGACGAGTAAGTCAGAAGGCGTCGAGATGAGAGGAGCATGGGTGGAAATACAAGAGCAAGGCGGGATCAATTTCCAACACGCAATGGGTAAGAATATGACTAAGGCCACCAGTTGAAGAAATTGGTACAAATTCGCTATAAGCAACACACGGTCAGATTAATAGTCTACGCCAATAGAGGACCATCACGCTGACTCGTACCAGTCAATCCAGGGTGTAGCAGCAGCAGACCCAGCGTCCCTAGCCCTGCTACAACCGCAAGCGCCGTCACCAGCAACACTCCTGTCAGCCTGAATCTCCTATGAATAAAACTCGCGCTGGGACGACCAAATCCGCGCCTTGACCGCCAAGGCCACCACTTGGACCCCAGCGGGCTTCCCCCCTTAGAAAGCATGTTCACCCTTCCCCTCCCCCTTGACCGCATCGTCGCGTAGCGGACCAGTGCGCACGAATGGATGCATTATAATGGTGAAGCCTAAGTCGCAATGTACGAGCAGGGCAGGGTATATGCCAGACCACGGGTCTCTCTGCCGTACCATTGAATGCATTTACCGCCCGTGAACATAGCTTCCATCACTTCAATCTAAGAAAAATATGCCAAGCATTTATCTTTCAAAAACCAGGTACATTTACTAGGAGTGCACTTCCTTCATCTTGCCTCTTCGAGGTTTAACAACCCCAACCACATAGGCATTCCATGAATCTGTCTGCAGGAATGTTTCCACTTCTTCAAAAGCAGCATGCTCATCCATCTCCACCTCCTCCTCCTCGTCCTCTCGATCGGCAAGATCCGGCATTTTGCGCATCCACACATGCACCGAGTCAAACCCTGCCTCCTGCATCAACTCACGCACCTCAGGAATCGTCCACCTGCAATGTAGGAGAGGTCGAACGAGGAAATGATTTATCACCAAATGGCGGTTCAAGCTGTGGCAGACAATTTGCCAGACCCTAAAAAAGGATCAACAGATTGGAAAAACATGTTGGCCACAGCTTCCAAACTTTATAAAACCTCAACGTACAGGCGCCAGCTGTAGCTGAATGCACTGCGCAGGACACGCTTGGGCTGCTGGCGCTTCCTGCCGCCTCTGCGTGTGGAGTCTGGAGCGGAGGAGGCAGGCACCCAGTCATGCGGCACGCGGAAGTGAAGGGATATGCGGGTGGTGCGAGTAACCGCATCGAAACGCTCCTGCTCCCATGTGTACTGGACACATGCACAGGGGTTAAGGGAGCGAAGGAGGGACGGAAGGAAGATAGGAGAGAGAAAGAGCGTGAGAGGGAGAGAGAAGAAAACGAACGAGTAGAATCGCGAAGATGGCAATAATCGAGGACCGCAAACTTCAAAAGCATACTCACATCCTCCTTGTCCCCCCCAACTCACATCCATGTCGCCATATCTCCGGTGCAGCTTCAATGCCCCCTCTGAAGATGTTCCTCCATACAGGTCCATTGCAAACACCCCTCCTCCTCCACCTCCTCCCCCCCCTCCTCTAACAGCACCACTGCCAGCCCCGCCGTCTGCCACGCTCTCCCCACCAGTCCCACCACCTGCCAGCCTGGCCCGAGCACTCCTGAAGTAGGCTAGCAGCTCCGACCGGTGCAGGAGACAGCAGGAGCTGAAGTTAAACGCACAGATAAGATCTGCCCTTTGCCGGCGCAGCTTTTCTAGTTGCGGCCAGACAGGGCCAGCAGCAGCAGAGGGAGCGCCAGTGCTTTGAGTGCTTATACAGCTGACCTCTGCACCATCCTTCCCTGCACCTGCTACCCCTCCCTCTGCAGCTGACTGCTCGTCACCTTCCTGCCCGTCTAAAACCTCCGGACATGCAAAACGGGCAGATGTGAGCGGATCGCGCACATCCCCAAGCAGCATGCATGCACGACCGCGGGCCGAGCCGGGCAGGGAGGCAAAGTTTTCCCGGATGCCCCAGGAGAGGGCCTGCTCGTCAATGTCTAGGCCGAGGGCCGTGCGACGGGGATCACCTCGCAGCCACTCTGCACTGCTCTGGCAGGAGTGAAGTGTGGGGGGGGAACGGACGGATTAAGAGAGGAGAATGGAAGGGGATTTTCCAGTCAGGACTGTTTGAAAGAGAAGGGGTAAAGAGGAGAGGAAACGGTAGGAAGAGGGTTGCGGAAACCAGGTGAGGGGAACGGAAGGGTTACATGGTGGGGAGGTTGAGAGAAGTTGGGGCATAGCGTATGTTGAGGATCTCGTCCAGTGAAGTTGGTGCCTCGGTCAGCAACAACCAGATGCAGCAGTGATGCACCCTATGAGCAAAATTTAACGCACAGCACGCACCTTTGAGCGCACTTGAGCGCAACATGCACCATGTGAGCGCACACGAGCCGACAACACGCACCATATCAGCACACACGAGCCCACAGCACGCACCGTGCCAGCACACACGAGCCCACAGCACGCACCGTATCAGCACACACGAGCCCACAGCACGCACCATATGAGGGCCGTGCCACAAAAGTCCTCGTGTAGGTGCAGAGGCACGCGGCCGCCCACATAGGTCAGAAAGAACTTGAGCAGGTAGCTGATGTCGCCGCGAGGGGACTACAGGCAGGGCGACGGACGGACCAGGGAGGGGGAGGAGAGGGGGTTGGGGGACGGGGGAGAGGTGGAGAGGGGGATGGGGTTGGGATGACGAGGGGAAGGATTGCAGGATAGGGCGGGACGACCTCGGGGTGTCGCAATTTTGCCTTGAAAATACACAGTAACGGGAAAATACTGGACGCCGTTTCACTCTCGTCAAAATGCTCGCGGCGGACGATGACAGGGGGTCTAGAACCCTGTCTTCCAAGCTGGACGCGGAGTACGACGAACCTGCACAGCACGCTGATATAGGACGAACTTGAGCTCGTCTTCCTCCATCTTCCCCACCGTTGCTGCGTCCCGTACTTCTGCTCGTGTATCCTCATCGCTCTCGTGATCAGGTGGGGATGGCGACGGAGGCTCGACTAAGGACTCAGGCGGATGCATAAGGTAGTCTTCGCGGGTCCGGTTACGAGCGTCTGACCTGTGACCACCACTCTTTTTGCGCACCATAATGCAGCTCGCGCCTGGAGGATGGAATAGGATCTGGCTCCAAGGTGAAATGATTAGGTAGGAGGCTTTGAACACAAACTAAGGCAGCAAGGAGATCAACTTCCACACAGTCGTGTTTTCCAATTCGTGGAACACGGCTTTTTTGTTTGTTTGTTGCTGTGTTCTTTCTTTGCTTTTAGAAACCGCTACACTAGACACACCGTTATCTTGTATTGGAATAAACATATTTATGTTTCAACTTCGTATATTATTGGGATGCTAAAACAAAGTTTCCACCACACCCATCTTCCCACAACCATTTTATTGGGGACAAACACATTATCCTATAACTTACTCATTGCATATTTCCAGGTGTACTGGACAAATAGGAGTTTCCTGACACCGGGGAATTCTTGGCGCCTTGAATGTTCCCTCCGCCTCAGTTTTGAAACTCAGCCGACGAAACCGTAGGCTACATGCCCTCAGCAACTCGAAGGCTTGAATGATCAAACTACACCCCACAGTAACTTCGGCCCCACCAGCCCAGACTAGCTTACAGAGCTCTGACCATGGCTTCTGGTTCTCCTGCTCGGGACACCAAGTCCCCCAGTAACTCAGCAGAAGGCGATGACCCAATCGATGTCGATGCGCCACAGGCAAGGAGAAATAAGGAACCACTTTCCATTATAGTTTCTCATTTCGTCCGTCCTAACCTTTGCACCGTGCAGGTTTTCATGGCCTGCATACTCTTAGGACAAAAGTAAGCATTTGTTAGCAGTCTAGATTGTCCCGGCGCATGCTGATGAATGCTCTTAAGCTTTGTTCGTTCAACAGGCTTGGCATTGCGTGCTACAACGTCGGAACGCAACAGCTCGTGACGACGGAAACCTGGGAAGAGTCAGTGTCAGGAGAATTTCCTACCATTCAGCTGTGTAAGAAGGCTACTTGTTGAAAAAAAATGTTTTTTGCTGCGCGAAGTTCTATGAAGCGACTGATTTGCTCGTGCAGTGAAGTTTCAGGAGCAGCCGACAGTCATCATCGCTAGCACTAAGGCAGACAAGGCCTTTCTCAATGCCCTGGCAATCCCCGGTAAAATTATCCTTTCGGTTCCATGGATTTGTGAGGTTTCTTACCGCGCACCTCACGATCTTCGCGTCGACTGCAGTAGAGGAAGGCGGAAGCGATTTCTTTGTTAAGACTGTCAAGAGCAATATTTTCAGCTATGAACAAGCTCAAAACAGGTATCTCCATGCGTATAACTCTACCTAACCTCTCTCCCTCTGTCAGCCTCTCCCACTCTCTCTTCACCGCACCCCTCCTCGACCCTTCCTTTCCTCCTCTCCCCTCTTGCGTACTCTACCTCCGGCCCCTCCCCCTTTTTTGCTTCCGATCCGTCTCCATCCTTCTCATGCTCCCGTGTGCCCTCATCTCGATCGACCTTTCTCGCTCTTCCTTCTTGCTCTGTCGGACACCAGAAAATGAGAGCGAAACTTAAGGGCGTGACTGAGATATAGAAGCACATGCAGAGGTCATATACAATAAGCTTGTCTGGAACACTCATGTTTCTTCCAGGCTTACCTTTTTGCAGTGGAGCGGCATGCCACACGGCTTAAATGCGTCTCAGAGATTGCACCTTGTAAGTGAGCTGAGTGTTCTGTAACTGTTTGTTACCAGACTTCAACTCGTTTGATGCTTCGATAAACGTTTTGCTTTCCACGTTTCCACGTCATATCGCAGCTCAACACTAAAATCAGGCTGGAGGACGACGTACAAGTCAGAGCACTGGGTGCTCTGCTTGCGGTACTCCAGCAAGAAATGATATTGGACAATGTTGAGGTCGCTGACAATGATGGAGATTCTGCTACGCTTGGAGTTCGAATAGGCAGCATTTCACAATTAAACCTGTACGTAGATTTCTGTCTCTGCAGTACCTTAGATCGTGGGCTATGTTCAATCTTTTCCTTTCGATGCAGGGATGGCTTTCTGTCAGTGGATGCATGGACGCTCAATAGTTTGCAAATATTTCAAAGTGATAAGCATCCCAGCTCTATGGGCATTGGGAAGACTAAAGAAGGGTATTATCATATTGGCCTGCTTTTCCATTTTATCTATGGAGGGTCATGAAATGACTCTTCCAATCGTGACGTTTCCCAGGTTCTCCGTGTTTGGACTGCTGAATAAGTGCGTTACAACTGGCGGACGGAGTATGCTGAGGTAAGTTGAAATTGTTTATATACACGTTGTCAAACGCTCTACTCATGATGGCTACATGATTACAGGATGTGGTTCTTACGTCCAATTGTAGATTTGCAAGAGATCCAAGAACGACATCAGGCGGTCAGCTGGCTGTTAATGACACAGTACATTAATGTCTGGATGTTATATACTTATTGACGTTATACTAAGTAGGAATTTTTAACGTGTGCAGATTTCATTCTTAACGTCTTTTCCTGAGCTGCTGACATCTCTCCACACCTCCCTTCAACATGTGAAGGATATTCCGAGACTGTTAATGGTAAGCATCATTACTTGTTGATGCTCCTGTCCTGTGGGTGTTCTCTGAAATCAAAGGAGAAGTTATTTAAAAACGTTTTGTGAAAACAGAAGTTGAAGTCAGCAACCACAATTGTTACCCGTAAGGACTGGCTTCAGCTCCTAGAGGTTTGTGTCAACCTTTTGCAGTGTTGGGGGCATCTTTGAACTGCCACTAACTTACTGACATTTGGGCAGTCTGTGAGCTACTTGCTTGAAGTCCGTGAAGTGTTCGAAGTTTCGGTAGCACAGTGGCAGGCTGAGAAAAGTAGTGATGCGGCGTTGCATCTTATCCCAAAGGTGAGTCGTTTTACAATGGTTTTCATGCATATGCCGCTTGAGGCTGAAAAATGCAACTAATTTGAAGCTGAATTGAGCAGATCTTTGAAGCATTTAGTGATCATCTGACCTACATCAGGGATTTGGTAAGTTGAGAGTAATGCTCCTTTTTCGCCTGTGTCGTCCAACATTTTTTTTTTTTAATGTATATACAAAGTACGGAGCAGGTCAGTGGAGTTATTGAATGTGATCAAGTATGCGGAGCATCACAAGAAACAATGGTCGCATATGGCATATGCCAAGAGGTACGCTAGATACTCCCCCTTTTGTTGAAGCCAGACTTTGTTTTCAACGAATGCCGGACTGCTGCAGCTGGACGAGTTGAAACAACTGTATGAGGGCCTCCCTGACTTCTTGACGGAGGTATGGGGTTATTATATTTCTCTCAAGTCTTCATCAATGTGGCTACATCTCTGCTGGCTGCAACATTTGTTCCATGGTCTAGGTTGTTCAAGAAGAGCTGAAGAGGATGCCATCTGGATTGGCTGAAGCATCTGAGTCGCCGTCAATTGTGTACATGCCTCAAGTTGGTGGGTTAGAAATCCCTTTATTTTGAATTTGCACTCAAAATGCTGCTACGTTTCGTCTAATGGGCATCACGCATGCAGGCTACTTGATGCGCTTTGAAGGTCAGCAATTTTCAGAGGAGGCGATGGAGAGCCTTCCAGATTATCAATTTGCAGTATGTACCTGCTGTTTCTCTGTGTGTACTATATATACAGGTTCGATTTTCCTTATGAAAATTGTTACACAGTTTGAAGGTGACAACGGTGATGGAGCTGCTTCTTTTTACCACACGGATAAGACCAGGGAACTAGATCAGATTCTTGGTGACGTGTTCCACAAAATTCTTGGTGAGCTTTACTCCGTTTATTCTTGACCCTGCCTGTCGTGCTCTTGGCTCCTTACCATGCCATTGTCCTTGATGCAGACTTGGAGAGTGTGATTATTCGTGATCTCGAAGGCCGTGTTCTTGAGCACTCAGATGCTCTAACAACAGCATTCGCAGTGGCAGCTGAAATTGATTGGTGAGGACGCTGCTTCTCATACGTTCCACTTTATGCAGATTTCAGCATTTACTTTATGTGTTCTTGCTTGCAGCCTTGTTTCTCTGGCTCTCTCAGCAAGGGAGTTCAATCTGAAGCAGCCACGTCTTACCAAGGAAAATGTGCTGAAGATTTCAAATGGAAGGTGTGCCAGCATGTTCCTGCAGTTCTGGTATCGCTGTTGATGGCAATTGACAGTTCTACCCCTTTTTTGTGCTCAGACATCTGCTTCAGGAGCTCGTGGTTGATACGTTTGTTCCAAATAGCACCACCATCAGCCAAGAATCAGGTGGGTTGTAGACATGGCTATTGAACCAATTCCTAGTTCATCTGTTGTGAGATGCGCATGCAATTCTTGGCAGGCAGGATAGTGGTTATCACTGGTCCAAACTTCTCTGGAAAGAGCATTTACGTCAAGCAGGTATGTAAATCCTGGTCAAGCTTACACATGGATGATTCTCTTGCTGCAAATCACGTAGTTTTGCTTCTGCAGGTTGCTCTTATTGTGTTCTTGGCGCACATGGGAAGCTTTGTACCAGCTGAAAGTGCGGTGATTGGTCTCACGGATAGGTAAGAGAATATTGAGACCTTCCCTGCTTGATTACATCCTCAACACTTGCAAAATTCTTGCAGGATTTTCACTAGGGTGGGCAGTTGCGAATCAGGGTCCAGCAATCAGTCGTCCTTTTCAAGCGATTTGAAACAAGTGTCGCGGATGATCAGCCTTGCAACATCACGTTCCCTCTGCATTGTGGATGAGTTTGGAAAAGGAACTCTAGTTGCAGGTAAGCGCATGCAACTTTGTAACTGCATTCTGTACCTGTTGACTGGCAAAGCTACAACCATTAATTTTTCTCTGGCATCTGTGCAGATGGTGTTGGTCTGCTTTGCTCTACTCTTGGATTTATGGCAGCTCAACCTATTCCACCCAAGCTTTTTGTTTGCACCCACTTCAGTGAAATCATGAACCAGAATCTTTTGAAATCTGTAAGCTGTTGATTTGCTTTCAGCACAATATTTGGCTCCACTGAGCTCTCTTGTTGTGGCTCGTGTGCAGTCCCCACAAATTACATTCTTCACCATGGCCATTCTCGAACTCGCTGAAAATGTTGAAGGTTCTGATGAAATCACGTTCTTGTATCGGTATGGTACTTTCTATCCTCATGCAATTATGTATGGTTGAACCATCTACAACATCACACCTCTCTTGGCAGTCTGAAACCTGGACGAAACCTAGACAGCCACGGGATTCACTGTGCACGTATAGCTGGTGAGAAGAATATGCTCTTCAATGTCGTAATGCACAACTGTGCCAATCTGAATATTTTTTTTCCCCAGGTCTTCCTCGAGCCGTTATTGAACGCTCTCGTGAAATTCAGTCCAAGATCCAATCAGGCACACCTGTTGAAAGGCTGTCTAATGCTCGCACATCAGGCAGAGACAAATGTTACAAGGTGAAACCCTACTCTTTTCCTCTTGGTACCACTCATCATCAGCCTCTTTCTCTAAACGAGTTTGCCTGTGTGTGCAGAACCTTGTAGACAAGCTACTCAGCCATGACTTCAGCTCAGGGAGTGCCAAGGAGTTCATATCGTCGCTGCCCCTTACCTTCCAGGCTGAGCAAGTCTAAAGTTGGCTCCTTTCCACGCGTCATGGACTCCAGATCCATTTTGGGGGAACCTAATTTTCCGCAATAGCCATCTCAAGAATCATGTTAATCATGGCATGGCTGCGGCTGGCGTGAGGGTCGAGTCGAGTCTATTTAAAACTACATTTGTTCCCAGCTTGTTCTTGCACGCTAGCTTTGGTGGCCGTCCACAGCAACTAGTAGATGGCTACATCTAACAAAGGCTGATCGAACAGGGTTGCTGTTTACTTGCAACACGTCTGAAACTAAAATAGCTGGCTCAAACTCAGGGCTCTACATGCTGGTTGGAAAGTAGAGTTTTTGTTACAATAGTGCGTCATGTACCATTCATAAATCGCATTCATAATTCAGGTTTTACCTGTGGATGTGTCTAAGAGAACGTTGTGGTAGGCGGATGAAGCGTGCGAATTGTGGTTGAAGGGAGTGGAATTCCAAAATCAGATTCACCGACAGATGTCCACCCCCAACAGGCTACAACCATGCACTTGAAATCCCGCTGGGCCTGGAATGCCACAGACAGCTCGGGCTTGAAATCCCGCTTGCCGCGCCGACGTTCCCTGGACTGGAGGGAAGGAACGAGACGGGTTGGGGTGTGGGGAAGCGCCATACGGAACGTCTGCCAGCGCCGCCAAACGCAACACCCACCAAACCAGCCGATATGTTGAACCAACCCAATCACTCCGGACGGTGTGCATATATTTCTCAAACACAATCTCTATGGCTAGTCACTATAATTAGCCTCGAATATAGAGAGTTTGATTAATTTGAAAAAATGATATAGACGGCTGCAGGACGGAAGATATGCGGTTCATATTAATTATGAATCTGATATGCTCTTTTCCATAAATTAATCAAAGCATACATTAATGAACATCTGGGGATGAAAGGAAGGTATATGTGGTGCAGTTCTGAAATAAATGAATGAGAAAATAACGAGCAACAGGTGGAATCTCGCGCCTTGGGCTGCGGTGTCAGGAACCCGAACGAAGAAACAAGTTGAGATGTACAGCTTCCTTCCCTCCCTGCCCAACGGGGTCCTAACCAAAGTCTTACAAAAGTTTAGAGGGATTCGGTGATCAAGGCTGAGGTGCTAGGGTCTAGATGTTTTAGTGCGCATTGTAGTGGGTTGCCCGCGGGCAGATATTCGGTCCGCTCCGGTCTGCTTGTTCGTTCTCTGTAGCCTGGGGTTCCGCCAAGCCCGAAAAATGGTCCTCCTTCCCATTCCATTTCACCCCATCTGCATGGTTGGTGTATGTGTACGTGTACTGTGTGGTGTGGTTACAGTACAGCGCGTGTGTGGCGTGAAGGGAAGCGCGGCAGCCGCAAGCAAGTGACGCTTGCAGCAGGGCAACCGTTTTCCTGCTCTTCCTCTTCCCCTAGCTTCGTGCAACTGCTGCTGTACCTGGCTGGGCCTTGTGCTGGATCGTGCTTCTGACACTGAATTCTGTTTAGGGAAATGCTTGCATGGTACTGTTTGATAACCAGCTTGGCGTTCGCTGTAGGAGGAGGTGTAAACTCCATAGAAATCCTGATTCGGCACCTGTTTTCGCAGTTCGCGTGGAGCTCTTTTTGTTGCGCCGTAACCTAGGATGGAGACATGGATGCCAGCAGAGCAGGTGTTCTGACTGCTCGACTTCCAGAGGACGTGCGCACGCCAGCATTTAGTAGGAGCAACAGTGAGTTACGCTGTTAGCTCAGTTTCGCTGCAGCAGCAGCAGCTCGAAGGGGTTGTTACAGAGACTGGTGGTAGCACAGCATACAGACTGTCCTACAGTGGGATGATCTCCTAAGCGGCACGGTCCGCAGCCACAGCGCCGTTCGAAAGGGCCCAGAGTCCCCATTTCACACGGACAAAGGGGGGGTCCTCTAACCCTAACATGCGGATCGGCCAGCCTCTAGGGATTTCGCGAGTACCGAGCGGCGGCTCAGTAGCGGAATTGGCCGCGTGCGATTCTGCCGATGGAAGCCGGATCATTGGCTCGTTATCGGGGTGCTCGTTATCGGGTTGCTCGAGCTCGCGAGAAGACGACGACCAGTTTCAAGCGGTGCTCAGCTCTGCGACGCTCCAGGATAGCGAAACCGGGACGAGCAGAGAGAGCGACGATGGCGAAAGCGACATCAGCGGGACGACGAGCGAAGATCGCGACGTGTCGTCGCCGCTTCGCCAGCTCCCGTCGCCAGTGCGGGCTGGTGCGGGGAGAGGGTTGGTGCTGCTGCCAACCCAGCAGCAGCAGCAGCAGCTGCTGCAGGGAAGCTCTTTCTGGGCCTCCCCACTCACATCCGCAGCTGCATCCGCATCCGCATCAGCCTCAGCCTCCGCCGCCGCGTCCCTATCAGCAGCAGCCGCGCTTTTAGACTCCGGCGGTATCTCCCCCAAGCGGAGGATCGCGCACAAGGCTGGTGGGGGGAAGCTCCAGGGTTCCGCCGCTTGCGCTGCGAAGAAAGCCGATTCCCGTGGCGGAGCCGTGCGCGGCACTATGGGGACCCCGCGCGCGGGCGGACTGCTTCCCGCGTCCCTAGGGCTTGCGCGCACGATCGTGGAGGAGGAGGAGGGGGATTTACTGGATAGTGAGACGAGCTCCGAGATTGCCGAGCCCGTTCCGCGCTCTCCGCTGCGCGTGTTTCCGACGAGCAGCAGCATGAGCCGCGCGGAAGAGCGGAGCGGCGGAGGGGGAGTGGGGGCGGGTCTTGCGCTGCTGAGCGTGTGGGCGGAATTAGGGTCGGCGTTTTCCGGGGGTCAAGCGCGAATGCAACAGCAGCAGCAGCAGCAGCAGCAGCAGCAGCAGAGCCAGCAGCAGCAACAACAGCAGCAGCAGCAGGAGCAGCAGGAGCAGCAGCAGCAGCAGCCGCCGCAGCCGCCGCAGCTGCAGAGCCAACAGCCGGAGAGCCACCAGCAGCCGGCGCTACAAGCGCAGCCACTAATGCGTATGGACCGGCAAGATCCTACGCCGGCGCATCGATCCAGTGATAGTTCCGCGTCCTATGGCGCGGCCATGGCGGATCTGCCCCACCTTTCCGCACTTCATCCGCTCCGCCACTCAACGGACGGAGCGACCGGCGGAGCGGCGGGGGGCGCGCGGCTCTCTCCGCCCGCTTCCGCCGCGGCGGGCGGAGCAGCAGCGGCGGAAGCAGCTCTCCTGGACGCGGACGCGGGCGGGCAGGCGGAACTGGCGGAGTCGGGGTCGGGGTCAGGCCCGCGGCAGGCGCCGGGGTGCCTGTGCGAGCTGCACCCGTTGCGGAAAGCGCCCGCGCAACAGGCGCAGGCGCAGCAGGAGCGCCAGTCGCAGCAGCAGCAGCAGCACCAACAGCACCAGCAGCAGCAGCAGCAGCAGCAGCAGCAGCAGCAGCAGCAGGGGGGTTGCGATGACGACGATTACCCTGCAAGTCCAGGCGCGTACCCGGAAGCTCCCGACTTGAGCCCGCCCGGAAGCCCTAACGCGACGCTAGGGGGCGTTTCCTCCTACTTCTGCGGGCTGCCCAGCGGGTGTATCCTAGGGAGGTCGCACCCGCGGCAGGTGTGCGCGCTGTGCGGGCGCAGAGTAGGCAGCAGCAACCCCGTGCGGTGTCCCAAGTGCCGGCAGCCGGTCTACTGCAACGACAAGTGCCGCAGCAGACACTTGCCTGCACACAGCCAGTCATGCGCGGTAAGAAGCTTCGGCGCTTGCCCTCCCGTCTGGTTGGTTTTGTCTGTTGTCCCTGTTGCGGTGCCTCGTGTTCGCTCAAACACAGTTAACCGTTTGAACACACTCAGCCACCCGCTTCCACACTCAATCGTCTCTGTCAGTGGCGCCGCCTCTGCCACTGCCTGTCACGGTCAGTGTCTTTGGCATTTTCATTGTCCCTTGTAACAGCATTAGTCTTGTTGCACTCCGCACTCCCTGCCCTGCCAATCGGAAGCCCTTACCCTGTCCTCTCATCTCCCCCTTTCTCCCCTCCCCCCCACCCCCCTGCTCTCCCTCACTCTCCCGCCCTCCCACAACCTCTCCCACTCTCCCTGCCTCTGTTGCCCCCACCTCCTCCCTCGTCTCACAGGCTGCCAGTCCAGCCTGGGTTCGCAGGGGCTCAAGCCGCGACCCTGACACTGTGCCATCACAATCACAAGCACAATCACAAGCCCAAGCCCAAGCCCGGCCAACACAGGCACCTTCCGCTGGAAACCCCCCCACCTCCATCCCCCCCGCCTTCTCCACCTCCTCCGCCTCCTCCCCCTCCCTTGCCGCCGCTGACGCCCCCGGAGCCCCTCCTGCGCTGGTAGCTTCGTCAGAGCAGTGGGCAGAAGCAGCTGGCAGTCAAATGGATGCATCTGGCGCGCCTGCGGCTCCTGTCTCCCACCCCTCGCTTCCTGCTGCTGCCGCTGGTGTCGCTGCTGCCGCTGCTGCTGCTTCTTCTTCTCCTTCTGACCCGTCCGCTGCTACTGGCAGGTGTGTTTTGTTGTATGGGCTGGTGGAAAGGCGCGCTGATGCACCAGTGGAACCCGCTGTTTTGACACAGTGGCTTTAGCGGGTTAGCGGGTTGCACTATTAACAGAGTTATTTCAGGACTGATAGGACGGGTAGTTGTGGTTGGCAGAGCAGGCTGGGCGGTGTAGGCAGTACTGCTGCCAGCAGCAAAGGCTGTGGCCGTTCGCAGAAAGGAGTGCTGCTGCATTAGGTTGCTGAGAGAGCCTGCTGCTTGCATCGGCCATGAGGAATGGCGTTTAGGCATGTCGTTGGTGCATGCGTTAGGGGCAGAGCCACATGCATGTCCCTGTCTTCCCTTCCCATACCCATTCCCTGACCCGCCCCCCTCTCCACTTGCTAAACTCTCTCTTCTTTCTCCCCTTTCCCGTCCCGCCATCCTCACCACCAGCAGCAGAGCGCCAGCTGTCGTGGCCCCCCCTGTGTCACCGTCCCTCGTGTCCAAGTCTCCTAGAGCGCCCTTCTTCCTGTCGCCCAGGCTATCAGGGGCTGGCGGGAAAGTCGAGGCACCAGGGGGAGTAGGGGCAGCAGGGGCATCAGTGGCGAGAGATGGTGCAGAAGCAAGAGGTGACGCTAAAGTCAAGGGGAAGGAGGAGGAGCGGCAGGCGCAAGGGCAGGGGCAGGAGGGGCAGGGGCAGGGGCAGCAGCAAGGAGGGGGCACAGTTGGAGCAGGGCAGGAGGAGGCGGATTCAGGGTCGCAGGTGTGGCAGTCGCCCGGCATTGACCCGTGCCTTGTTGGCGCTGCATAGTGAGCAGAAATGCGAGATGGGCGGGACGTGGTGCTGCTGGGATGGACTTGTGGCGCTGCTGAGTTACTGGTTACTGAATTTCTGGGTCCCTGAGTCACTGGGTTACTGGGTTGCCACAGGAATGGGTTGCCGGATTGTGGCAGTGAGATGCTGGAGCAATGGAAGGGCATGGAGCAGTGGGGTGGAACATTGAGCAGCGAGACCTGTGGAGCAAACTGTGGAGCAAATGCGTTGCTGGTATGGCATTGCCTGGCAATTCGGCAGTCCTAGAGGGAATACAAGGCAAAACCAAGTGGGTATGGGGCTTCAAGCCTTTTTTACCTTACTGGTTCTGCCTCAAATCCAGTCCGAGTCTGCATCCTGAGCCCTCCAACCTGACGTGCCGTGCTCTGGATATGCACGCACTCGTTTGTCGTGGCCCAACTAGGCCCAGACTCCTTCGCACCAAGTCTCACCGCCATGGCATGCCACTCGCTGGTGGCCTTTGTTCCGTCCGGGCATCTTCATGCACTCGCTGGCATCGGCCAGGGGTGCTATGTCCCTTAGTCCTCTCCACTAAACTGGCCGGCCCGGCCTGGTTCCATTCTCAAGTGTGTGTTTGTGGCATGCCTAGTTCCTTCGCCCAGTGTGGCCTCGTGACTGGAGCCATGCTGCTGTTGCTGCATGGGTAACTGTGGTTTCAGGAGACATGGGGAGTGTGTTGCTGCTCTGTGGGGGGGGGATACTGGCTCCTATGCTGCTGTTGCTGCTGCTGCTGCAGCCATGGGAAGAGTGCGTCCCGCCAACAAGGATCTCCGAACTCTGACTGACCTTATGACCTTACCAATCTTCATGGCACCCTGAACCAACAGGGGTCTTATCTGCTCCAGCTTTTTGGTGACCCACTTGCTTCAGTCTGAGTGTTGTCTAGCAGCAATATCACCTAACAATGTTTGTGTGTGATCGGTCAGGAGTGCTTACAGTTAGCCTGTGAGGTGCTTGTGCGTATGCGGGTGTGAGCGTGTGAGTGGTGTGCTAGTGTATGATTTTTGTGTGTAACATTCTGCCAGAGCTCTCTGGTGTGCCAATCATACTAATTTCACTCCCATGTTGAGAAAGCATGACTTCTTCCACCTGCAAAACATGCCTTCCTCAGCTGAAAGTGACCCTTCAGTTCTCGTCATCAAAATTCGTCGCTTTCCGTCTGTCTAGCCTACTGAAGGGAGTACCTTGCAACAAACAAGTGGTGTGGTTGTTGCAACAAGTGGCTTCAATGATAATAAATTTGGCAGATTACAGTAGTTTAGACATTTCCCGACACTGTATGTCGAGTGTCGGCTTTCTTGTAAGGAACTTGTTTTGCCGCATTTTTGTGCCACGTCGACACGTCCCAAGCCTCACAAAGCAGCCGCGCCATTGGCTGCAACCATTGGCTGACAGAAGCTTTGCCCAAACCAGCCGCGCCTGGCAATGTTTCAGAACCAGCACTTACCCGTAGCGGTAGAACACGTAAGATGCCCGAAAAGAAGTTGCACCATCACGCAGGACAGAACGAAACGGAACCCCACGCCTCTAAGGCACCTGGTGTCCTCCAAACCAAACCTCGCTCGCCTCGGGCTCCTCATCCTCGACTGCTCGCGAGCGTCACCTCACCTCCCTCTTTCGCGCCGCTTCTAGAGCTGGTTGGTGGGTGGCAGGCAGACAGGCAGGCAGGCAGTTTTGTACTGCGGTGTGCTGAGCTGGCAATGACGTGATGCCCTGCCCTTCCTCCCTCCCTCCCTCCCTGCCTTCTCCCTCGTGCCCTGCCTGCTTCCTCCCTGCTGGGCTGCCTGCCTAGGGAATATCCCCAGGCCAAAGAACCAGCCAAGCAACCAGCCATCCAATCAGTGCTCGGCAATCTCGAAATCGCGGCTGTTGGCATGGCATCAGCACCGCAGCAGCACATCCCTCCCATCCCAACCCATGCTCATCTCGGTGCTGCACTCTACTCAAGCCTTTTACTCTCACCCCATCGAACAGGGCCATGTACATCCCCTCCCGTTACCCTTATCTCATCCCACCCCCGTTTCGCCGCCTCTGCTCTTATTTGCAGTGAGGTGTAGCTCAGAGATTAGGGCGTGGTGCTTTGAGTTTGTTTGGCGTTTTCTCGCATTTTTAGTTCGAATTTCGTAAATTTCTGGAAGCAGCGTAATATAGAGCCAAGAAACGGAGTACGCCAGCAGCGCAAATCCGAGGTTTCGCGATCTTTGCGAAATTCAAGTCATCCCAATTGTGAGATAGGGTGCTCGAAACACAAAGGGGGCACTCATTGACTGCTGCTTGACCTGTCAAGTCAAAGGGGTGTTGAGTTCTTGGTGGCAGTGGTAACGACGTACACTTTCTTTCAGTGGCGTGGATTTCGCGAATCGGACTTTTGGAGGTTCGGCGGGATGTTTCGAACGGCGTGGAATGTGCTGTCCGAATGGGCGCGTTCGAACCGCCTTCGCGCCAATTTTGTTTCGAATTTCCGGGTAGTGCTCTGACACCCTCGCGAAATTGCGATCACACTTCGCGACTAATGTAACCACTCCGTAGTTCGAAACTTGCCAAACAACCAAAATCAAAGCACCACGCCCTCAGCTGCTGTGCGTGCACCATTGACCTTTCCGGAGCCTGCTGGAAACTGTACCAAAACCGAGGCTTATGCGGAGAGTAAGCAGTCAGCCTGTCGGGAACTGGTTGTGTCGCGTGAAGGTTCGAGGAGTTTCAGGACGGTGAACCAAGCGTTCTACCAAGCGTTCCTCCCATTGCCCGCAACGATTCACCAGACCTGTGCGATTAATTCAGCATGCAGTAATGTGACACGTGTATGTCGTCACACTCTCTCGATTATCGTATTCTTGTCTAGCATACAGGCCGACGGAAGCAGGCACTAGTAGGGACACCACTAAGACATTATAGCCAGGCACACTAGAACGAGACTCTCGATGTGATGAAGAAACCCGCGTCGTCAAGCAAGCAGCAACCCGAAGCGCGCTGCCTATCACCACCCGGACACTACACGGCGCAAAGGCCCGACGTCTCTAGTAATCCCCGATCGCAAACGCCAGACGGCACCAAGCGCAGCGATCGCATCTTCCACCCGTCCTTCGGCTCCATCATCTTCCCATCCATGCCATCCGGCATCATGCCTTCCGCCATCATCCCCATCCTCCCCTCTAGCAAGTCCGTCTCGTCGCACCCTCGCGACGTGTCCACCAGCACTAATCTCTGCACGTCCGGCTTTAATGCCCCGGAGGGCGGAGGCGGCGGGAGTCTCGGGAGCACCGGGTTTTACATGCCGAACGGCGGGGCGCATGCGCCCGCAACCACCGCCTCGGCTTTCTCCTGGGAAGCCCCGAAATTCGCGACTGGCGTCTCTGGGGGAGGGGGATTGGCAGGAGGGGGAGACGGCGGAGGAGGAGGAGGAGGAGGAAACAGAAGTGGCTTTCCAGGGGGAAACACCACCTCTACCGCCACCAGCGGCGGAGGGGGCGGCGGAGGGAGCGGCAGCGGCGGGGCGGCGTTCGTGCAGTCGGCGATGGGCATCGACACGGCGGCGTTCGTGAGCCTCGTCAACACCGCCCTCCCCAGCCTCGTCGCCAAGAGCTTCCGCCGCCGAGGGGGGAAGGACGTGGGGGTAGCGGGCGGGGCGGGCGGCGCTGTGGCGGGAGGGGCGTTCGGATCCGACGGCGAGGAGCCGCTGGGGGGTTCGCGGTCGGAGAGCAGGATCAGTTCCGCCACTTCGGGGGGATTCCTGGGGAAAGGGCGCGCTGGCGGGAATCAGGATGGGTGGAGGGACGCGGGAGGTGGCGGACGCGATAGAGGGGCGATGGCGGGGATGGCGGGGGGAGTGAAGGGGGTATACGCGGACGGGGCGGGTTTGCACCGGACGGGCAGCGGATTCCCCATCAGCGGGTTCCCCAAGAGCGCTACGGTCGGGGGAGAGTCCGACGCGCGGGGCGCGGCTGTGGCGGACAGCTCCGCACATCCCGCGCAGGCCGCACTAAAGCGCGCACAAGGCGGCGGAAACGGCAGGGAAGGGCTCCCCACGAGCGCAAGCACAAGCGGGTTGGTCGGGGGAGTGATGAGCGCGGCATTGAGCGCGGGAGGCGCAGGGGGGTTAAGAGGAGGCGGAGGGGAAGCGGGTATGGGGACAGGGGTGGCGCGGGAAGCGGGGTTGGGGGAAGACTTACCGGAAGTAGCGATGGGCGTGCTCTCGAAATGGGTGCACCTGGGTCGCGGCTGGGCTCCTAGACTCTTTATCCTCGATAAGGTAAGATTCTTTATCTTCATAGGCTGAACCTTTGAATCCAGGTGAAAACCTTGTCTTTTTGACAGAGAACCTGAAGCTTCGTTATTGAAAGCCTGTTTATCTTTGTTAGGGAAAGAACTACTTCCCTCAGAGAGTTTCAGTGAGGTGAATACACATTCTGGTCTGGATGAACAAAACCAAGTAACTGTTGAATGTTACGCCCAGCCTTCCAAGCAACAAAAATCCTCTCTGTATAAAAACCGCGTGATAGAAGTCTAGTTTTGAGGCGCCTCAAAACTAGTTTCAGTGAGGTGAATGCAGATTCTGGTCTGGATGAACAAAACCTGCCATCATCACACACGTCCCATGCTGAGTTGGTTCTTGAGAAATTCTCTCATTCCGAACTTAAAACCTACCATCTTCTCGTGTCCCACGATTGACGCTGGCTCAATACAGTCCTCTTCTTTTCAATCCAACCTCCGCTTCCCCCATACCCCCTCGCCCTCCTCCCCTTCCCCTCTCCCTCCCCCTCCCCCCATTCGCCCCCTGTACTCCAGGGCGTGCTGTCGTACTGCAAGATCGAGGGTCCCCACCGCGCAAGCGTGTTGCTGGAGGTGCAGCGGCGGCCGGGAGCATGCCTGGTGGGGGATGAGGTGAAGAGGCTACTGCGCAAGGAGCAGGAGAAGCAGAGGGAGAGAGACAAGGGCGGTGACAAGGATAGGCTCAAGGACAGAGACAAGGACAAGGAGCGGGAGAGGGAGAGGGAGAGGGAGAAGGAGTGGGAGAAGGAGAGGGCGTCAGCAGCAGTGGGCGGGCAGCAGCCGGTGCCTGAACGGTCATCACCCACTGCTGCTCAGACCGCCTCTGCTGCTGCTATTGGCGTGGCCACTGCTGCAGCTGCTGCTGCTGCCACTGCGGCCACTGCTGCCGCGGCTGCAGCAAGCAGTGCGGCAGCGACTGCAGCAGCAGCGGCAGCGTCTGTGCTTAGTGTACCCTCTGCCATCTCCTCTGCCACTGTCTCTGCCTTCTCCCCGGCTGTCTCCACCCCGAGTGCCACTCAAACCGCTCACAACCCTTCTGCACACTCGGCTGCTCCGTCTGCTGCTGCTGCGGCGGCTGCGGTTCCAGCAGGTGCTGCTTCTGTGGGGCCTGCTCCCACTACTGCGGGAGCAGGGGCAGCGGCTGCATGGGCTGGAGGGGTAGGAGGTGCAGGAGCAGCGGCAGGCGCTGCAGCAGGAGCAACCGCAGCGGGTGCAGCAGCGGGTGCAGCGGCAGCAGCAGGAGGAGGGGGAGGAGGAGGAGCAGGAGGGGGAGAGGCTGTGTCATCTCATGCGGACACACGACCGTTGTGCAGAGTGTATGGGGAGATACATCTATCGGTGCGTTTGTTGTTGCCTGATCTGGCTTAGCTAAGCGCCAGTATCCGCCCAACAGCCACGCTTACAATCCCCCAACCCTCCGTCCCTGTGGGTCCGCCATTCCCATCCTCTCTGGCCGTTCATTGCTGCAATATATCCGCAGCCCCCCTCTGTTCCCCACCTCCTCTCAGCATCTCATCTGCTCTACCATTCTCCCTGCACCCATTGTGGATGCACCCATTGTGGATGCACCCATTGTGGATGCACCCATTGTGGATGCACCCATTGTGGATGCACCCATTGTGGATGCACCCATTGTGCCGTCAGGTGTCGTCCCTGCGTGAGAGCCAGTCGGACGAGAAGAAGTTCTACGTGTTCAGCGGCACCAAGACACTCGATCTCAGAGCCGAGTCCTGCGATGACCGAGGGCTCTGGCTCGACCTCCTGCAGGTGGGTACTCCCTGTGACTCCCTGTGGCTCCCTGTGGCTCCCTGTGGCTCCCTGTGGCTCCCTGTGGCTCCCTGTGGCTCCCTGTGGCTCCCTGTGGCTCCCTGTGGCTCTCTGTGGCTCCCTGTGGCTCCCTGGGGCTCCCTGTGGCTCCCTGTGGCTCCCTGTGGCTCCCTGTGACTCCCTGTGACGATGTGCTGAGGTGGCTTGTGAGCTTGCTTTTGAATCTTGACTCAAAAGTCATCTCTAGCTTGCAGGTTCGCTTTTCCTTCCACTCTGTCTCGTCTTGCTCCCCCATCTCCCCCCCTTCCCCCTTCCCCCTTCCCCCTTCCCCCTTCCCCCTTCCCCCTTCCCCAGGCCGCCAAGGACCGCATGGGGCGCAGTTTAAGAGAGGCAGAGGAGGCCACGTTCTCTGCTGACGTCACCCTGGAGCCCCTGCGCGCGTGCCTGGCGCGTGCTGAGGTCAGCAGTGACGTGATCAAGGAGTGCGAGGAGGTGGTGCGGCGGGAAGTGCTGCATCGGCTGCAGCTGCGGCTGAGGGTGGAGCAGGAGCGACGGCAGATGCTGCACGAGCGGATCGGCCAGCTAGAGGTGGGTGGGTGGGATGGTGGGAGTGTGTTTGGTGGGGGGGGGGACAGGGAGGGGGGTTTGAGGGGGGCTTTTTTAGTCGCGCTCATAGGTCGGCTTCGTGGGAGAGAGGTGTGGGGTGAGGGATGTGTGAGGGTGGGGGCAGGAGGGGGGCGGGGTGCTCATTAGTCGGCTCTCAAGGCTACTCGGCTGCAGCTGCGGCTGCGGGAGGAGCAGGAGCGACGGCAGATGCTGCACGAGAGGATCAGCCAGCTAGTGGTGGGTGGGTGGGTGGGATCGTGGGAGAAGGGGGGTGGGGGAGCTTGGGTTGAGGGGGGGGAGGTTGAGTGGCTCTCTCGTTGTCTCACAAGTCACTCCGGCTGCAGGAGGAGCAGGAGAGGCGGCAGATGCTGTACGAGAGAATTTGCCAGTTTAAGGTGGGTGGGTGGGTGGGATTGTGAGTGTAAAGGGGAGTGGGAGGGAGGTGTGGGAGCGGGGGCAGGAGGCGAGGGGGGGGTGCGCGTTATTTGATGCGCAAGGGAAGGCACTTCACCTGGTTTGTGTGGCCCCTCTTCCCCGCCCCCCTCCCCCGCCCCCCTGTACAGGCGGACAAGGTGGAGTTGGAGTCAGCGGTGGTGGAGGAGTCAATGCAGCAGCAGCAGAGCCGAGGTGAGAGCGGGTGCAGCCGAGGTGAGCACAGCACAGGCAGAAAGAGGAACCACATTGCATCACAATCCATCGTACTATACCACATCAAACCACACTGTCGCAGAATGAACAACACTGTATCACCACTAACCACACTACACCACAGAACAGCCGCCGTCACGGCACTGACCAGTGATATGCTGTGCACTGACCTTACCCCAAAGACTTACCCATCACCCTACGCTATCCCCTCCCTCACACATCCTTCCCTGAATGCTTCCCTACCCCCCACCCTGCATGCTTGCACCCACTCCCCCCCCCTACACACGGCACCACCAGGGGATGGGGAAGAGGAGAGCGAGGCAGGTACTGGGTTATCAGGCGCGGACACAACCAGGGGGGCGCTGCTGCTGCTCCCCCTGGCAGACGGGGACGGGGAGGAGGGCGAGGAGGAGGAGGGAGAGGACCACAGCAGCACGCAGGAGGGAGAAGACGAGTTCTTTGAGGCCATGGACGACTTTGTCGGCAGCCGCCGCTGGGAGGAGCTCGCCTCCATCTCCTCCGGACCGTTTGAACGCTCCGTGTCGACCCTAGACATGGAGGAAGTGGGGTTCACGTACCCTGGGGTGAAGCGCCGGGAGAGGTTGCCAGACCCGGCTGAAGTTGAGAAAGCGGCGGGGTTATGGAATATCATTAAAGATTGTGTGGGGAAGGACCTGTCGAAGGTCTGCCTGCCGGTCTATTTTAATGAGCCGATCAGCACGCTGCAGAAGTGCTGCGAGGAGATGGAGTACAGCTGGCTGCTTGATAGGGCGGCCGAGTATGGCAGACGGGTGAGTGGTGGCAAGCGGGTGAGTGGCAGGGAGGGTAGGGTAGGGTGGGGTGGGGTGGGATGGGATGGCCGGAGGTGTCAGCTTGACTTGACGCACCCTCATTCATGCAATAAGCACTGCTTTAAAAAATAACAGCAATGGTCTCTACCCTGTGCCTTCCCCTTTCCTTCACCTTCCCTTCGTTTCCGCTTGCCCTTCCCCCCCTCCTCCCCCGTCCTCCCACAGCGAGCATCTGATTTTGAGTCAACTCGGGCATCTTCCCCCCTTCCCCCCCCCAGAGCGGGCATCTGAACTCGAGTCCCCCATTTCCCCCCCTTCCCCCCTCTCCCCCTTTCCCCCCTTCCCCCCTCTCCCCTTTTCCCCCCCTTCCCCCCTCTCCCCTTTCCCCCCCTTCCCCCCTCTCCCCTTTCCCCCCCCTTCCCCCCTCTCCCCTTTTCCCCCCAACAGGGCGAGCATCTGATGCGCGCGCTGCACGTGGCAGCATTTGCCATGTCAGCATACGCGTGCAGCGTGGAGCACCGCGTGCAGAAGCCCTTCAACCCGCTCATTGGGGAGACCTACGAGGCTGACTTCCCTGACAAGGGCTTTCGGTTTATCTCAGAGAAGGTAAAGGAAATTGGCTCTGGAATGGTGCTGCCTTGATAGCTGCTCGACCTGCTCATTAGGAAGTCGTACGAGGCTGTCTTCCCTCACAAGGGCTTCCGGTGTATCTCTGAAGGGGTGAGAGGGGGGTAAGTAGCAGGTGAGAGGACAAGGATGGAGAGGAAGCGAGTGAGGATGTGGATGGACAGGAAGGATTCTGCCAAAAAGCATACTGCCATAAGTCATACTGCCGGCTTGCCTCACTTACAATGGCATCTGCTTCAGTGCGTAGAAGGCAAGTAACCAAGTTTTGTTCATCGATGCTCATCATCCCATCTCCCCTTCCCCCCTCCCATCCCCTCACCTCCACCCCCTCCCCCTCCCATCATCCCATTGTTAACGAGGTTCTAAGGCGGCCTCTTTCACCTACCCCCCCCCGCCCCCTTCCCCCCCCCCCGCCTTGCTAGGTGGTGCACCAGCCGACGATTGTGGCGGCACTCTGCGATGGGCAGGGCTGGCGGTTCTGCAGGGACCTGTTTGTTTCACGGCAGCCCCATTCCGTCAATGGGAGACGGAACAGGTGGACCCATCCTTCACCGTCAATCACCCCATCGCTCTCCCCATTGCCCCCCCGCCCCCCCCCCCCCCTTCCCAACCTCCACCACAGGTGGTGCACCACCCGCCAATCGTGGCGGCGCATTGTGAGGGGCAGGGGTGGCGGTTCTGGGGGGACTGCAACATCCGCATCCGCTTCTGGGGGCCCTCCATGCAGCTCGAGCCGCTGGGCGTGCTGTCCGTGGCGTTTGATGACGGAGAGGTGTTTGAGTGGAACAAGGTGCGGTTTGGTGCGGTGTGCAGTGTGGTGTTGTGTGGTGTGGTGTGGTCTGGTCTGGTCTGGTGTGGTGTGGTGTGGTCTGGTCTGGTGTGGTCTGGTCTGGTCTGGTCTGGTCTGGTCTGGTGTGGTGCATTGTGGTGTGGTTCGGTGTGGTATGGGTGTGTACATATCAATTGGTGTGGTGGGGGGTCAAATAGGCCTCTCCATGCAGCTCGAACCTCTGGGCGTGCTGTCCGTGGCGTTTGATGATGGGGAGGTGTTCGAATGGAACGTGGTGCGGTGTGGTGCGGTGAAGTACGGTGTGTCAAGAGGGTATTGCATGGTATGGTGTGTGATGAAGTGGGGGCCGCCCATGCAGCTGTAGCCGCTAGGGGTGCGGTCTGTGGCATCCTGGTTTCAACTTTCAACATGCACTCCTCCCTTGGCTCCTTCCCATATGCTCATCATGTAAATGTGCCCATGCCCATGCGCATACCAATGCCCATAACCCTTACATCGTGACCACTCTCACAGGTGGCGACAGGCATTTACAACCTGATCATCAGCAAGCTGTACATCGACCACGACGGCACCCCTGTTGCACAAAATCCTGTCTTGACCATGCTCCATACCCCATACATTGTGACCACTCTGGCTGGCAGGTGACGACGGGCATCTACAACCTGATCATCGGCAAGCTGTACATCGACCACTACGGCACCATGCGCATCAATGGCAACCGCGGCACCTCCGTGCGCCTCAAGCTGAAGGAGCGCTCATTTTTCGATAGGGACACGCACCAGGTGAGCCCTCCTCCCTCCTGCTCCCACCTCCTCCCACCTGCTCCCACCTGCTCCCACCTGCTCCCTCCTGCCCTCGCTGCGATTTAACAAAGCAGAAGTCGCCTCAAGCTCAAGGAGCGCTCCTTCTTTGACTGGGACATGCACCAGGTTACTCCCTCAACCTGCCTCTTCTCTGCTCCCACTCACCCTCCCTGCTCTCATCTGCTCCCTCTGCTCTCTCTTCAGGTCCGAGGCTATGCGGCAGTTGAGAGAGGCGAGAAGCTGGCGACGCTAGTTGGGGGCGGGAAGCAAATTTGATTTCTTTCCTCGCTTCCCCCCTGCTCCTACTCTCTGTCAGGTCCGAGGCTACGCAGTGGGCGAGAAAGGGGAGAAGCTGGCAACGCTGGTGGGGCGGTGGGACGAGTCTCTGCACTTCGTGCTGGGGGACCTGTCGCACAAGTCGCTCAAGGACGAGCAGCACCTCATGGCGCACGCCCACCTGCTCTGGCGCAAGTCCCCGCCCTCGCCCTTCCCCTGCAAATACACCTTCACGCCCTACTGTATCACGCTCAATGAAATCACCCCAGATCTTGAGGTGAGCCGATCAGTTGAGGCAGTTTTCTCTTGAGTCGACACACAAGGGGATTTCAAGGTGAGCCGGTCAGTCGAGTCGAGTCAGTCCGACCATCTGTGTCGTGTCTCCCTGCCTGTACTTCTCCTGCTCCCTCTTGCCTGACCCCCTGCTCAAGGTACTGCCGTAACTCCCCACCCCTACCCCTCCCGCATTCTCTGCTCCCAGGGTGTGCTCTTCCCCACGGTCTCGCACCTGCGCTCGGGCTGGCCTTGGAAGTGCGCCTTGGAAGAGCATGTCAGGCGCCTCAAAAGCAGCCCCCCCACACACCTCTCCCCTACCTCTTTTCCCCCTCGTCCCCCCCCCAACGCTCCTCGCTCCCAGGGCGTGCTCCCCCCCACGGACTCGCGCCTGCGCCCGGACCAGCGGGCGTTGGAGCAGGGGTACTTTGAACGCGCCAATGCCGAGAAGATTCGCCTCGAGACGCGGCAGCGCCAGGTGAGTGAATGGAAGAGGCTTAAGGGTTTCCAAAAATGGCTCCGATCTATTTGGCCGCGGCAGATGAGAGGGGAAGGTGAACGCTGCTTGGGCTGGGGCACCCGGCTCCCCCTGTCTCCTTTGCGGTGGTGTTTGCAGACGGAGGCATTTGAATGAGGATGTGAAGGGGGTTATTGTACAAGGAGGTTATTGTACAAGGGGGTCATTGTACAGGGGGGTTATTGTACATGGGGGTTATTGTACACGGGGGCTATTGTATATGGGCGTTATTGTACGGGGGGGGGGGGGGGGGGGTTGTACACGGGGGTTATTGTACACGGGGCCCTTGACAGAGCCAAAGTAGGGTAGGCTTGCATCAAGACATGGTAACGACAGGGGATGCAGCGAGGTGGGTGGGGGTGGAGAGGTGTGCTGATGGGATTACAGCAGAGGAGCAAGAGGAGAAAGGCTGAAAGACTTGGGGGGTAGGTGGGCAGGGAGCAAGCCTTGGGTTAGGGAGGCTGAATTTCACGATTTTTCAGGCGTCTCAAGAAAGGCACCTAAAAAACCTGAGGCGCAGGGAGCAAGTCTCGGTTTAGGGAGGCTGAATTTCACTAGGATTGTCCTGCTCTGCCCGTAATCCCCTCCTTCTCACACTGATTCCTTCTGTGAGAGTGATGGGCAGTAGGATTTCGCTAGGTTTGTCATTTTCTCCCCCCTAACCCCCCCTCCCCCCTAACCTCGTCATTTGGCTTTAGCCCCCCCCTCCCCCACCACCCCCCCTCTTTCCTTCTCCTCCTTCCTCGGTGCACCCATCCCCTCCTCCTCCTCACCCACATTCCTTTTCCCCAAGCAGGCGCGGGAGAGCAAGGAGGAGGGGTGGCATCCGCGGTGGTTCAAGCAGATGGGGCCGCACAACACATGGACGTACGTGGGCGGGTACTGGGAGCACCGCGCCAAGCATGACTGGACGTGCGTCAAAGACATCTTTGCTGCTAGTGACTCGCAGACGCACGCGCTCCCCGCCACCACAGCCCCGGCTAAGGTGCATGCTGCGCAGTGACTGAGTCTCACAGCTTACGTGGCTGGCTGGCTTTGAGTGAACTGAAAAGCTGCGCTCCAAGGAGCATTGGATTGGACCTGAGTGAAATGCATCTTCTTCTCCCGTGACCTGCACACACTCGCTGCCTGCCGCCCCTGCCAAGGTGCCTGCTGCGCGCCATTCACCTTGCCGTCATGCCAGGCAGTTGACGACACTTCCAGGATGCTGAGGAGGGTTGAGCGGAGGGGACAGCAGGGCAGTGGCCAGGAGCGTGCATGCACAGTCACTGGTGCTGCAATCGGTCCTGTCCTACGCCACTACAATAAGCATGAGATGCGCGAGGGGCAAGAGTGTTTGCAGGGGGCAGGAAGTTCTTGAGAGCCTACTCCAGAGGCTGAGATGAGAAGGATCCGGTCCGGTCCAGTGGGCTCCGGTCCGGTGGTGGTGGGTGGCTCTGTTGTGCGCAGTGCTGCAGAGCAGTGAGCTAAACTACCTGTCTACCACTACCAGACCACGGTGGGATCTTTTCCTAGTCAAGCTGAGCTCACGTTTCTCCCAGCCTGCATCTGAGTAGTTTAGGGCTCTACACTTGATTACACTTGATTATACAACTTCTCTGAAGTTCTGAACATATAGCCGAAGACTTACCATCATTGCGGCACACTGTATTTTTATTACCAGGATCCATTATTACTATCCAACACTGCGTTCTCTACATGATGCAGTTACCACCTCCACCACGTCGATTTGCATGCTTCTCTATCACTCACGTAGTCAAGGGTGCTGGGTGTAGAACTCTGTGCAGAGCACGCATGGTACTCCTGGTTGGGCCTGTGTGGTGGATTGTCAGGCATCATAAGCCATGATTGGTGTGGCTGGCAGCCATCAAACGAAGGTTGAGGTGAGTGATGGGATGGATGGGACATTTCCCCAAAGCCCATTCCAGCCAGTTGAACACAGAGGATAAACCACCAGAGCGTAAAATAGCAGAGACGGTTTCAACCATGAGGCATACAATGACGATGCTGCAGTGCCATCCGTTGGAGAAACATTTCCATCATGCGATACGGGCTCCACGTTTTTGCATTTCTTGCATGAGACCCCGAGCCTCTCTCCTCGGCATTGACAGTGATTTCTGGGCCTCTCTCCTCAAGCATAAACCATCCGCTACTGAGAGGAAGCTAAGCGGACGGGCCTCGGTTGGGTACAGAGCAGTGCTGTGCTATGCTGCACGACATACAGTGTCTACACGACAGGCTAACCCATGGTTCTTCACAGCGGCATTTGAAGCATTCTCAGGACTGTGGCTCATGGGTGGGAGGGACATGATGATCAGGTGTAGATGCTGGCCTTTGATTCGAGGATGAGTGCCTGGAGCTCCTCCCCGTTGATGCTCTCCTTTTCCAGCAGCACCTCCACCACTCTGCAGCCGTGAGAAGGTGTGGGTTGGGAGAGGGGGAGAGGGGAAGAGGGAGAGAGGGGAAGAGGGGGAGAGGAAAGAGGGAAGAAATTACGACTGAGTCGAGCTAAGCATCATGAGGAAGAGTGCCTGGAGGTCCTCCCCGTTGATGCCATCGCTCTCTAGATGCACTTGTACCAATCTGCAGGCAAGAGAGGGAACAAGGGGGCACAGGGGGCAGAGGGAAACGGGGAGAGCAGGGCGAGTGGCAGAAGGAAGAAGTGTGAGGAACCCGGGAAGGGCATGACGCTGTGTGTGAGTGAATGCATGTCAACCCCCTACTCCTCTTCTTTCTCACATTCACCATCACACAATCATCTCTCATCATCACACAGTCAACTCTCCTACACACAATCATGACCCTCTCCATAACACTCATGATAGCATGCTTCCTGCTCCCTCCCCCCGTCCTTCCCTTCGCTTCCCCCTTCTTCCCATCTCTCGCACATTCACACTCACACACACCCACACACACTCACACCCACAGCGACACCCACCTGTGCAGCAGGCCAATATTCTCCTCCAGGGCGCTCTTGGCCTTCCTATATGCCGTGTTCACTAGCCGCCGAACCTCGCCATCCACCATCAGCTTCGTCTGCTGCGAGCACTCTGCCTCGCTGCCCGCGCCGCCCCTGCCACCCAAAAAGTTGTTGGCCCGCCCCGACACCAGCGCCAGCTGCCCCACGGCTGAGCTGAAACCCCACTGCTCAACCATCCGACGGGCTATGCTGGTCACCTGGAAGAGAGAGGAGATGTCAAGGAGGGAGGGAGGAAGAGATGTGTGCTCTTCCTAACACCAGCGCCAGCTGCCGCACGGCCGGGCTGAAACTCCAGTGCTCCACCTTGCGATGCGCCGTACTTGTCACCTGGGAGGGGGAGGGGGAGTGGTTGGGAAGGAGGAGAGGAATGGAGGTGGGCGATTTTATTGGGCAGCAAGGGAGAAGGGATGATGCTGGCAAGACAACCACCCCAGTAGACAAACCCACCCCCCATCCACGCACCAACTTCAATGTCACCCTTTCCTTCTCACATCAGCCACTCTCTCCCCAGGGTTTCGGGTGAGAGGGTCTTATCAGATAGGAAAGGGGTGACATCGGGAAAAGAGCCTCGCAATTACGAAGACAAACCCACACCCCTCCACACGCACCTGCTGCAGGTCGTTGCTGGCCCCAGTCGTCACCATCTCCTGCCCAAAAATAATCTCCTCTGCCACTCTTCCCCCCAGCGCCACTGCCAGTTGGGCCTCCAGATACGCCCGGCTGTACAACCCACTCTCCAGCCTCTCCTCACTCGGCGCGAAAAACGTCAGCCCACCGGCGGGGCCCCTTGGCACAATGGTAACTTTCTCCACCGGGTCATCAAACGCCGAGAGCAGCGAGGCCACTAGCGCGTGGCCCGCCTCATGGTACGCCACCAGCCGCTGCTTCTCCAGGGAAACGACCGCCGCGCGGCGCTCGGGCCCGATGGTGATGCGTTCGAGCGCGTCCGAGAGCTCGTCGGAGGTGATTGCAGGGCGGTCCTTGCGGGCGGCGAGGATGGCGGCCTCGTTCATAAGGTTCTGCAGGTCTGCGCCTGTGAAGCCAGGCGTGCGCCGGGCTACCTTCTCCAGGTCCACGCTCGCGTCCAGACGCTTGCCTCGAGAGTGCACCTGGGGGTGGCGCAGAAGGAAGAGGAGGTGGTGGGGGAGATGAGGTTTTCAGGCTCGCTCTGAGGAGCCTCCAAGCTACCTTCCCCAGGTCAGCGCTCGAGCCCAGGTGTGCGAGGGGGGCGGGGGGTTGAGATGTGAGCAGCAAGCCAGCGCAAACACACTCACTATAGCTTCTCATTGGCATGGCACGTAGGCGGGTGCTTACACAGCTCATACACCACCTCTCTAGTTCACTCTGTGGCTCTCGGCTCTCTCCACAGGCAACCTTGCACACTATCTGTATTCCTAGTAAGTGGTTGTTCCGTTTCTCTTGATTTCTCTCAAGCGCGTCGGACCTGAGCAATGTTAATTGAAGTCAGGCTCTAAGCCTGACTATGCCTGCTGCTCTCTACAAACCATGTCTGATGACTTTATTGAAAACAGGTTGTTCTCAGTGCGCCTATGGCCACCCCTGGTCTCTGCAACCCACTGTATCTCCACCCAGCCCACCTGCTCACTACCATCCACAGAAAGCAAAGGAAAGCAAAGAGCAGGACCCCTCACCTCGAGGATCTTGACCCTCCCCTTCACATCGGGCCAATCCACCACCACCTGCCGGTCGACCCTTCCAGGCCGGGTCCGCGCAGCATCGAGCACGTCGGTCGGGCCTGATAGTGGCAGCGAGCACAATGACCCCCCTGTTGCCCTGGAAGCCATCTCTCTCCGTCAGCAGCTGGTTGACTAATGGCTCGCCGCTCAATCCCCGACAGCCAAAAAAGTGAGACAGGAAGATAACCAACAAAGACAAGAAGCACCCATCCTCACCTCGAGAATCTTCACTCGCCCCTTCACGTCTGGCCGGTCCACCACCACCTGCCGGTCGAACCTCCCCGGTCGGGTGAGAGCAGCATCGAGCACATCGGGTCGGTTAGTGGCAGCGAGCACAATGACCCCGGTGTTGCCCTGGAAGCCGTCCATCTCCGTCAGCAGCTGGTTGATCGTCTGCTCCCGCTCGTCGTTGCCCCCCCCCATGCCGCCCCCGCGCTGCCGCCCCACAGCGTCCAGCTCGTCTATGAAGATGATGCAGGGGGCCTTGGACTTGGCCTGGCCCAGAGGGAGGGGAGAGGCATGGGTAAGGGGTGCGGGGAGAGGACAGGGAGGAGTTAAGGGGGGGGAAAGGGCCAGCACACGTCATCTAATTCGTCGATGAAGGTGATGCAGGGGGGCTTCGACTTGGCCTGGCCCAAGGGGAGGTGAGGGGAGAGACACGAGAGAAGTTGAGGAGAGCAACGTGGGCTGCAGCTCGCCCCACGGCGTCCAGCTTGTCTACGGAGAAGATGCAGCGGGCCTGGGCATGGCCTCGTGGGGACGGGGTGGGGAGGGGAGGGGCAGGGAGGTGGGAGCACCAGGGGAGGGGTGGGGCATCTAACTCGTCTATGAAGATGATGCAACGGGCTTTGGTAAAGGCCTCATGGGGAGAGAAGGGGGGTTGGGGGAAGGGTTGCGGGGAGGGTGCAAAGGGGAGGGGCTGCAGGTGGTAGGAACAATGGCAACGGGCCTATCGCACAGTTTCCAGCTCGCCTCTGAATATGGTGCAGAAGGCCCCCTACCTCTCACCCACACGGTTCCCCAATCATCCCCACCTTCTCAAACAGCTCTCTGACTTGGGACGCCCCCGGCCCCATGAATATCTCCACGAACTCGGAAGCAGAGATGGAGAAGAAAGGCACGCCTGCCGCCATGAGACTACCCCTACCCCTACCTCTCAGGCTCTCACACACCCATTCCCCCCCCCCACACACACCTTCTCGAACCGCTCTCTGACTCTTGATGCGCCCAGCCCCATGAATATCTCCACGAACTCAGAGGCAGCGATGGAGAAGAAGGGCACGCCCGCCTCCCCCGCCACTGCTAGGAGACCACCACGCCGCCCCTCTCACCTTTTCGAATAACTCTCTGACTCGGGACGCCCCCAGCCCAACGAAGATCTCCACGAACTCGGAAGCAGCGATGGAGAAGAAGGGCACGCCCGCCTCCCCCGCCACTGCACGCGCCAGCAGCGTCTTGCCGGATCCGGGAGGACCCGCCAAGAGACAGCCCTTGGGGATCTTGGCGCCCAGGTCCGTGTACTTGGAGGGGTTGCGCAGGAAATCGACCATCTCCTGGTGTGGTGAAGTGAAGAGCAGCGGGTAGAGAGAACATGATAGGGAAATGAGAGGAACGAGGGTAGTAGACCACGGCACTTGGGGATCATGGCGCCTAGGTTCGTGTAATCGGAGACATTCTGCAGACAGTTAAGCATTGGCTGGGCCGTGATGGTCTAATGAGGAGCTGGGGGAGGCAAAGGGTGGGGGGAATAAGAGGAAGGACATGTATGAGGTTGGGAGACGAGTGACAGGAGGTGAGAATGACACTAGATGAGATGAGGTGAAGTGAGCACCGCGATGGCCGTTCTACCTATGAGCGCCGTGGGAATGAATGACCTGACAACCTCGTGCACATGCAGCTCGTGTTTGCTGCATATGCAGTTTGTGGTTCTCTTTTTCTGCCTATGCGGCTTTGTGTTTGCTCATCCTTATCTGCCCCCAACCCCTCTTTCCCCTTCCCCCCCCCCCCCGACCCTCTGCCCACACCCGACCCCCCCGTGCTTTCCCTGTGCTGCCACGTCACCTGCAGCTCCAGCTTGGCCTGGTCCACCCCTGCCACGTCATCAAAGCGCACCGTGGTCTCCGGCTCTTCCTGGAATTTGCCCTTGCCGCTGGTGGTGGGGGGGAGTGAGGGGCGGGGAGAGGGGAGTGGAGGAGAGAGAAGAGAACGATATGAGGTGAGGCGAGGGCGAGAGGAAGGAAAGCAGAGAGCGAGGAGAGAGGATGGAGAGGTGAGAAGGGGAGAGAAAAAAGGGTTGGGGGGGGAGGGGAGAGGGGAGAGGGGCGAATAACGAGGGAGAGAGTGAAAGATGGGTGAGAGGGAGAGGGAAAATTCGACATAAGAGCTTGGACGCTTGCCTTACATTGCATATCATGCCTTTTCTCATGACTCACATACTCGTCATAGTCAGATACGTGATACGTACTTGTACTTGTCAAACAGTACTTGTCATATACTCGTCACACCTCACAGAGCCTTCTCTCCTCTCTCTACAGCAACCCCTGTTCCCCCCCCTCGCCCTTACCTGAGGAAGCTCCCAAAGGGTCCGTTGGGCCCGAACGGGTTGGCCTGGTTGAACAGCAGAAACGGCAGCCCAAACGCGATGAGCAGCGGCAGGACGGTGTCAAAGACGATCTCCAGCGCCAGCGCCACCTTGGGGTCCAGCCCCGCGTCCACGCCCGTCTCCACGCCCTTGCGCGCCAGAGTATCCGCCAGGTCCGTGGACACCCCCTGGAACGTGGGGATCATCACCTGGGAAGAGGGGGGGAGGGGGGGGGGTTGGCCCGGGGAAAGAGCAGGAAGGCCAGCGCCACCTTGGGGTCCAGCCCCGCGTCCACGCCCGTCTCCATGCCCTTGCGCGCCACTGCTCCCGCCAGGTCCGTGGATCCCCCCTGGAACGTGGGGTTCATCACCTACGCAAGGGGGAGAGTGGCGGGAGCGGGGAGGGGGAGAGGGGGAAGAGATCAGTGTGCGCATCACTGGTGTGCGCGGGAAAAGGGAGGGAGGGAGGAAGGGGGAGGAGTGGAGGGGGAGTTGGCCAGGGAGGATGTACATGCGATAGAGGAGAGGGAAACGATCGAAGTTCGGGGTAAGTAGATCAACGGCCCAGATGCGTCGGCGTACCCTGTGTTCATCGCCGCCCTTGGTAGTGGCAATGAGCGATTTCCCTGTGGTGCTGAACTCCACAGACGCGACCTTCCCCGCATCTACCTCCGTCAAGAACCGGCTGTACCGCCACTCTCCCTCCTCCGCCTCCGCCTGCGCTTCCGCCTCCGCGGACGATGGCGCATTAACAACGTCAGGTGCAGTCAAGCCGAAGAAGCCCTGCAACCCCTGCTGCTGCTGCTGCTGCTGTGATTTCTCGGCTGCTACTGTCTCGGGTAGGGACGTGGAGGGAGGGACAGGAGGTGCGTCCACTGCATACGCGGCGGGCAGGCTCGGAAGGAGCAGCAGGCCGACAGCGGCTGCAGCAGCAGCGGCGGTTAGAGGGAGCTGCCTGGCGTTGCATTTCGCGCTGGCAGCGCTGGCAGGGAGTGTGCTGGGGGGCTCGACACGGGCAGCTGACACGGATGGCCGCCGGCAGTTGTGCCGGAGTGAGAGGAGTTGGGAGGAGGGAGAAGAGGGGAGAGGGGAGAGACCACTAGCGAGACGCAAGGGACGAGGGAAGTCGAGAATGGCGTTTAGCGTGGCGCCGCTGACGCTGCGGCTGCTGCTGCACGGCGCGCACGAGAGGTTCCCAGGCAGCATCGCGTGGCTTGCCGCTGCCGTTGAAGCCATTGGCCCTCCTCTGTCACGAGCGGAGCGGAGCAAGTTGGCGGCCCCCTGTCACGAGGAGCTACGTAGCGCCTCACGCGCGGCTCTTGCGCACGGGATCTACGCGGTCGTCGCTTCCCCAGCCGATTCCAGAACGGCAGAGTCGGGATAGACGATAGGGGCCGTCGCCTGGTGAGATCGACGGGTGAGATCGCCTACGCGGCTGGGCTAGTTGCGGGAGGGGCGATCGCCTACGCAATCCGTGCTACGCAACGAGTACTGGCACCGATGGACTTTCCAAACGGGGCTCCGTAGGTAGAGAGCACAGGGCACACAATCGGATCGGGCAACAATGCTGGGGGCCCGTGAGTCCTTTCGCTACTGATGGTCCACTTTATATACTCTGCAGACCGCTGCAAACGAGACTAGACTTTAGGCTCTCCGACCACCAATGTGCGCAGCTGGGCTCTCCAAATTGGCGGCACTCTCTTGGACGTGTCGTGTGCCTAACGCTGCTGGTTTGGTTCGGGTACCACTACTTTGTGCCTAGTCACTAGTTCACTCTGCTTGTTGTCCTGAAACAAGCAGCGGGAGTCTACCTAGTCTTGAGGCTCGACGCTCGATTGGCGAAATTGGGCCGTGAATCCTGGCCAGTGGCGAGGTGCATGATCAATTCGGAGGTTTCTGTGGAAAGAAATTGGCGGGAGTTTTGCGACAACACCTAGGGCGAGCAATCACAGCCTCGAAGGCTGCCACGTAAGGTGCCGCTAATAAAGTGACACGTTGTGTGATCGGAACCATCTAGCCCCTACCACGTGGCATTTCTCTCTGCCCAAGGCCAGAAAGGCAGAACTGAATGCTTCACTGCAAGTATATGAGTGTTCCTCGACTTGTAGAGCTTACAGCTGCTACAAACGAACATAGTATCTTAGGAATGGGCCAATAACTACAAAAGGTTATATCGCTGTTATCTTGCACGATTTTAATGATTTATCATTATTTATAGGCATCATGATATCTGAGAGAACGATGATTTAGAAAATTGCATGGTTGGACCAAATTCTCTAACAAAGCCCTTTCTCAATATCTATGTTCATTCAACACTCCAACAAGGACTACGCTACGCACCAGGCACTCGACCCAAACTCTTCTCGAATCCTCGCTATAGTTCATGTATGCTTGCGCAGGTTCGGGCAGCCAGGCTCACGCGTGACGTGACGACGAACCAGTGGTGCGCGTGGCCTGGGCGAAGGATCGTGTGAGTCGTGATGGGAAGGAGCAGAGCAGCGCCCACGGCCACGCGACCAACCGGCATTTTCTGCCTAGCTTGCTAGCGGGTGGGAGGGAAGGGAACGCAGGTAGCTATTCTCTCGTAAGCGCTGCCTCTGCATGCACCGCGGGCGATAGCGATTGTGCAACCGAGCTGCCGTTACGGGGAGTAGAATGTGTAGAATGTGCTCTGAAGAACAAAGGGCCGGCCCCTAGCACGCAGGCTACGAGCGAGTCGTGGAGGAACGAGTCTCGGAGAAATAGGGGAGCTAGACTTAAATCATCGACGCGCGACGCTTGGACGCGCGACGCTTAGAGGCGCGACACCTTGAGGAGCGAGACTTAGCGAGACTGCTAGTCTGATTGCGGGGCTACATCTGCGGTTGTGGCGGGAAAGAAAACCGGGGAGGTAGAGGTTGGCGGCAGGAAGAGCCGGGAGGAGGGCGGGAGAGAGAGAGGGAGGGAGAGGGAGAGCGGGAGTGTGTGCATGGTGTGCGAGGCGAGCGAGGCAGCAGCAGCAGCAGCAGCGAGTGAGGGAGCATGGCGGCGGGGGTGTTGCGCAGTTTGGACCAGGCGCGCACGCAGCTGTACCACTTCACCGCCATCGTCATCGCAGGACTCGGATTCTTCACCGATGCCTACGACCTCTTCTGGTAACCACCACCTCTTCTGGTAACCACCTCTTTTCCTGGTAGCCACCTCTTACCCGGTAATCACTTCTTCTGGTAACCACTTCTTCTCCCGGTAGCCATCTTTTCTGGTAACCACCACCACTTCTGGTAACAGTCGCTTCTGGAAATGTAAACCACTGCTTCTCTGGTGGCACGGCATGGCATGGCATGGTTTTTATGCTGGGCCGGACATGCTACAAGTGGACCCTTCACGCTGATGCTGTCGGCCCTTCACCCTCCCGCTCGCCTGCCCACCCTCCTCCCGCTCTATCCTCCCTGCTTGCCCTCTGCTCCGCTCCTTCCTCTTGCCTCACTCGTTTCCCTCAGCCCTCCTCGCCCCTCCCTTGCGTACCTTATCCCTCGCCTCCTCTCATTCCTCTCCGCCTCTCATCCCTCTCCGCCCTCGCACCCCTCTCGCCCGTGTTCTCTGCTTCTCAGCATGTCCAGTGTGGTTCCTCTGCTCGGCTCGGCCGCATCGACTACAACAACCCCTTCAGGGGCGCACCCTCCCTCATGCGCCCTCTGCTCCTCTCCCCCCCCAAACGGTCCTTTGTATTCATTAGGAACCTGAGTACAGAGCTAGCCAAGTGGGTCAGGAACGGGCATGCAGCCTAAAACCGCTCTCCCTCCCCCAGGTAAACTGAGTTAGGTTCCCCCGCAGATTCCAGAATGACGAAACAGTCCCCGAGAGACATGCCGTCATCTGGCGCCCCGAGGACAGGTCGTTCCAGCGGGGCGGCTTCGTTGACCTTGCCGAGGTATGAAAGGGCCTGTCCGCGCTGGAGGGTGACCGACCATCGCTGTCGAAACTGGTTGAGCAGCTTGGCGGCCTGGTACGAGGTCTGGTTCGCATTGAAGAGGCGGCGGGCGCCAGTATGGGCCAGGAGCTGTAGGAAAGCGGGCACCTCGGCACAGGGGCACCCGTAGGTCTCCACGGCGAGGGGGAAGAAACCGACGTACGGCGCGCGGTTGCGATAGTGGTCTATCTTCTTGTCTGCTTGCTCCCGCGCCATGTACCCCCTCCCTTTCCGTGCCAGGGGATCGCGGCTGCTGATCGGGTCGGTGACGGTGACGTCGCAGATCCATGCTGCGCCCGAGTCACGGTCCCGGATTGCCAGGTCGGCAGTCTGGTCGCCGATGGGGGTATAGGTGGCAGTTTCTTTCTCGACGATGAACTGTGCGTCTCGTGCCATGCGAGTGCACTCGTCCCGGAGAGCGTTGTGTGTATTAGTGCGTCCGTGCCCTGTCCCACAGCGGAGCAGGTGGTTTGGGAGACGCGGGTCGGGGATTTCCACCCGCTTGGCGCAGTTGCAGACCCTCGGGACAGGGAGGGGGAGGCCCAGACGAAAGGCGAGGGCGATCGCGAAGTGCGGGGGTGTAAGCCGGAGGGAAGGGAATAGAGGGATGGCTAGGAGCCAGTCCCCCGCGCCATACCCCGTGAGGGAGAAAAGGCGCTGTGTATGGCCGCTGTTGGGGTTCAACGGCATGCTGCGGCTGGCCTCCACCTGGTCGGCATAGCGGGCTGCCTGGACCTCCAGAGACAGGCGGTGCTGCAAAGGTACCTCGGACGCCTCCGCTCGTTCCGACTGTAGAAGCTCAAGGGCGCGTGGGGGCAGCGTCGCCTCACACTCCGTCAGCCAGGTATGAAGGGTGGTGGGGCTGGAGAACGGAGGCGCCAAGGGCCGGAGTGCCGTTGACAGGGGGCTGGCGGCTGGGGTGGGCAGAGAGGCGAGGAGGGCATGGGCGCGGGTGGTGCTGGTCAAGAAAGAGTGCGGGCCTTCAACCACAGGGTCCGCTAGGCCAAGGCCTCCTAGTGAGGGCGGTAGTGAAGCTTGGGCCCAGGTGCGGAGCTGTTCAGATTCCCCTCGGGGCGTCTGTAGGCCGCTTGCCCGCAGGAGCGTGTAGAAGAGGTCCCGCCCCCACCTGGACCACTCGGCTGTCGGGAGCGGGTTCACCGGTGTCGTGCGCACGAGGTAGGAGACTCGGCGCGAGATACACCGATGGAGCAGTAAGGACACGATTTGCGGGTCCATGATGGCCAGGATAGGTAAGGGGGAGGCCATGGAGGCGAGCTGGGCCCGAAGGAAGGCGGCGGCCCCCTCTGGGGGGCCGATGTGGCTGCCGAGCACCCGGAGGCCGTCCGTGCGGAAGGGGATCGCCGGCGGCAGCAGGTGCGGGGCCGGTCGTGTCGCCGACCAGGCGGCACACTTATCAGGGTTGTGGGAGAGGCCCAGGTCGGCGAGGGCGGCTGTGAAGTGTGTAAAGGCGGAGGTGCACTCGGCTGGGTCACCGAGGAAAGAGATGTCATCGGCGTAGGCGAGGCAGAGGATAGAGGGGTGGGCGTCCGCCGTGGCTCGGAGGGCGGGGTGGATAGCCGCGGCGAAGAGTAATGGACCGAGCGGGTCCCCCTGGCGGACTCCGCGCTCACTGAGGAGGGGAGCGCTATCAAACCCTGCGTCAAGTAGTAGGCGCGATGGATGGCCATAGGAGAATTTGACGAACGGCAGGAGGTGCCGGAGGGATGTGCCTATGCGTACCGCCACGATCGCCCCGCGATCGACGCTATTGAACGCGTTGGCGAGATCGACCTGGACGATCAGCGACTCCGGGAGCTCTGAGGCAAAGGCACGTGCGGCGTGAATAATGGCCTCGCCCCCTCCCGTGACGGCCACCCCGAATTGGAGGGGGAGGAAGTGGCTGCGGGCAGGTTCGGCTGAGGAGTAAAGGGCCGCTTTGCCTGCCAGGCGGTAGATTATTTCGCCGATAGCGATGGGTCGCGTGCCTCCTCCGGGTTTAGTTAGGGCAAGGAGGCGGGAGGCGGTGAGAAGATCTGCAACATTTGCTGGTAAGTCACCCTTGAGCATGTGGTTGATGAGGGAGTGGAGCGTGGTCGCGACGGCGGGGTTGGTGAGAGCTGCGTCACGAAGATGCTCGAACGTCGTGCCCGAGGGTCCTGCACCAACGCCGTTTTCGCAGGTACGCAGTAACTTGTCGAAATTTTCGCGCGGGATTTGGACCGCGGCGCCAATGTCGTCCTCAGATGGCCACGCAATTGACTCGGTCAACGCTGGTGGGTGTTTTGATTTCAAAGCGTTGAGGGTCTCGGTGGTTGACTCCTGGACGGGCGACGACTCTAGCGCCAGCAGGGCACGCCGAAGGCTGCCACGTCGCGCGAGACCTCCCCCCCTCTCTCCCGTCCCCCCCTCCTCACCCTATCCTCTCCTCCTTTCTCGTCCCTGCCCGCCCTTCTGCCCCCCCCCCCCCCCCACCCCCCCCCCAGCATATCGGGCGTGGCGCCTCTGCTGGGGCGCATCTACTACTACAACCCCGCCATGGACACACCGGGCCACCTGCCGGCTGCGGTCAACTCAGTGGTCACGGGGATCGCGCTAGTGGGGGCATTCTTCGGCATGGTGGGTGCCTCATTGGGGCCGGGTGCCTCATTGGGGCCGGGTGCCTGGTTGGTGGCGGGTGCCTGGTTGGGGGCGGGTGCCCGATTGTGGGTGGGTGTCTCAAGGGTGGAGGCGCGAGTTGGTTCGCCTGCGTGCCTGCGGTCGACTCCATGGTCAAGGGGATTGCTCTCGCATGGCGGCCTGCTTTGGCATGGTGGATATGGGCGGCATCATGATGCTGGGATTGGGAGAAAGAGGACACATAGTCCCTCAATTGCTTTGGCATGGTGGGTGTGGGTGGCATTACGATGCTCGCCGCAATGGGGCATGATGCTCTCTCGTTCTCTCCCATCCCCCAACCCTCCCCATCCCCTCTCTCTTTCGGTCAATCCCTCTCCCTTCGGCAGCTCTTTTTCGGTCGGCTGGGCGATCGCTGGGGGCGCAAGCGAGTGTACGGCATCACGCTCATCATCATGATGCTGGCAGCCGTGGGGCAGTCGCTCTCCTTCGGCTCCTCGCCCACGGCTGTCATCGCCACTCTCTGCTTCTTCCGCTTCTGGCTCGGCTTCGGCGTGGGGGGGGACTACCCTCTCTCAGCTGTCATCATGTCAGAGTGAGTCCCGGCCCCCGGGTTCGGGGGTGCACACTCCCTAGGGATGCGCCACATTCGGTCCTCGTGCCAAAGACTTGACTCCTTGATTGGCATGTTGCATTGTTGGGTTGGGGTCCTTTCTACTCGCATTGTCCCCCAAGACCCCATGATTGGCATTCATTCCCATCCGTGCCAGCTCTGTCTCCCTGTGCTTCTCCTTCTATCTCAAGGATGCTGTGATAGAAATTTAGTGCTGAGTCGTCTCAGAACTGAACTTGTATCACACGCATGTGCCATCACAAATTCCCTGTTCGTGGTCCCGTCACCTTCGTGGTCATGCCCCATCCATGCCCCATCCATCTCCCATCGTACCCCATCCTTGTGCCCATCCATGTCCTGTGTTTGTGCCATCCTTGTATGGCTAGGTATGCCAACACTAAGACGCGAGGAGGCTTCATTGCTGCTGTCTTCGCCATGCAGGTATGGGGCATGCAGGTCATGGTGCGTCTCATGCACATCCATCCATCATACACGGCATGCTAGTCACGGCACATGGCGCACAGCAATGCATCCAACCTCGGGTCAACCAACATTTTCATTCCACACCCCCACACCCCCCACATCCCTATTCCACACCCCACATACGTATTCCACACCCCACATACGTATTCCACACCCCACATGTACACACTCGCGCACCGCACCCAATATCAACACCTACCCCCTCGTTTACTCACCCACAAACCCCCCCCCCCCCCCCCCAGGGAATGGGCATCCTAGCAGCGGCTCTCTCCACCATGGCCATCGGCGCCAGTCATTGTCAACGCCGCCTTCCATGATGGGGGCTCCACCCCACATCGTTCCAATGTGATGCACCTCACACTGCCCCCCTCCCACCCAGGGCATGGGCATACTAGCAGCGGCGCTCTTCACCATGGCCATCGGCTCCATCTTCAACGCCGCCTTCCCCTCGCCGCCCTTTGACGAGGGTGCTACCGCCTCCGTGCCCCCCGAGGCCGATTTCGCGTGGCGCATCGTGCTGGCGGCGGGGGCCGTGCCCGCCGCACTCACCTTCTACTTCCGCATGACGATGCCCGAGACGCCCCGGTTCACGGCGCTCGTGCAGCGGAACGCGAAACAGGCAGCCAGAGACATGGGGCAGGTGGGTGCCGCTGCATTGGTGTTATTCCGTCTGTTCTACCTCACATGCATGCTTTCCTTGCCACAGCCACAGCCACAGCCACAGCCACAGCCACAGCCACAGCCACAGCCACAGCCACAGCCACAGCCACAGCCACAGCCACAGCCACAGCCACAGCCACAGCCACAGCCACAGCCACAGCCACAGCCATAGCCACACCCACAGCCACACCCTCACCCAGTCGTCACCAGGTGCCGCACTCCGCCTTTGAGAAAGCGGATGTTGAGATGGAGCTGGTCACAGCCCCCCTGCACACGTACCGCCTGCTCCGCACCTCTGACCCCCCCCCCGGTTCCCATACCCACACCAGGTGCTGCCCTCCGCATTCGAGGAAGCGCATGTGGAGATCGAGAAGGCAACGCCCCCCCTGCGCACATACAGCCTGCTCTCGTGCGAGTTCCTGCGGCACCACGGAGGGCACCTGATCGCCACCGCCACCACCTGCTGGTCCCCTCCCCCCCTCCCTCCCTCCCTCCCTCCCTCCCTCCTCCCCTCTTTCGTCCCCCGCCCATCGACCTCCTCTGCCACTTCCCTCTCTCATTACGCTCCTCTCTCCTTCCCTCTCTCCCCTGTTGTCCCTCCTCGCTTCCCTAACCAACGCCCTTACACACACCAGGTGCTGCACTCCGCCTTTGAAGAGGCGGACGTGGAGATCGAGCTGGCCACAGCCCCCCTGCGCACGTACAGCCTGCTCTCGCGCGAGTTTCTGCAGCACCACGGGGTGCACCTGCTGGCCACTGCGGCGTGCTGGTTCCTGGTGGACGTGGCGTACTACTCGCAGAACCTGTTCAATCGGGACCTGTTCACGGCTATTGGGTGGGTGGCGCCGCCCTACAGCATGAACGCGCTCAAGGAGATGTACGAGCTCTCCAAGGCCACGGTGAGCACCTGCGCGTGTGTCAGCGCTTGCGTGTGAGAGAGCACCTGAGTGTGAGTGAGCACCTGAGTGTGAGTGAGCACCTGAGTGTGAGTGAGCACCTGAGTGTGAGTGAGCACCTGAGTGTGAGAGAGCACCTGAGTGTGAGAGAGCACCTGAGTGTGAGAGAGCACCTGAGTGTGAGAGAGCACCTGAGTGTGAGAGAGCACCTGAGTGTGAGTGAGCACCTGAGTGTGAGAGAGCACCTGAGTGTGAGAGAGCACCTGAGTGTGAGTGAGCACCTGAGTGTGAGTGAGCACCTAAGTGTGAGCACCTTTTGGGTGGTGGTCCTTACAGACTAACCCCACCTGGGTGGCGTAGAAATGGCGAAAGGGAGCGGCGTAGGAAGAGCAAGGGGGAGCGGCGTTGACAGGGTCGCGCTCAGGGAGATGCATGAGCTGTCCACGGCCACAGTGAGATGGTACTTTGCACCCTACCACAGCACGACAACTCTCTGCGCCGCCATGCCCGGTTACTCGGCGATGGGATTCACAGTGGACAATCTCGGCCGCATCTTCGTACACATACATACTTTTTTTTACCTCCTCTTCCTGTTTCCTTGTGTTCATCTCCCTCCAGGCGCTCATGTCCCTCTAGTGGGTGACAGTGGTCACAGTGGGCAAGCTCGGCCGGGTTTTCTTCAACTCTCAGACACACACAAACGTGCCTACCTCCTCTTTCTCCTTCTCCTGCTCTCCTCGTGTCCTTCTCCCTCCAGGCTCTCATGACCCTGTGCGCCACTCTCCCCGGCTACTGGGTAACCGTGTTCACAGTGGACAAGCTCGGCCGGGTCTTTGTGCAGCTGCAGGGCTTCTTCTTCATGACCATCTTCATGGGCCTCTTCGCCGGCTTCTACCCTATCCTCCACGGGGACCCCTGCACCCTCCCCTGCACACCCACCCCCACCGCCCCGTGCCCGGACCCCCCACTCGAGGACCCAAGTCACACCACCTGCGGGGGAAATCCGATCGCGCTGCTATGTCTCTACGCGCTCACCTTCTTCTTTGCGAATTTCGGGCCCAACAGCACCACGTTTATCATTCCTGCGGAGCTCTTTCCCGCCCGCTTCCGCTCCACCTGCCATGGTATCAGCTCGGCAGCAGGGAAGCTGGGCGCGATCGTGGGGTCGTTCGGGTTCGTGTACGCGTCGCAGGAGGCTGCATCGCACGAGGCAGCGTACGAAGCAACCAGTTCGAATTTCGGGTATCCGCCGGGGATTGGCGTGCAGAATACCATGTATATTCTCATGGCTTCTGCTGCCGTGGGGTTTCTGTGCACTTTCCTGCTGCCGGAAACGAAGCAGCGTTCGTTAGAGGAGATTTCGGGGGAGATGGTAGAGAGTGACGAGGAGGAGGAGGAGGAGGAGGAGGAGGAGGAGGATGAGGATGAAAGAGGTGAGTACCCAGAGCAGGAGATAGAGGCTTCACACGGGGTAATGTTGGGGTATAGATGTGAGGAGCAGGAGGAAGGGGAGGAGGGGGAGGAGGAGGATGAGGAGTTAACATTGGAGGAGTTAGGGCTCGGGGGGCTGGTTCTAGAGGAGCGCGCGGAGGACGAGGAGGGGCATATGCCAGTGGGAGAGGTGTGCATGGGTGGGTTGGAGTTACCAGGTGGGAGCATGCATGTGTATGAAGGTGTGGATGTACATAGGATCTATGATTGGTCCTTCAGTGGTCACAGAAGGTGAGGTGAACGAACTCAGGGCAATATAACTCTTATCTTATCCTTGAATGGTAATGATTTGTTATGTATAGTAGACGCTTTCCTCCTTGTCCCTGGTTTGGCATTGTGCGTCGTTTTTCAATATTAAAATTTAGCATGTCAAGTAACTTGCGGTATGAGAGACACAAAAAACAAACCAAGATCACAACAGGACACACGAGAAACATCTTGACCACTTGAAAATTCCAGACGGAGTGGAATTTTTTCCTCGGGTTGAGCCACATCTAAGTATTTTACATCGAGTAGTCAACCTGAAATCTCAATTTCGTGAGACTCCACGTGACTTCTCGATTTTCTCCAAAGAAGTACAGCCAACAGAGATGCATGACAAGTGCCCCACCACTTCCAATCTCACTCCACCTACTTCTGCTCAGGTCACGGCTCGCCTGCCTCATGCCAGGCGATACATCTCGCCCCCATTCTCTCTCTTTGGTTACCTCGCTGCACTGCTCGCCTGCTCGTCGCAATCTCCAGCGCCGCGTCGGCGCACCCTCCTCCGCGTCCTTCCCTCGCGGTGTTGAGCCTCCGCCGTTGCCGTGGCCGTCAGCAGCGTCAGCATCGTCAGGATCATCAACGTCAGCATCCGCATCAGCATCCGCATCAGCATCCGCTCGTGAGCAGCAGCGTGATCGCGATGACGGCGCGTAAGGGATGTCTGCGGAAGCTCAAGAAGGAGCTCGCGGCGTTCCTCAAAGACCCTCCGCCGTACATCCCGCTGGTACTGCCTGCGCTCCTTCTCGTTCCTTCTCGTTCCTTCTCGTTCCTTCTCGTTCCTTCTCGTTCCTTCGCGTTCCTGCTCTTTCCCGCTCGTTTCTGCTCGCTCCCGCTCGCTACTGCTCTGTGCCTGTAACGAATCTGCTCATAGCGACCGTACGGACGCATGGTGCATGGTGGTGCTGCTTGTAACGATTGTGCTCGCAGTAACCCCCGAACCCCCAGAATACCCCGATTTCCCCCAATCCCCCAATCCCCCAATCCCCCAAACCCGCAATCCCCCAAACCCCCAATCCCGCAATCCCCCAATCCCCCAATCCCCCAAACCCCCAATCCCCCAATCCCCCAAACCCGCAATCCCCCAAACCCCCAATCCCGCAATCCCCCAATCCCCCAATCCCCCAATCCCGCAATCCCCCAATCCCCCAATCCCCCAATCCCCCAATCCCCCAATCCCGCAATCCCCCAATCCCCCAATCCCCCAATCCCCCAATCCCGCAATCCCCCAATCCCCCAATCCCCCAATCCCCCAATCCCCCAAATCCCTTCAGGACTAGGTGCATGTGAACGAGCAGCCACATGAGGGAGTGGCACTTCCTGCTGGAAGGCGCCATGCATGATGCATGATGCATGATGCATGGCTCAGCTCATGTATGCGTATCTCATTTCATCCCACGCCTTCCCCCCCCACCCCCCTCCCCCCCTCCCCCTTCCCAACCGCTCGCCAGGTGCACGTGAACGAAAGCAACATGCTCGACTGGCATTTCTTGCTAGAAGGCGCCCCCGACACGCCCCATGATGGTGGCTGGTAGAACACTCCCAAGCTCCAACTTTTCCCATCTCTTTCCCCATTCCAGGTGTATTTTGAGTCGACTCAAAATACAACTTTCCCATCTCTTTCCCCATTCCCCCCAGGTGCACGTGAACGAGAACAACATGCTGGATTGGCACTTCTTGCTAGAAGGCGCCCCCCGACACGCAGTATGAGGGCGGCCGGTACATCCCCATGCTGCGCTACCACCCCGACTATTCCGTCAGCCCAATCCTCTTTCACCCCACCTCCCCGCCCTCCTCCCCTCCCCCCTCTCCCCCCCGGAACCCCCCCCCCAGGTGCACGTGAACGAAAGCAACATGCTGGACTGGCATTTCCTCTTGGAAGGCCCCCCCGACACGCCGTACGAGGGCGGGTGGTACATCGCCAGGCTGCGCTACCCGCCCGACTACCCCTTCAGCCCGCCCGCCATCCTCATGCTCTCGCCGTCCGGCCGCTTCAAAACTAACACGCGCCTCTGTCTGTCAATCTCCGATTTCCACCCGGGTAAGAGCGAGGCAGTGATTGGGCGTGTGCGTGTGGGAGGGGGCTTTGAGTCTACTAAAAAAGTTGACTTTTGAGTCGAGGGGGGAAGGGAATGGTAGGTTCACTACGTCTTGTCTTCCGCATCTCTGGACGTCCCATGGTATTTTCACATTGTAACATAGATGGTCGGTCGGATGCCTTAGTGCACGCACGCCATTGCATGCGCTTTCCTGCACAACCCTTGCTGTCCGCTACTCCCCTCACCCTCTCTCTCTGTACCCTTTTGAGGCGCCTCAAAACAAAAGCTACCTGAGTGAAGGGAAGAGGGGGACTGCGAGGAGCCAGTCCCCTGCGCCGTACCCTGTGAGGGAGAGGAGCCGCTGCGTGTGACCGCTGAGGGGGTTGACTCCATGTCCCTGGTCGCCTCCAGCTGCTCAGTAAACCGGGCAGCATGGACCTCTAGGGCGAGGCGGTGCTGTAGCGGTGCATGGGAGGGTTCCGTGGGCTCGGCCCGTAGGAGTTCCAGGGCGGGGGCCGGTAGTGTCGCTTTGCACTCGGCCAGCCAGGTGTGGAGGGGGGTAGGGCTGGCGTAGGGTGGTGCGAGGGAGCGGGCCACTGTCCCGAGGGGGGCAGAAGAGTCCGAGGCGAGGGAGGCCAGGAGCCGTTGGGCGTGGGCGACGCTGGTAAGGAGGGCATGAGGTCCCTCGACGGTGGGGTCCGTCAGCCCGAGCCCTCCAAGGGAGGGGGGGAGCGAGGCTTGCTGCCAGGTGCGCGCCATCTCCTGTTCCCCCCGTGGGAGCTGGAGATTGCAAGCCCTCAGGAGGGTGTGGTAGAGTTGCTGCCCCTACTGGGACCACTCCTGCGCCGGTAGCAGGTTCAGCGGCGTCGTGCGAGTCAGGTAGGAGACTCGACGAGAGACGCAGCGGTGGAGGAGGAGGTTGGCGGACTGGGGGTCCATGGTTGCCAGGGTGGGCAGTGGCTTGGCCATCGCAACTAGCTGTTCACGCAGGAAGCTGGCTGCTGCGTCTGGTGGGCCGATATGGCTGCCCAAGATCCGCAGCCCGGAGGCGCAGAAGGGGATCCCGGGGGGGAGGGGGTCGGGGGGGGGATGGGCCGCGGACCACGCCGCGCACTTAGCCGGGTTGTGGGTCAGGCCCAGGGGGAGCAGCGCATGGGTAAGGTGGGCAAATGCAGCTGTGCATGCGGCCGGCTCCCCCATCAACGTTATGTCGTCGGCGTATGCCAGGCAGAGGACGCCAGGGAACGCTTGGGCGGTCTCTCGCAGGGCGGGATGCATGGCTGCGGCGAAGAGCAGGGGTCCCATGGGTTCCCCTTGCCTGACGCCGCGGGCGCTGAGGAGGGGCTGGCTGTCAAAGCCCGCGTCCAGGAAAAGGGTGGAGGGGGCGCCATAGCAAAGGCGCAGGAAGGGGAGGAGGGGGCGGAGCGGGGAGTTGTAGAGTCCCGCGATGATGGCCCCGCGATCGACGCTGTTGAAAGCATTAGAAAGGTCGAGTTGCAGCAGGAGGGCGGACGGGAATTCCGTGGCGAAGGCTCTCGCGCCATGGATTATCGCCTCGCCGCCGGCCCTTACCGCCACACCGAACTGTAGTGGGAGGAAGTGGCTTTGGGCGGGCTCGTTCATGGCGGCGAGGCCCGCTTTTGCCACCAGGCGGTGGAGGCATTCGCCCACTGCAATTGGGCGTGTGCCTCCCTCGGGCTTCGGGAACGCCAGCAGGCGGCTAGCTGTGAGGAGCCTAGCTACCTCTGGAGAGGTGGATCCTTTTAGGAGGATTTGTGCTACCCCGTGCAGATTGCTGGCGACTGAGGCGTTCGCGAGGGCTGCGTCGCGAAGATGTTTGAAACACATCCCCGACGGGCCGGCGCCGACTCCGTTTTCACTGCGGCTGAGTAACCGAACGAAATCGGCCAGCGAGATAGAGGGGAGGGGCTCGGACTCGTCGAGGGCGGGCCAGTCAAGGGACTCGGTTAGGGGGGGGGGGGTGTTTGGAGGTCAGCGCGGCGAGGACCTCCGGCGTTGACTCGCTGACCGGCGTTGAGTCCAGCGCCAGCAAGGCACGCCTGAGGCTGCCACGACGGACGAGGCCCTCGGCGCGGGATATTTTGCCGAGGGTGTCGCCTGAGTGTCGTGGCACAGGTGGGTTGTTTATCGCATCAACTGCTGCCAGGTACAGCGATTCCCATTCGCCGGCCAAGAACTGCTGCAGTCTCTGCTCGATCGCTTGCCAATCCGGGTGGCGTGGCGAATTGAGGCGAAGGGTGAGCCTGGGTGTGAAGAGTAACAGGCGCCAGCCAGCGAGGCTGGATGGGTTTTTTGCGATGTGGAGCAGAGGTGTCAGGAGCGCCAGGGCGAAAAGCTGGCGTAGTTTGTGGGGAATTCGACGGGAAAGGGGGGGCTGGCGACTGTCGCAGAGCAGTCCGATGTCCCAATTGGCGATCCCCGTGAAGAGGGGTTCACTGTTCGCCAGGTCTTCTGGCGAGAATTGGCGTGAGGGTTGGTTGGGTTGTGCCTCGCTGTCCCAATGATTCCGCCAATGCGGCGCTTGCCGCTCCCTTTGATTCCACCCTGCATGCCTTCGTCTTCGGTCAGGTCTATCGCGTTCGTCATCCTCGGCTGAGTCCTCCGTGCTAGTCTCTTCCCTTGCCTCCTGCCTATAAGTGGCATCCGCGCGCTCCTCAGCAGCATTCGTGTTTTCGGCTGCGTTTTCTCTTAAAGCCCTCTCTCCTCACCCTCTCTCATTCGTGCTGCCTCCCTCTTCCCCTGTCTGTTGCCCTGTCTTGTCTCCTCCCTCACGCTTGTCCGGTCTCCCCCTGGTTTCGTCCGCGTCACGCAGAGAGCTGGAATCCCGCTTGGTTAGTGCCTCTCGGTCTGTCCTCTCCCTACTCCTTCCCCTTGCCGACTTAAGAACCAACACGCACCGTACCATACCGCTTGCTATCACTTTCTTCCTGTGGTGCTGGGGTTGCAACGCCTCTTGTTAAATGCCTCCTTCGCTATGTATTGATGCATCTTGTGTGTGTGATTATTCGGCAAGCATGTGGTGAATGGCCTCCTTGTTCTCCGTGCATGCGTGTGCTGGCAGGTCAGTTTCGATGGTGATGATAGGGCTGCTCTCTTTCATGGTGGAAAACACCCAGACCACAGGGTCGCTTGAAACCTCAGTGAGTGCTGCCATCCCCCCAAACCACACACACATCACAGACACGTGCGCCCATATCCCTATTCACCTCACACCCAGACCACAGGCAAATGCGCATGCACCTGCACTCAGTCCTAGACACAGACCAGCTTTGCGCTCGAGAGCTCACATGCGCAGCGCATGCACTCATTCTCTCGTCCTCGTTTAAGGGCTTGTTCCCATCCCTCCCTGCCACCCTAACCTTCCAGTCCACCCCCTATAAGGATGACGAGGAGAAACGGGCCTTTGCACACAAGCCCATGTCCTTTGTTCCATCATCCTTGTTGCACGCCAGTTCGTTCCATCATCCTTGTTGCACGCCAGTTCGTTCCATCATCCTTGTTGCACGCCAGTTCGTTCCATCAACCATCAACTCAGTGCCAAGTTCCCTTCCCTCCATTCGCACATCCCTCCCGCCTTCACCACCCTCCCATTCGATCCCGTTCACCATACCCCATTCCCTTATCCGGACGACAAGAAGCGCGCCCTTGTACGTGCATGGGTGTCAGTCAGTCATCCAGTCGTTCCCTCAACTCATCCCTATTTACTTTCTACCCATCGTACACACCTCGTCCCGACTCCCAACCCCCTTCCTCTCAGGATGACGAGAAGCGCGCCTTTGCACGGGCATCGTTGTCAGTCATCCAGTCAAACCCTCAATTCAGCGCCATGTTCCCCGAGCTGCCGCTGCTGGTGCAGGCTCAGAGGGAGCAGAGGGAGCAGAAGGAGAAGGAGAAAGAAGGGGGGCAGAAGGAGGGGGGGGAAGGGGATGAGGAGAAGAAGAAGGGGGAGCCAGAGGAAGAGAAGGAAAGGGAGGCAGGCAAGGGTGGGAGTGGAGAGGAGGAAAATGGAGGCGATAGGGAAGTCAATGCTGCAGTGGCGGCTAAGGGATACGCAGGTGCGCCGGCAGCAGCAGATGCACCAGCAGCAGCAGCAGCAGAAGGAAATCTGCCTACACCATCCCCGACTGACTCGGTTGCAGGCTCCCTCCCGCCCTCTTCCATCCTGCATCGCCTGAGCCATGCTGAAGCCAGGCTGCTAGGGAGAGCACGTGAGGAATTAGTGGTGAACGGGAGGGAGGAGGAGGAGGGATGTGAGGCTAGTGCTGCTAGTCATAGGGATGGGATTCCGGGTGGTGGTGAGGGGAGCAATAGTGGAGGTAGTGGTAGTAGGGGCTTGGAGGGAGGGGATCCGGAGGGGGCTTTAGAAGAGGTGGAAGAAATGCTGAGAGAGAGCGAGGGGGGAGAAGGGAGAGGGGAGGGGGGTGTGGAGTGTGGTGAGGGGCGGGAGGAAGACAATCAGGGGAGTGCATTGCAGGAGTGGAGGAACCGGCTACTCATGTGCAAGGTACGGTGCGGTGCAGTGCGGTGGTGTTTTGTGTGACGTGTGGTTCAACTGTGCTTTTGATAAAGCAGTACATGCTGCCTTGCTTCTCCCCAACCCTTCTCCCCAACCCTTCTCCTCAACCCTTCTCCTCAACCCTTCTCCTCAACCCTTCTCCTCAACCCTTCTCCTCAACCCTTCTCCTCAACCCTTCTCCTCAACCCTTCTCCTCAACCCTTCTCCTCAACCCTTCTCCTCAACCCTTCTCCTCAACCCTTCTCCTCAACCCTTCTCCTCAACCCTTCTCCTCAACCCTCTCCCCTTCTCCTCAACCCTTCTCCTCAACCCTTCTCCCCCTTCCCTCAACCCTTCTCCTCAACCCTTCTCCTCAACCCTTCTCCTCAACCCTTCTCCTCAACCCTTCTCCTCAACCCTTCTCCTCAACCCTTCTCCTCAACCCTTCTCCTCAACCCTTCTCCTCAACCCTTCTCCTCAACCCTTCTCCTCAACCCTTCTCCTCAACCCTTCTCCTCAACCCTTCTCCTCAACCCTTCTCCTCAACCCTTCTCCTCAACCCTTCTCCCCAACCCTTCTCCTCAACCCTTCTCCTCAACCCTTCTCCTCAACCCTTCTCCTCAACCCTTCTCCTCAACCCTTCCCCCCCCCCCTTCTCCTCAACCCTTCTCCTCAACCCTTCTCCTCAACCCTTCTCCTCAACCCTTCTCCTCAACCCTTCTCCTCAACCCTTCTCCTCAGCACTACATTCCCTTTCTTCACCACTCTTGCGCATGCATGTATTTTCTCGCTCTCCTTCCTTATTGCGCCACTTTCAACATGCATGTATATGTGCATGTGTGATTGTTTCTCTGCTGACTTGTGGGTACCTGCACATGTGCCACCAAGCACACATGTGCCCACTCATGGTTTACCTATCCTCATGTACACATCTGTTTCTCTGCCCACGCCCACAGGCCGAAGCGCTGGTAGTGATGGGAGACTTTGACAAAGCGCTCTCCGTCCTCTCGTCTCTTCACCACCACCTCCACCTCTCTCTCACCCTCACCCACACTCCCTCCTCTTCCTCCTCCTCCGCCGCTGCACCCACTCGCACCTCTACCTCTTCCTCGCTCACACCAGCTGATCAGAGTGTTGAGGGGGGGGACGTTGAGGGGAGCAACGGAGAGGACAGCAGCAGGGGGCCGTGGGTGGCAGGTGCTGTTTCGTGGCTGCGACCCCAAGTCACACTGGCTGAGGTGAGGCAACGCGTTTTCGATTTTTGAGGCGCCTCAGAAATCCTGGCTGCGACCCCAAGTCACACTGGCTGAGGTGATGCAACGCGTTTTCGATTGAGACGTCTCAAAACTAAACTATCCTCACACGATGATTCTCGCCTGCTGTTACTGACTCGTTGAATCCGTGTGATAATAGTTTCCTCACTGAGTCACAGCAGTGAAGCCGTGACCCATTTTGCCCTTTGCCCGTTGTTGCCTCGTTAACCCTCCCTCCCCTCCAACTATCCATCTGCGTTTGTCCCAACTTCTCTCCTCTTGCTGCTTGCTCAACTGCTCATGTAATCTGCTCGTTTGAGCTATTCTAACACTCAGTTTCGTCCTTTTCTTCTCGAACCTTCACCCTCCTTCGCTTCACCCCCCTCCTTCCCCAATCCTCTTCCTTCCCCCCCCACCCACCCAAGTCGAGTCATTCCACGTGCGTGTGGAGCGCGCCATTCGCCACAGGGCCAGGCGCCCAGAGCAGCACACACAGCGTTAACTCACTGCGCACCCTCCCAACCTTCAGCCTCCCCCCCTCATTCCCCCCTCGCATTCCAGGTTCTTGCGGAGGGAGCAAGCTGCCACAGGGCCAGGGGTGCAGAGCAGACGCTGCTTTGCAAACATGGTGCTTTTTAAGTGCCTCAAGTCACCCCTCCCTTCCCCCTCCCCCCTTCCCCCTTCCCCACCCAGGTCGAGTCATTCCAGGTGCGCGTGGAAGGAGCAGGCCGCCACAGGGCACGGGGCGCAGAGCAGTACAAGAAGCAGTCCTTCGCAGCAGCGGTGCGGGCATTCTCGACCGCCAAGTCATTCCTGCTCTCCTGCGCTGCCATCCACTTCAACCTCGCTGCAGCCCTCGCTGCTCTTGCACGGTATGTTGCTCCAGAACGTGATCTCTGTTGTTTCCCCTTCGACTTGCAACGGGGAAGCTGGTTAAGGGGAGGAAGGGGGGGGAGGGGTGTGGATTATGTGGAAGAGCGGTGAACCGTGGCTGGCTCTCAGTGCCATGGGCCTTTTGGGTTTTTCCACCATCAGGTGCTTTGTGCTCGCCTGCACTGTCGTCATCCATGTCAACCTCGCTGCCCTCCCCAGGTGTGTTACTGCTGAGGATGGCGTCCGTCCGTGTCTCCCCTTTCGTCCCCCCGTTCTTCTTTTTGAGTCGACTAAAAACTTGACTCATTACACACCGTTGCCCTCCCTGCCCTTCCTAGGTGCTTTACTGCTGAGGATGGCGTCCGTGTCGCCCCTTTCATCCCCCTGTTCTTCTCCCCTCTTGTTTCAATATGACGTGAGCATGGAATACTTATCTTTGCCGTTTCCGGAATCTCAAGGGGGCAAATGGTTGCTTGGCGAGAGGGGATGGGGGGTTTAGCCGGTGGGAGTTCTGTGGGAGGGAGACGAGGCATGTCTTTGCGTCGATCCCTTCATCCCTCTCCCTCCGTCTTTCCATGCAGGCACGAAGAGGTGGTGGCGGCATGCGATGAGGCGTTAGCGCTGATAGCAACGCACAGCAAGGCGAGGAAGAGACGTGCTGACAGCCTGGCCGCCCTGGGGCGGCACGGGGAGGCCGCAACAGAGTACCTGGTGCTGCTGCAGCTGCAGCCAGGGGAGAGCAAGTGGGGCAAGATGGCTGAGGATCAGAGGAAGAAGGCGGTGGTGGTGCCTGCCAGTAGCAGCAGCTAAGGCAGCAGTAACAGTGGCGGCATCAGCGTACCTGGTGCAGCTGCAAACTGCTGCCAGAGGAGAGAAAATGTGTGCAGATGGCTGACGAGCAAAGGATGCAGGCTCCAAGTGGTGGCAGCAGCAGAGGATCGCTGTTGTTGCAGCTGCAGGCAGCACAGCGGAAATGGGGGTGGTGAGCAGAAAAGCAGAGAAGAAAGGCTTTGGGTGGTGGCGGCGGTGGCTGTAGGAGTAGCAGCAACTAGTCCACCCATAACAGAGGCAGCAGCAGGTGCCCTGCTGCTGCTCGCCAGGGGAACGGAGATGGGAGAAAAGAAGGAAGACTTCAGGTAGTGGTGGTGGAAATGACAGTAGCAGTAGCAGTAGCAGCAACTAGAGCAGCCGTAATAGAGGCGGCAGCAGATACTCTGCTGCTGCTGAGCTGAAGGACACAGAGGGATGGGATGTGAGGGTGGGTGGCTGTGGAGTCTGAGGAGGCTCGTGATTCTGACAGCAGCAGTTACCATGGTCTTCCATGCGTGTTTAATTTGTAGTAGTCAAATTATTACTCTTTTATGCTGCACTGCATTGAAGTACATTCTGCATCCACCCTCCCTACCTGTAAAAACTACTGTATTCTCCATTGCTGCATCACTTATGCCTACCGTAGGGTCAACGTTCTCATCAGACTACTACAGTCGTACATCTTGGAAAAAAAAAAAAAAAAACTTGTTATGCCAGCTTCAAACCCACACCCCCCTCACAACCACACCAGCATGAAGCAAGTCCCTCCGAGTCCTTTCAGGAACCTTGTCCGCTTCCACCTCCAGATGCCTCAGGCTTGGGAATCGCCCAAGCATCCCACTGATGCCAGCAGCAGTGACTCGATTGCATGCGATGAGAGTAAACTCAGAGAGCCTCTCCAGCGTGGTTGCGAGCAGCAGTGCGTCGGACATGGACTCGCTGTGCTCCACCCTCAGCTCCACCAGCCACTGGCATGCATGCAGCACCCCCTTCAGCTGCTCCTCCCCCACCCCTCCGCACCGCACCAGCGCCAGCCGCTTAAGCTGCCCAAACACCGCCGCCCGCGCAATGCTCTAAAACGAGTGCTGTACCTTCGAACTGAAGAAGGGATGGGTGGAAGGATGGGCGGACGAGCGACCCGGCATGGAAGCAGGGGCAGGAGGGCCAAGATACATGGAAGGAACGTTTGGTGGCAGCCAAGTAGGCTGAGGAGTAGGCACGAATTGGATTTTCTCCAGGGTCAGCGAATCCAGGCACGGGCAGAATACTTCCACAGGCGTTTCTGATTCGGTCCTCAACATCTCCTCTTCAGAATCCTCTTTCTGTCCTTCCTCCAGTCCCATCCTCTCCCCGGGTTGCATTGGTGCTAAAATTCCAGGTGGCACCCCAACCGCTGCTGGTGCATCAACCGCTGCTGGCGCATCAACCGCTGCTGGTGCATCAACCGCTGCTGGTGCATCAACCGCTGCTGGTGCATCAACCGCTGCTGGTGCATCAACCACTGCTGGCGCATCAACCGCTGCTGGCGCATCAACCACTGCTGGCGCATCAACCGCTGCTGGTGCATCAACCGCTGCTGGCGCATCAACCACTGTTGGAACTTCACCTGAAAGAAGGTGAGGGATGTCTGGCACGAGAGTGGATTCCAGAGCATGCATAGCAGAGGCATTCGACTCAAGCTGCTGCATGCGAGATTCCAACACCCCAAGCAATTCCGCACGGGATTCCCGCACACCAGATCGCCCAAACCATGGGTCTTGGACAGCACCAAGAGCTGCAACAGCAGGTACTGGCAGCAGCAGTTCACGTGCATCAAGCGCTGCAGCAGCCGGAATCGCAAGCACATTTTCACGAGCAAGATCTTCGTCCTCTGTGTCGCCTCCGCTGGACTCCACAGTGAAAAAACCCCAAACCCTGGGCTGCAGCGAATTTCCTCTTCATAAGAATCTCCCTCGCTCTGGCCTCGTTGGCATCACAAATCCCCAGATACGCCGACTTGCAGAGTGAGCCCACAAGCCCGGCGCCTGCAATCGCTCGCCTGATCTTGTGTTCGGAATCAGACTCACGAGCATTGTCGGCCTCGAAACAGATAACTTCCAAGCCCTCCTTCGCTCTGTCTATTAGACTGACGGCATCGTTGAATGAAGAAACTCGATCAGCATGTGCCGCTGCTGCTGCTGTACGAATATCCACATACTGTCGCCTCCCACCCATCAAATTTCCTCCAATTGAAGATACAGCCGATGGTGGGGTCACAGAATACTCCTCTTTCCTCCCTTCCTCCGCTCCCTTCTCTTCCACCCTCACCAGCATGCCCACCAGCCCTTCCAGCGAACCTTCTCCCATTTGTACAGTCAGACACCGCAGGCTGCTGCAGTCGGCAAGCATGCCGGGGCGGAACGATGGCAGGCGAACCAATATGAGCGTCTGGAGCTTGGGGCGTGACGATTGGAGCATGGTTGAGAGCCCCCTAGGGCTGAAGAGGTGGTAGGAGCTGCTGGCGAGCTCGAGAAGGGAGAGGCCGGGGTTGGACTGAACAATCGCTGCCACTATACGGCTGCACACCGAAGGGCAGTCAGCGGCTGCGAGACGGGTGAGAGTGGTGATGGAGCGCGATAGGGCAATCACCTCGCTTGGGTTGAATATGCACGCGTTAAAGGCGAGTTCGGTGAGGTTGGGGAAGCATGAGAAGCATGCGAGGGAACCAATAAGGCCGGCACTAATGACGCAAAGGTACTGGAGCGAGATACGAGCAGCAGAGGAGGAGGAGGCGAGGGAGAAGAGGGTGGTTCTCGAAGGCTTCCGGATAATGAGGGAGGTGAGGGCGGAGCAGCGAGGGAGGGACGGGACGTCCTCCGCTGGAAAGAGGAGATTCAGGGTCTGCAGCGCCGGAACGGCGTCGAAAGGGAAGTGCCTGGGCTCGCTGGAAGACTCATCTGTAGGGCGCGCGAATGGATCGTCCAACTCGAGCTTATTCAAGAGCCTGGCAAGGTGGTCAGGGGGAACGGGAAGGGTCAGCAGGAGAAGGAAGCCAGGAAGAGTAGATGTGGGGAAAGGCGAGAAAAGAGTAGGCGGATGTAGACCAAAGAAAGACGCGAGAAACAGGCGACGGGGGAGGAAAGAGAGGGGGAGGGGGGAGAGGGAGGGGGATTATCGGAAAAAAACGTTGAGATTTCTCAGGAGCGTTCAACTCACGGGCAATTCTTTGCGAGCGTCCTCCACGCAGCAGGCGTCGTGTTAAAGATCCCTTGCACCACCGCAAGCTTCAGCTGCTCCAGCTTCGGGCAGCTCGAGCCGATTCCCGCCAGCAGCTCGTTCCCCATGTCGACGTTGATATCCACGACTAACATGGTGATGCAGGAGAACACCAGTGAAAAGTCGCTCAATTCTTGTAACCAGTCACGGATTGTGGTGTTGGGTCTTCTCGACCAAAGGAGCTCGAGACGCAGCGCGTAGGGTGTACCGCGCAAGAGGCCGTGCAGGCGTTTGCAGGTGTGCGAGACGCTAAAGCGATCTAGTGGGTGGAGGACGCGGCAGAGGATGGCGCTGAGGAGCTTGTCCGGGAGCGACAGCAGGCGACAACGGCCGCCGCCCGCCATGATGACGAACCGGACGTTTACCAGTCAAGCGCGGTACCCTCCGATGCACTTGGATTTCCGGCCGTAACCGCAGCCGCCGAGCGACGACATGCTTCCTGCCACAGCAACGCGAGGGGCCGTAAGGCAATATAAGGAAGTCTTGACTGGAACGTCGAACGGAAAAGAAACAGGGTACTATTGATGGTACCGCGGAACGAAAGAACCATCACGTCAGGAACGAACCGTTGAAGGCCGAACGAACAGAAAAAGTGGTCGGAGCTTCTCCATACGACTATCCTCGAGTAGACGGCGAGCTCTACGTCAGAAGGCCAGAAGAAAACGGCACATTCTGAAAGCCATCCAGCAGAGCCCGTGCATATTGTTCAAGGCAGGGTGCTAGCTCTCGGCGTGGGCGTGGAGCTGCGGAGGAGCCGTGAGAGGACATTGGGAATGGATTTCCAATATTCGAACCGAGCCTTCGGCAAGGAGCCGCGGAGAAAAATAGCGTGAAGAGATCGAGGATGAATCCCCAAGACCAAGCCGAGAGGTTCTCGGGATGGAGCGAAATAAGTTCCCAAGGCCTCCCGCGTCCGTGGATTCCTGAGGCCATGAAATCCCCAAGGCCGTGCCTTTCCAAAAGTCATGAGTTCTTGAGGCCTGAGCAGCTCTGGCCATGGAGGTGCGGCTGGTGTGCAAGGAGATCGGCGAAGATAGATGCACGGCAGACCTGGAATTCCCCAAGGCCCCAAACACGGATGTTCCCAGGCCTGTGTTTCCCCCAAACCCCCCTGTCCCAGTTGAATGCTGAGGTTCGCTTCGCGAGGCAGATACACCTGTTTTTCTATTTAGTTCTACGTTTTTTCACGCGGCTTGAGTCTGTAAGCAGGAAATAGTAAAACACGGGCAAACGGGACTTTGAAGGGGAAATCCCACAGTAAGCAATGACACTTGGTTACAAAATCTCGCTCATGCACTAGATTGATTGCCTGCGCGACGTTCCAGCTCTGAATCTCGCAATTGTTGAAATACAACTCGATAGTTCGTTATCGTTCAGACTGCAGCCAATCAGGTTCAGTGTCAACGCGAGTCATGCTGAGAACCTGGTAGGTGAGATTGCAATTTAGACTGTTCGGGGTGGAACCATAGAGGAGAAAAAGTGTACACATTTTGCAAAAAGAGGAAGGTAAAGCCCGGATCCCAAGTTGCAAGGCCCAAGTTTTTTTTTTGCTAGCAATATCGTAGTGCAAAAAAGTGGGTAACCCCATGCACCCGGATGAAACTGAACATTGACGCGGTGGCTGTAAAAGGGGGCTCGTGATTGGTCGAAGGCAAGCAAACACCTTCGCCCAAGCAGCCCAACCCCCCGGCTCTCTCTCAGCTCAAACAGGTAAGGGAAAGTTGCTATCAATTTTTGTAAATTGGGACCAAGCCGTGACCGACTAGTGGCTAGAAACTAGCCAGCATACGAGGTTTCTTGCACGCGTAGCCAAGCCTAGACGGAACTGCGCGCCATAAGGAATGATAGCGATAATGACGCAGATCCCGCGAAGATTGGCTAAGCATTGCGAACTGCTGATAACAGTTCCCGAGGGAGGAAGTGACGCGGGAGCATCGAGAGAGTGACGTGAAAGCAGGGATAGAGCGCCGCTGCGAACAGCGAGGGATAGGCACGACAGAGGCCAAGATCACTGGTGGGACGCGATAGGAGCGACCTCGTGGAGCGATAGCAGGGACGGCAGTGACCCGATAGCAGGGACAGAGTGACGCGACAGCAGGGACAGAGTGACACGATAGCACGGAGTGACGCGATAGCACGGAGTGACGCAATAGCAGGGACGGAGTGACGCGATAGCAGGGACGGAGTGACGTGCTAGAACCTTAGCACAGAGTGGCTGAGGCGAAAGCAGGGAGGAAGCAGCGAGGGCAGGGGAGGGAGAGCGGAGTGAGCGCGTGGGAGGGAGAGCGGAGTGAGCGCGGGAGGGAGAGCGGAGGGAGCGCGCGGGAGGGAGAGCGGAGTGAGCGCGGGAGGGAGAGCGGAGTGAACGCGCGGGAGGGAGAGCGGAGTGAGCGCGGGAGGGAGAGCTGCGTGAGCGCTTGGGAGGGAGAGCGGAGTGAGGCGCAGGAGGGGGAGCGGCGTGATCGCGTGGGAGGGAGAGCGGCGTGAGCGAGCGGGAGGGAGAGCAGCGTGAGCGCGCGGGGGGGAGAGCGGCGTGAGCGCGGGAGGGAGAGCGGCGTGATCGCGGGAGGGAGAGCGGCGTGGTCGCGGGAGGGAGAGCAGTGTGATCGCGGGAGGGAGAGCGGCTTGATCGCGGGAGGGAGAGCAGGGGCAGCGGAAGGTGAAAGGGGAAAGGGGTGAGAGCAAGGGCAGGGGTGAGAGAGAAGAGTGAGCGCAGGCGAGGGGGAGAGGCGGGAGAGCAAGGGAATGGGAGAGGGGTGAGAGTGGAGAAAGGGGAGAGGAAAGAGAGCAGGGGAGAGGGAGAGGAGTGCGAGCAGGAGAGGGAGATAAGAGTGAGAGCAACCAGGGAGGGAGGGAGGGAGTGAGAGCAGGGGAGGGGAAGAGGAGTGAGGGCAGGGCAGTTGGAGAGGAGGGAGAGCAGGGCAGGGGGAGAGGAGTGAGAGCAGGGGAAGGGAGAAGAGTGAGAGCAGGGGAGGGAGAGAGGGAGTGAGAGCAGGGGAAGGGGAGAGGCATGAAAGCAGGGGAAGGGAGAAGAGTGAGAACAGGGGAAGGGAGAAGAGTGAGAGCAGGGGAAGGGGAGAGGCATGAGAGCAGGGGAAGGGAGAAGAGTGAGAGCAGGGGAAGGGGAGAGGCATGAGAGCAGGGGAAGGGAGAAGAGTGAGAGCAGGGGAAGGGAGAAGAGTGAGAGCAGGGGAAGGGGAGAGGCATGAGGCATGAGAGCAAGGGAGAGGAGAGAGAGTGGGGGAGGGGGAAAGGAGTGCGAGCAGAGGAGGAAGGGAGGAGTGAGGGCAGGGGAGGGAGAGAGGGAGTGAGAGCAGGGGATGGGGAGAGGAGAAAGAACAGGGGAGGGGGAGAGGAGTGCGAGCAGGGGAGGGAGAGAGGGATTGAGAGCAGCCAAGGGGGAGAGGAGTAAGAGCAGAGGAGGGGGAGAGGAGTGAGAGCAGGGGAAGGGGAGAGGAGTGAACGTGGGGAAAGGGGAGAGGAGAGAGAGCAGGGGAGGGGGAGAGGAGTTTCACTTATGAGTGCACCAGGAGATGCTCTAGGCCCGCTGCATGCCTTCCAGGTGAAGTCAAGGGGCACGTGCCAGGTGAGAGCCTCAGAGAAGGCACCCCGCCTCAGAGTTTTGCCACAGTGTAAACGGCACATGTGCTTAGTCACACAGCTGCAAAAGATGTGGGCGGGGCAATACCAGGTTAGCACTCACTCTGCCTGACCTTCCCCACTCTCCCCTTCCCCCCCTCTCACTCTAATAGGAGCACCCCCTTACCTTCCCTTACCACCCCCTCGTACCCATCTGGAGTGCAGTGGACGGGAAAGCTTGCATCCATAGCACTTGTGATGCCGCGGCGTCTCCAACCCCCCATCCCGTCTCCTGCCCCATAAACCCTCTCCCACCCCATTGAGCCACTCCATCCTCCCTGTTTCTCTCTCTCTCCCTCATTGTGTGCGCAGCTATCGCTGGACGTCCTGTTGTCACGCAGAAGAAACTCACTCAAGATGTTGACAACCCACCCTGGCAGGAGACTCGACGAAGGAAGTTAGAGGAAGGCCCTCGGTGGTTGGAGACGAAGTGGGAAAGGCAGTGGGGAGGGGGACACAGCGTGCAGACCAATTGGTGGTTGTGGCGGAGAAACGAGGCAGCCAGGAGGCACAGTGTTTGGTTGGTAGAATTGCCGTGCCAAGAACACATAGGTGTGGACTGATGATCAGAGTTGTGTCGTGTTTGCGACCAACATTACCTAGAATAGGTGGTCTATTAGCTTTCTGTTCACACTGTTTGAGTGTCCAAGTTCAATACACACATTGGTTTTACAGTTTCTCAAACGATCCACCTCCCTATTGTTTCCCTGCTGCCTTGTCACCTGGTAGTTTTACATCACCAGCACCCCATCAATCTCGTCATGACTCTAATCGCCCAAATCGGCCATGACCTCTGCCGCATTTAGTTGAACACTATCGCAGGCAAGAAATCGTGGTTGGGAGAGGGGGAGAAGTGAGAGCTGGGAAGAGGGTGAAAGTCAAACACGGACTGAGGGGATAAGTAGCGAGTGAGGGATGGGCAGAGAGTGAGGGATGGGCAGAGAGTGAGGTATGGGTAGAGAGTGAGGGATCGTCAGGAAGCATGAGAGCAGGGAGGGAGTCAGAACAAGGGGGAAGGGAGAGAGAGGGGGCAAGAACACAGGGAGGAAGAATGCAGGGAGGCAGAAAGCAGGGAGGAAGAAAGCAAGGAGGCAGAAAGCAGGGAGGAAGAAAGCAGGGAGGAAGAAAGCAGGGAGGCAGAAAGCAGGGAGGCAGAAAGCAGGGAGGAAGAAAGCAGGGAGGCAGAAAGCAGGGAGGAAGAAAGCAGGGAGGTAGAAAGCAGGGAGGAAGAAAGCAGGGAGGAAGAAATCAGGGAGGAAGAAAGCAGGGAGGCAAAAAGCAGGGAGGCAGAAAGCAGGGAGGAAGAAAGCAGGGGGGCAGAAAGCAGGGAGGCAGAAAGCAGGGAGGCAGACAGCAGGGAGGCAGACAGCAGGGAGGCAAACAGCAGGGAGGCAGATAGCAGGGAGGCAGAAAGCAGGGAGGCAGAAAGCAGGGAGGCAGAAAGCAGGGAGGCAGAAAACAGGGAGGGAGAAAGCAGGGAGGGAGAAAGCAGGGAGGCAGAAAGCAGGGAGGCGGAAAGCAGGGAGGAAGAAAGCAGGGAGGAAGAAAGCAGGGAGGCAGAAAGCAGGGAGGCAGAAAGCAGGGAGGCAGAAAGCAGGGAGGCAGACAGCAGGGAGGCAGAAAGCAGGGAGGCAGAAAGCAGGGAGGCAGAAAGCTAGGAGGAAGAAAGCAGGGAGGCAGAAAGCTGGGAGGAAGAAAGCTGGGAGGCAGAAAGCAGGGAGGGAGAAAGCAGGGAGGGAGAAAGCAGGGAGGCAGAAAGCAGGGAGGCGGAAAGCAGGGAGGAAGAAAGCAGGGAGGAAGAAAGCAGGGAGGCAGAAAGCAGGGAGGCAGAAAGCAGGGAGGCAGAAAGCAGGGAGGCAGACAGCAGGGAGGCAGAAAGCAGGGAGGCAGAAAGCAGGGAGGCAGAAAGCTAGGAGGAAGAAAGCAGGGAGGCAGAAAGCTGGGAGGAAGAAAGCTGGGAGGCAGAAAGCAGGGAGGTAGAAAGCAGGGAGGAAGAAAGCAGGGAGGAAGAAAGCAGGGAGGCAGAAAGCAGGGAGGCAGAAAGCAGGGAGGGAGAAAGCAGGGAGGGAGAAAGCAGGGAGGCAGAAAGCAGGGAGGCAGAAAGCAGGGAGGAAGAAAGCAGGGAGGAAGAAAGCAGGGAGGCAGAAAGCAGGGAGGAAGAAAGCAGGGAGGAAGAAAGCAGGGAGGCTGAGCTGGAATATATCCCAGCAGCCTCCTCCACGCACTCCAGCCTCCGTCCTCCTCACTCCATTCCTCCAATCCCGTCACCTCCTCCCTGTCCTCAACCCCTCCTCCCCCCTCCTTGTCCTCCCCTTGTCCTCCCTGTCCTCTCCCATTCCTACCTCCTCTTTCTTCCTCTCCTCTGCATCCCCCTCTCTCTTGCTCCGCATCCCCCTTTCTCACACTCCGCATCCCCCTCTCTCACACTCCGCATCCCCCTCACTCACACTCCGCATCCGCCTCTCTCACACTCCGCATCCGCCTCTCTCACACTCCGCATCCCCCTCTCTCACACTCCGCATCCCCCTCTCTCACACTCCGCATCCCCCTCTCTCACACTCCGCATCCCCCTCTCTCACACTCCACATCCCCCTCTCTCACACTCCGCATCCCCCTCTCTCACACTCCGCATCCCCCTCTCTCACACTCCGCATCCCCCTCTCTCACACTCCACATCCCCCTCTCTCACACTCCGCATCCCCCTCTCTCACACTCCGCATCCCCCTCTCTCACACTCCGCATCCCCCTCTCTCACACTCCGCATCCCCCTCTCTCACACTCCGCATCCCCCTCTCTCACACTCCGCATCCCCCCCTCTCACACTCCGCATCCCCCTCTCTCACACTCCGCATTCCCCTCTCTCTCGCCGCGCATCCCCTCTCTCGCGCTCTGCATCCCCCTCTCTCACACTCCGCATTCCCCTCTCTCTCGCCGCATCCCCCTCTCTCGCACTCTGCATCCCCCTCTCTCTCGCCGCATCCCCCTCTCTCGCACTCTGCATCCCCCTCTCTCTCGCCGCATCCCCCTCTCTCGCACTCTGCATCCCCCTCTCTCTCGTCGCGCGTCCCCCTCTCTCTCGCTCTGCGCCGTCGGTCGTGAATGCGTTACGGATATGCCCTGCGCAGTTATAACGCCCTAACTCGAGGCGCTGCCTCTCGTCCATTTCAGAGACTTAGTTCGCCGATTTTGCGAAGAATGCTACGTATTCCTTACGCTTAGAGGAACGCATGGGCTTATCTCGAATGGCGCGCCATTTTGCGATCCACCGATATTAGTGCGCGCGATTTTTTATTTACAAAGAAAATTGGAAATCCGATATGCGTGTGACCTGCGGTCGAGTCTACTTTGAGTTGCTGGCGAAATAGAAAATTTACGCTAGCAGAAGTCCTGCTATTGCAAGCGAAATATGGGCTGTGAAAATGCCTGGCGTCTTTGGATGCTCTCTGTTGCGTTCAGCGCGTTTGCCGGAGTGCAGCTGGTTGATGGTGTGGCGTGTTAGCCTACCGTCTGTACTGCTGTGCACCTTGTACCGTGTGTTGTGCTTTGCTGGTCTTGGTTTTCCTTTCCCTGCCTTGTTTGAGTTTTGGTTTGCGAAGTACAATTTGCATCTGCGAGAGTCGCAAACAAATTTCTAGAATTCGGGCTCTCGTCAAACTCGCAGCCAATAGCAAGCCTCTCTCTCAAACCCAAGCCGCGCTCTCTTTTCGCGGCTTGTAATTTGGGATCCGGGTTTTAAGGCATGGATTCCCAGGCAGATTCGCGAATGAGGTTGAGTATGCGATAGGACGTGATTCAGTAAATTGTCTAAATGCTAGCTTAACTAGAAAGAAAGGCCGCCATGAAATGGCGGCCAGAGGTTTAGTTAGGGGAGGAAAGTGTCGAGAGAAAGAGAGTTGGATTAGGAAGAGAGGGGAGTACAAGGAGGGGTTTGTACCCCCTACAGAAAGGTTCAGTAACAACCTACCAAGCCTATATTAAATTATAACTTATATAATTTGAACATAAATACCATGAAAGCTAAGACAAGATCCCAAGACTAGCTATGGTATTACCTACCATTCCTGATGCGAACATAGCCTTCACCCACTTGGCACAGTGAAGCAGTGCAACCTTGTAGGCCATGACAAGCTCTAATTCCATCTTGCCTAAAGGCATAGAGCACCATAGAATCTGACTTCATGAACAACATCTGAAGGAGCCACAAATCCCCATGCTACCACATCCTGACACAAAAAACACATCACAGCCCCCTCAATCGCCATCCCATCGCATCAGCTTACACCCCCCTCACCACCACGCCAGCACGAAGCAGATTCCTCCGAGCCCTTTCAAGAACCTTATCCACTTCCACCTTCAACTGCATCAATCTTGGAAAACTTCCAAGCACCCCTGTGATGCCAGCAGCAGTGACTTGGTCGCAATTAACCAGAGTAGCATGTGTGAGGGTGTGGAGCGTGGTTGCCAGCAGCAGTGCGTCGGACATGGCCTCGCTGTGCTCCACCCTCAGCTCCACCAGCCACTGGCATGCATGCAGCACCCCCCTCAGCTGCTCCTCCCCCACCCCTCTGCACCGCACCAGTGCCAGCCGCTTCAGCCACCCAAACACCGCTGCCCATGCAATGCTCTCAAACGAGTGCTGCTGAAAGCTTGGATGGGGGGTGGAATTGGAGAAGCGGGGGAAGGAGGGGCGACTGCGAGCAGGGTACACGGGGAGAGGTGAAGTCGGACGGGTTGCAGACACCCAAGAGGACTCGGAAGTATTAACGAATTGAATCTCTTCGAGGAGCAAAGACTCCAGGCACGGGCAGAACACTTCCACAGGGGTTGCATTGTTGGCTCCCTGCATCGCTTCAGCTCCTGTGCGTCTGCTGCCTGACTGTTCCTGCTGCTCCCTTGAAGTTTCCTCTCCCTGAGCCCTTTCCATTTGCAGTGATGCTGCTGGGGTTGCTGCTGGCTCCCCTGCTGTGATCAGCTGATCATCTTCAGGGGCGAGCATGGCAAGAGATTCATACATGGCAGATATATGAATCTTCACCTGCTCCTTAAGCGAGTTCAGCACCTCGAGAAACGCTTCACGGGATGCCGGCGCACCGGCCTCTGCAGCAGCAGCAGCCTCAGCAGCAGCAGCAGCGGCAAGGCGGTCAATTTTGAGCTCTTCAGTGTCAATCCTATAGTTTTCTGGAACGAACCTCTCAGTAAAAACACCCGATGACTGGACGGAAGCAAACTCTCGCATCAGAGCTGCTTCCCTCTCCTTGGCAGTGAGAAAGTCTTGGATCCCCACACAGACAGCATGACATGCTGCAATCGCGTTCCCGAATGCTTGAACCGTGTCTCTGAAACGAGCTGGAGTCTGGAAATAACTCTGAGGTAAATGGCGCACTGTGTCTAAGCACCTATTCGAGGCATGCCTCAGATTGGAGGTATCCTTGAGTGCAGACATACGATCCGCATGTGCTGCAGCCGCTACTGTGCGAATATCCAAATAGACCCTCCTCCTCATCCCAACTTCCCCTCCCGCTGCTGCTGCTGCTGCTGCTGCTGGTGTTCCATCTCTCCCTAACTCCTCATGAATTCTGCTTCCCACGGCTGGTTCCTCTCCTTTATTCCTTGCCTCCCCTCCTCCTTCCCCTCCTCCCTCTTCTCCACCCATCCCTTCTTCTCCCGTCGCCTCCACCCTCACCAGCATGCCCACCAGCCCTTCCAGCGGCCCTATTGCTCCTTTGACTGTCAGCGACCGCAGGCTGCTGCAGGCTGCAAGCATAGCGGGGCGGAGCGACAGCAGGCTGGAGAGTTCTAGCGTATGGAGCTTGCCGGCCGACAGCTGGAACACTAACGCGAGTCCTCGTGCACTAAACAGACGATAGGCGCTGCAACTGAGGGAGAGGGAGGCGAGGGAGGAGTTGGAACGGACCATGGCTGCCACTGAACGGCTGGACATGTACGTGTGGATGGAGAGGTGGGAGAGTGTGTGGAGGGCACGAGTGGATGAGTGCAGCTCGTGTGGATTCGACCAGCATGAGTGTACGGAGAGGGAGGAGAGGTTGGGAAACGAAGAGAGCTCCTCGAGAAAAGCACAGAGGCCACCACCGTCGATGGCGAGCGATGTGAGGGAAAGACGAATGCAGGAGGAGGTGGAGGAGAGGGAGGAGAGGAAGGAGGTAGTGGGCCTGTGAAGAGCGAGGGAGGTGAGGGAGGAGCAACTGAGGAGGGAGGGGACGTTGTTGATGTGGACGTGGCGGAAAGCGAGGGACTGCAGGGACTGGAAGGCGTTCCCAGGGGGGAGGAGAGGCTGCTGGGAGGAACCGTCCACCTGGGAAGCATCGCAGGAACCCAGCTCAAGCGGTGTCAACAGCCTGACGAAGATGTTGAGGGAGGGGTGGAGGGGAGAAGAGAGGAGAGGAATTGGAAGGAAAAGAAGATGAGGGCAGTGCGTGAGGGTAACAGAAACGGAACAAATGGTCATAGAATGGAGCAGGAAACACATGATGCAGGAGAGCCTAGCTCTCGGCCGTATGAAGGGGAGAAGGTTCTCTCCCTCTCTCTGTCGCTCTCTCTCAGCTGTTGAATCAGAAATCGGAATTTGGATGACGAAATTACGAGTGAGTGAAGAGCGACTGGACGTCCAGGTGTTTCATACGCCTGTCAACTTACGAGCACTTTTGTGCAAACGCTCTCCACGCATCAACGGTCGTGTAGAAATCTCGCCATTGCGGCACAAGCTTCAGCTTCCGCAATTTCGGGAAGGCAGCCGCAATTCCCTCCAGCAGCTCGTCCCCATGGCTGACCCTGATGACCACGGATAAACTGGTCACGCCCGTGAACACCTTTGCCAACCTGCAAAGTTTATCCAGCCAGTTCTGGGCTTTGTTCTTCTCGTCGCAGCCCTTCAGTCTCCTTCTGCTTGCGACGTACTCGAGGTTGAGAGAGAGGGGCGCGCATCGAATAAGGCGGTGGAGGCGGGGGCAGGAGAGAGCAACGTTGGCGTGGTCCGATGGGTGGTCGATGCGCGTAAAGATATTCTCGAGCAGCTCGTCTGGGAGCGACAGCAGGCGACAGTGATTGCCACGCGTCATGATGGTGAACCTGCTGAGTTAAGCGCCGTACACGCAGATGCTGGCCGACGGGTAAAAAGGATGGTTACGGAAAGGTCGAATGTAGCAGCACCAGACCATCAGTGAAACCAGATGCCAGGAGAGGCAGAACAAGCGTGGGTGGTTCTGCATGCGTGTATTCTGGTTCAGACGGCAGCTCTCCATACAGAAGGTCAAAAGAAAGAGGGATGCAGTAAACGTGGATCACCGAGGCAGAAGACCATCAAGGGTTTCGGCAAGGAGCTGCGGAGAACAGCCCGAGGGATTTGAGGATAGATTCCAAAGAACTCAGGGCCGATCCGGACGTCATTTAAAGCCTCGTAGCCTCAGGAAATGCGTCCGATTATTAGCAGAGTTTGATACGCCGTTTGGTGTTGAGTTTCCTGCAATAGCAACGCGACGGCCAGTGAGGCAATGCAAGGAGTACAGAAGTGCCGACTGAAAAAGGAAGACGGCATTGTACGGACTAACCGTTGATGGAAGCGTCGAACGAAGAAACAACACGTTAGGAACAAGCCATTGAAGGCTGAGCCGACAAAGTCATCGGTCGGAGCTTCTCCGTGGGTTTATCCTCGTGTGGATGTCGAGCTCTCAGCCAGAAGGCCAGATGAAAATGGCACAATCTGAACGCGAATCCGCAAAGCCCGTGCATCTGGTATAGCGATGAGCTCTAGAGCGGAGGGGGAACGGTGACGGAACATTGGGGACGGATCCAGACCCAACCTACGCTTTGGAGCCGCGGAGAACAGGCTGAGGCAATCGAGGTTTCAATCCGACGGGATGGAGTTGCGAAAAAACAAAAATCAAATCCTTTTGCAAAAGTGGAATCCCAAAGCCATGAACTCCCCGAGGGCCGTGCACTTCCCGAGGTGATGAATCTCCGAAGCTCATGATGTTCCCAGGCCCGAGCAGCTCTGGCCAAGGAGCTGCCAGTGGCGATGCCTAGAAATCGGCAATGACGCACTGCGAAATCCGGAATTCCCGAGGCCTCAAGCACACATCAATTCTCGAGTTTCCCTCGAATTGACTCTGCTGGAATCCACGCGGCCAGCTAGGTGCACGATCTTGGAGGGAAGCAGGATTCGCCAATGCGGTTTTGAATGCGATACAGAAGGACTAGGGCAAGCTTACGAATGAAGGCTTTGCCTAAAAACCTTATCCTCTTATCTAAACCTTCCGATAAATCCAAAGGACTGCACCAAAAAGTTACAGAAAAAACTAGACTTCGGACACCATCAAAGGAGGCACAGTCCCATCTCAATTGCCACACCAAGTGCAACCATTTACACCCCCCTCACCACCACACCAGCACGAAGCAGATTTTGCCAAGCACTTTCAGGAACCTTTTCCGCTTCCACCTTCAGATGCCTCAACCCTGGAAAACTTCCAAGCATCCCTGTGATGCCAGCAGCAGTGACCTGGTCGCAATTCACCAGAGTAGAATGCGTGAGCGTGTGGAGTGTGGTTGCGAGCAGCAGTGCGTCAGACATGGCCTCGCTGTGCTCCACCCTCAGCTCCACCAGCCACTGGCATGCATGCAGCACCCCCTTCAGCTGCTCCTCCCCCACCCCTTTGCACCGCACCAGCGCCAGCCGCTTCAGCCGCCCAAACACCGCCCCCCATGCAATGCTCTCAAACGAGTGGTGCTGACCAGTAGCACTTGGGGTGGAGTTGGAGAAGAAGAAGGGAGGAGAGAGGCCCCATGTGGAAGCTGGGGTAGGGGAAGCAAGGCACATAGGCGGGGATGTAGTGGGAATGCCCGTAGACAGGGTAGGGGTAAACTGGATGCTTTCTAGAATGAGGGAATCCAGGCGAGAAGAGACCACTTCCAAAGGTATTGCCCGTTCTGTTCCTCGTGCTGCTGTAGATGCTGCGGCAGCCACTGCCGGCACCTGCTCCCTCCTGTCCGGAGCATTGCCCTGCACGCGCAAGGGCTCGAAGCTCTCGTGCAGCGCAAAGGCGTGCGCGTACATCTGCTCCTCCAAGCCGTCCAGCACAGCCAGCAGCTGCGGCCGCGACGCCTCAAGAGCGTCGTCGGCACCAGGCTCCGTCTCCACCATGTTACCGACCATCTCCGGCGCCGCACCGGCAGAGAACTCCTCCTCCGTGAAACACACCGCACCTTCCACTTCCGCCTCTTCCTCCCCTCCTTCCTCCCCTTCTTCCTCCCCTCCTTCTTCCTCCCCTTCTCATTCCTCCACTTCTTCGTCCTCTTCTTCGTCGTCGTCTTCGTCTCCGGTATAATCCGCAGTTAATATCCGTGACGCCTGGGCAGCGGCAAAGGCTCGGTTCACAGCAGCTACCCTCTTGCGTGCCGCTTGGAAGTCCCGCACCGCCGCACAAGCGGCCTGGCAAGCTGAGATGGTCCTAATGGCGGTCTTATTGGCGGTCAACGCGGTGTGCAGGGCCTCGTACTGGTGCGCGGAATCGGCAGCGGAACTCGCGGAGTTTAGGAGCTCCTTGGCTACTAAATACAGCTCGCTGACGTCGTCCAATGCCGAGGCAGCATCCGCATGCGCCGCCGCCGCTGCCGCTGCTGATGCTGCTCCTGCCGCAAGGGATACTGGGCCCTCTCTGCCTTGCCTTACAACATCTCCCTCTCAACCTCCCTCTTCTCCCTCCTCTCCCTCCTCCCATCCCACCACCTCTACACTCACCAGCATGCACACCAGACCTTCCAGTGATCCTTTCGCTGCTTTGAGAGTCAGGCACCGCAGCCTGCTGCACCCGGCAAGCATGGCGGGGCGGAACGACGGCAGCCCCGAGAGCGTGAGCGTATGGAGCTTGATGGCCGATAGCTGGAGCGCAGCTGACAGCCCTCTAGCGCTGAAGAGGCGGTAGGTGGTGCCGGTGAGGGAGAGCGAGGAGAGGGCGGGGTTGGCTCGCACCATGGATGCCAATGCGCGACTGCAGACGAGGGGGCAGGAGTCAATCGTGAGGTGGGTGAGGGCGTGGATGGAGCGAGAGAGGGAGTGCAGCTCGCATGGGTTGAACAAGCACGAGTGGAGGGAGAGGGAGGAGAGGAGGGTGAAGGAGGAGAGGCATGGCAGGTAGTTGGTTAGGCTGGCGGATTGGAGAGTGAGGGATTGAAGGGACAGGCGGACGGAGGAGGAGGGGGAGGCGAGGAGGGCGAGGGAGCCGCCGGTGGGCTGCCAGAGGGAGAGGGCGGTGAGGGAGGAGCAGCGGAGGAGGGGGGAGATGTCCTTCGCGGGGAAGCGGAGGGTGAAGGAGCGCAGAGAGCGGAAGGCGCAGAGGGGCGGCAGGGCGGTTCTATCCTCGTAGCGTTATGCGGAGCGGGCTTGACGGGAGTCGAGCTCCAGATGAGCCAGCAGGCTGGAATACGGTTGCGCACGGGAGGGGAGATGGTGTTGTGAGTGGCACGTGATGCGCGTGCCACATTTCTCTCGCCACTCCAACCCCTCCCCCTCCAAAACCGCTCGTTAGAATTCTTCACCTACCCCAACCCATTTCCCACCAACCAAACCTACTCTACTTACCAAATTTCCAACCCAACTTTTCCAGCTTATCTCCTCCAACCTAAGGCCTCCCAACTATTCCTTAATTTTCCCCAACTCTCATAATCATTCCTAGTCCACCTCAACCAAGATTCCAACCAATCCTCCTATTCATCTCCAACTCCCACCTTAAGGCACATGACTCTTCATCATTTTTCATGTGCTCTCTCTTCCTACTCATCAAGAATTCTCTCAGTCATCTACTCCAACCAATAATCCTCCTCACATGTGACTCAAGCACATTCGTCCCTTCCCTACTCATCAACCTCCACATGCCCTTTATTTATTCCTTCCTTCCTTCCTATCCCAAGTCATCCAAGTTGCCATATCATCACACAAGACTCTCATGATTCCTTACATTCCTCACCTTCCAACTCAACGAAGCTTTCATTATTCCTCCTTTCCTTCCTTTCCAACTCATCCTAGTTTCTCTCCAACACCACATGGTTTACAACTCCAAGTTACCAAAGGCTCAACAACCATCACATGCTCCACTACTATTCATCTTCACCAAGAATCCTCTCCAACTTCTCAAGAAGTTTCTCCAAGTACAACAAGGCATCTCCAAGCTCCTCTCCTTCAAGCTCCCCTTCAAGTCTTCTTCAAGCTCCTCAAGCTCACACCACTACAAAGGCTCGTTGTCAGCATTCATGTTCTATGTCTCTAGAAATAGTATTACCATGCTACCTTTCTTCCTAGACTACCATGAGTGGTCTCTCTCTCTCATGCATGTCCTTGTATCCACCATGAATTATAAGGCTTGTACTATACCCTATTTCATATAAGTTTATGCTCTCATAGTTCTCCCAAAAAGTTCCTAGATTAGCAAAGTAATCGAGCATTAGTCCATCTTATACCCAACTCGAGTATAAGATGCATCACCAAGCCACAAGCTTGTAGGAAGATTCTCTTCTTCAACACTCCACCTTGTGGCACCTTCACTCTTCAAGTACAAGGCCCTCTCCTTCAACTTCATCCAAGATTGTGGTCTCTCCTCAAGCTTGTGATCTCCTCCCAAGCTCAAGATCCTTTCCGAGTGCAAGTCCTCCTCTATCAAGAACCACTCCCAAGATCCTACATCTCTTCTATTTTGTAACACACACAAAAGTAAGTCTTTCAACCTTCTTCATAAGCATCTCTCCCTGGACAAGTCTCTTTTTTACTCGCTTGAGTACATTTCTCTTATTTTTTACAAGCACATTATAATCCCATTTATATGCGCTACAGTTCTACTATTGCACTCTTGTCCTATTCAACCGTGCAATTATACTCTTTTGTCTTTATCTGAATTTCTTATCAGAGGGGGGGGGGGGGGGGGGGGGAGAATGAAGAAGTGTTGGTGACAAGAAAAGGTTTGTTGAAGTGACGAGAAAGGGGAAACGACAGAAAGGGATGCACGGGGAGAGAGACGATGAAGGTGGCAACGATGCGATGCAGGAAGGGAGAGAAGGAAGGAGAGTGGGCGAGGAGGGGGGGAGAGGTTTGGAGCTGGCTGAGAGTTGCTGCTGCGTCATCAAGCCCTTCTTTCTTCTAGCCTAGTACCCCGCAAGAATGCAGGACGGTCTGAGGGAGAAGGGGGGGGGGGGGGGGGGGGGAGGAGGGGGGGAGGGAGGGGGGGGAGGGGGGATACATGTGTCGTTCAGGAATTGACTAACGCCACGGGCCCCGAAAATCATGGCACACTCACGGGCATCCCCGTGCAAGCCTCCGCCAGCCGCTAACGGTAGCCTCGAAGTCCGCCCATTCCGATACCAGCCTGAGCTCCTCCAGCTGCGCGCATCGTGCACCGATGCCCGCCAGCAGGTGATTCTTCAGCGCGCTCGCCAGGTGCACAGTCAGGCTCGTGATGGGCGCAAACACCCTCGATTTGTCGTCGAAATCGCTCAGGCACTCCCGGATTTTGAGGGGCCGCTGTTGGTATGGCATGAAGTCGATGCGGAGCGCGTGGCGCGCGCAGTGCGAGAGGCTGCGGAGGCGCGAGCAGGAGAGCGCGACACTGCAGCGGTCCGAAGGGTGGTCGACGCGGCTGAGAATAGGCTCGAGGAGCTTGTCGGGGAGTGAGAGCAGGCGCGAATCGTGGCCGCCATGCTTCATAATGGCGACCCGCGTGCCACGTGGCATCATGATGTTGTTGGAATGGAAGTCTCTGCTGCATCGGGGGGGTGCAGCTGCAATGTCAGACAGAACCGGCTGGAAAAAAAAGGAACTCTGTCGTGCCAACGGGGTTGGCAATAGAGGATGCTTCGGCACGTCTGATACTGTATTATTACGTAGGCTCTAGCACTAAGGCCGTGGGGGGCAGGGCTTGTTATCCTGGTTCTTATGGGTGGGTCTTCACTTCACGCAGACGAGAACAAGGATGGGGCTCCAGATTCCAGAACAAGGATGAGAAACGGAAGGGATAATGCACGATTCGGACTTCAGTAACAACTTGTTGCCCCTATCGGCATGGCAGCTGCTGCGGAGGACAGCAAGCAGAGAATTTCAAGGCGCCAGTACGTCGAGTCGGGGGTGTTCCCGCTAGCAGAAGCCTCGTTCCTATGCGCAACTGTTGTGTTTGCCTCAGAACTCCGCCGCGCACGATATAATGTTACTTAGTTGAGAAAAAAATTCAAAAACCGCATCTTTGCGTTTTGAATTCCTTCTAGAGGGTACAATCCGTGCACCCCCTCTCGGTGCGCGTCACGAATACCTTTGGGAGGCGTGTAATCACCGGATACGAAATTATGCGAAGTTAAACGTCTTTTATCTCTACCCGGGTTTGGGAGAAATAATCCATGCTGCAAGTGACATTTTGTTTCGTAGCGGAGGTGGCTATTGAATCGTGATTTATCGACAACATGTAACAATAACGACAGATCCGGGCACGTTATCTGGCAATAAAAAAAAAGAAAACTCGTAGGGGCCGGGCATGTCATAGGGGATGGCATCAACCCTAAATTAGCGGCCCTTTTGCGAATTTCTTGTTGATGTTATTTCGAACCGGCTTTTGTTTTTGCCTGCTAACAAAAAGCACTGTACGTTTTTATCGCGAGAAACTTACTGCAGCGAACTGTCCATGAAACTTTTCATACTTCCGTGGACAGGCTCTACTTTCATAGACACCACATCGAAGTTTCGCTTCTCCCGTGGACTGCTTCAATACTTTCGTGGACTCCATGCTTACTTCCATGGACACACGCGAATTTGGAACAAAAAAAACATACAGATTTGTACAGATACCGATGAGAGGAAAAAATAAATTATAGCGTAATTAGGTCCCTCGAAAATTGTCGCAAGCTACAGTAATTGCAAGCCACCAAGTACGCTAGTTGTTTCGTGTGTTTAAAAATACTTTGAATCGATCGTCAAAATTCATCTCAATGGCTGTGACACAACGGTATCATTTGAACGACAATTGTAGCAGATCTAGTAGGTGAAATCTCGCTACAAAAGATTCAGGTAGTAGAATAAAGATAGATATTATGGTTACAAGGTTAATAGAGCTCCGTAAAACTCATAGTAGTCCCAAGATAACGATTTGGAATTTCTGCCCACCAGGAATTGAGAATACCATAAATTCTAGCATTTCCAAATATTTTAATTAATATCTGGCTTGCATTTTTAATGAATATATAAAATCTCTGAATTCCAATAACGTTTCATAAATATGGCTGTATAAATAGAAGCTTTCAGGTCTTGGTGCATTATTGTTTAATTTTAGTCAAGATCAAAATAAAAATAAATGAGATTCACAATTTTGGGATTTGTTTTTACTTTTGAATGAGAAACATACTTAAATGAAAATAAAAACAAGTGATTCTGAAAAAATACCTCTCAGATGCTATTTTTTTGTTCATAGAATTCGTGAAAGTAAAATAATATATTCTGAAGGAGAAAACAACTGTTGATTAATGCTGGCTAATCAAGCACGTGCATATTATGTATTTGTTGAGTACCTCTGATTTGAATGATAAGTATTTTTATCATGCGGACCCTAATACACTTTGTTTTTGAAAGTATACTCCATATTTGAATGCGGCTGCAAACTCTTCCCTAAAAAGCTTCGAGATTGTTTTTCCGAATTGGTTTCCGACACTATAGCTTGCGATTACTTGCGACGGATAGATAGTTTGAAGTAACTCTATTTTTTTGCTCGTAATTTCTTGTACATTACTGTATACTCCGTTTTAACTACGAATATGCGTGTGTTCATGGAAGTAAGCAGGGAGTTCACGAAAGTATTGACGGAGTCCACGGGAGAAGCAAAACTTTGATGTCGTCTCCATGAAAGTAGGTCTTGTCCACGAAAGTATGAAAAGTTTCGTGGACAGTCCACGAGAGTAATTTCCCCTTTTATCGCCCATTTGCATAATTATTATGCTGCAAGCTCCAGCAACGCGTGACCGACATATTTTGGCGCATGCGCTGCTTAATTGTTGTTACATGCAGATCGCCGAAATGGTATGATTGCGTCCGTAAGTATCAGCCGCACGGATAGATTCGACAAGATGCGGTGATACTGTTTCTAGCCACTGTTTGAATATTTATCTGGAGGAACTGACCCCGGTGGTGTACAAGACGAAGAAATTCGTATCTATTGTTATCTATCCTCCCAAAGGTATTCGTGACGCGCTCCGACGGGGGTTGCGTGGATTGTACACTTCAGAAGAAAATCAAAACGAGAAGTCGCGGGTTTTTGTATTCTCTTCTACTTAGCTTCACTCTCAACTCCTAACTCCGTCCACACCGCACTCACATGCCAAGGGCCAGGGGGCCGAGGCGGGGCGCGAGTCGCCAAATTCAAATTCGAAACACCAGACCGCGAGCCCCTCCGCTTGGCGAAAACTGGATACCCGATATTCTTCGCCAGAACCGAAACATAACTTCAGCCTAGGCTTATGAAAAAAACAAATTGATACAAAATTGTATATCATGATCCTTCCCACCCATCCATTCCTCTTCCCCACAAGGTCAGGTTCGATACAATGAAGCACGTGCCATAGCTAGTGTTGTGTGCATTATTACACGTGCCCATACCATCACCAATGATAACCATGTAACTACTCAGAAATTATATAACCATTTCGTACTTGTATAGAGCAACAAGAAATACTGTTGATTGAGCCGAGATGCTGATCCAACCATTCGGCTAACTCCTCTTCTAAACCCGAAACATTTGCTACCTTTCCTCTCTCCATCCCACTCAACCTCCCACTTCTTCTCATCCCAACAAACCCCCCTCCACCTCCACGTTCTGGTACGACCTTCTTAGGCCACGTCATTCCGATCCTGGCTGAAATCTCCTGACAGCATCTATCGTTCCCCAGCATCCAAAAGCCACTCCAAACACCACCAAGAACCAATTCCCCACCACCACTATCTCGCTCGTCCGGCCCTTACAGGCCTTTAGATGGAACAGTGCAGGGAGGACAAAGGCTAATGCAGAGCACACGCTGCAGCCTATAAGGGAGATGAAAGCCGAAAAGTGCGGCACACCCACTGCCACCGCCGCCACTGTGAGAACAGCCAGGGAGCGGAGCGAGCGGAAGAGCGTGCGGCGCAGAGAGTTGTTCGTGAGAATGTGGCGTTGCACCCAGGGGGAGAGGTAGAGCCGGCGCTCGTAAATCTCGTGCACTGGATGCATCATGACCGGAAAGGTGAAGAAGAGAGCCGCGCAGATACCCAGCTTCACTGCTTCCGACGGCCAACCCGGTGGCAGATTCAGCGTGATTATCTCCTGAGTCTCCTCCCCATACCCTAAATACCCCGCTGTGCCTACAGCCGCATAAGTCACTGCGATGATAGCGAGACCTAGCGCGAGAACGGAGGGGAATTTTCTGGGTTGCTTCATGGAGGCTTGCACGGGCAGTGTCATGCCGACCCCCTCGAAGGCGTATACGGCCACGCCTAGTGCCATGGGCGCGTTGGAGAGGCCTGTGAAAGCTGAGAGGTGGGAGAAGCCGTGGAAGGAGCGAATGCCGTAGAAAATGACCAGCGCAAAGGCAGACACGTTTGCCACGTCCGCGAATATGCTGGCGTTGCAAAAGGGGGGGTGGGGGGGGGAGGGGAGGGAAAGGCAGGGTGGGGAGGGGAGGGGAGAGATGTGACAGGGGAGAGGGAGAGTGGGAGGGTGCAGGGATGGGAATGGTGGGGCCTTGGTTGCAGGTAGGACGGCAGTAAAGATGGAGCCGGTAAAGGAAAAGATTAATGGGGAGGAGGAGGGGGAGGTCAGCAGGAATGCACGAGAAAGAGAGGAACGCACTTCAGTTGAAATTGATAGAGTACGAGGAGGGGATGGCGAAGGAATTCACCTGAAGGGAGCAAGGCGTGTGAGAGATCGCATCCAGGATAACAGAACCTCCAACGGAGCTGATCGAGGGAGGGGAGGAGGGGGGGGGGGACGGGGGGAGGAGGAAAAAGGGTGCACACTTTGGGTCTGGGAAGAGGAAGAGGGCGGAAGAGTGAAACGAGGAGAGGGGACGAGGCAAGAAAAGAAGCCGAACAGAACATAGGAAACCGAACAGATGAAAATTGGACGGGAGGGAGGAAGCAGGAGGAGAATATGGATGAAGGAGGCATGGGCCATGCTGGACTTGCTCTATCATGCTACCCTATGAAGATGAGATTACCCAGACGAGCATGGATAAACTCAACTCACCCACAGCAGCAATCACAAGAGCCTTGTGCTTGGTGGAGTGCGTGAGCACGCTCGACACGTTCTGGCCTATGAAGATGAGGTACGCCACGCAGAAGCCGCCCTGGCTCACCAGCATCATCGCATCCACAGCCACTCGCCCCCACACCCCGTACAGCCTGAACCCCAGGTCCCCGTACGAATTCACCTTCACCACATGCCCCTCCCCTGCTCTGCTTCCCGCTCCCTCCCTCCCCGCTCCCCCTTTCTTGTCGACTCCAGCGTTCCCCAAGTCCCCGGATCTCCCCACAGCGTTGCTCCCGCCGCTTCCCGTTTCCGTCTGTCTGCCTGCGCCGTCTCGGCCATGGCTCCTGCCTGAGCCACCGCTGTCGCTGCGTTGGGATTTACCGTTACTGCTGCTGGCGCGCCCGCTTTCAACGTCCCAACGCGAAACAGCTTCGCCAAACTCCACAGTCTGGCCTGAAGCTCCTGCTGCTGCGGTCGTTTCTGCTCCTGCTACTGCCGCTGCTCCTGCTGCTGTTCCTGCTGCTGAAGCTGTTGCCGCGGCAGAAACGGCGTCGTTAGCGTCGTCTTCTACGAATTGCCGCGCGGCAACGAGCAGCACCATGCCGTAGTATGACACACACGCCATGGCGGCGAGACAGATTAATGCAAAGAGCCAGCCGCTTTGCTTAAACGCGTACGGCAGGCCCAGCACACCCGCACCCACGATAGAGACTATTAGATTCCCCAACGTTTTCGTCGCGGAGGAGAGCCGCTGGCTGCCGCCGCCTCCCGCGCCGTGAATCCCGCCGTGAGATCCGCCGTGACCGCCGCTGCCGCTGCTGGATGTGGTGGGAGATCGCGGCTTGGATGGAATCCCGTTGGTGGTGTCTGAGGGCCATTGCGTGGTGTCTTCAACGTAAGCGACGTCGTTAAATGTGCGCAGCGAGGCATCGTGCTGGGGGGTGAGTGTCCGCGTCCCCGATAATAGAGGCTCCGTTAGAGTTGGCCCTGACAAAGCTGACGCGGTGGGGTTGCTGCTCACGGCCTGACGGAAGCGTGGAGAGGGTTGAGTTTTGGTCATGGCGTAGAAGTGAAAGTTCAGTGACGCGTCTCGATAACCTAGCTCATGACACGGAGAGATGAGGCCTGACAAGAGTGGTGACACAACTAGTAGGACTGAGGGGTTCTGTAACGCGTATGACTAGGTTCGTAACGGAGCATGCTCTATTGTCTACTGCTAGCGTGCCCGCGACATTCTGAATTTCGGCAGTAGAGCCACTGAAGCTCGACCTACAAGCGGATTCCACTCTGCTTTGCATAAAATTTCTCCTGAGGAGAGTCCCACCAGCTCGAAACGCTAGCCAGCTCAAGCCAATTCCTAGGTGGACCAAGCGTGTGCCATGGTGCTCCAGCAGAGCGACTGTGAAGTGTTTGCGTCAGCAGGCCTGCTCACAGCTCAAGGTGGCATGTAAAGGTCGTCGGCAGTTTCCACAATGCCTGAACAGTTTCTGAGAAAACAAGCAACCAGGGGGTATTCAGCCAAAGGAACGTTCTCGTGTCGGATGTCATAAAACATCTGCCCCTGCGTTAGGCTCGGCCCAACCTGGCTAACAGGCAAATGTAGACTGACATTTGCGGATGACACGACACAAGAACCCGACAAACCCCAGGGTTTGTTTTGAGTTTGTTCCAAGACTGATCACATGGAATGGAGCCAATGAACCAATCGACGGCCAATTTACACAACTCACCAAACCATCCCAACAGCCGTCCGATACCGTACAATGCATTGTCCGTGGGGTCGCCCTGGCCACAAAATTTTCCACCTGGCCAGCTCAACATGGTGTGGACATCGTAGATACCAGTTTCTGGTCTGTAGGAAAATCCGTAAGCCTGAATGCATATGGTTGCGTATGCATTTACGAGCAATATCTACGTCCGTTAGCGAGAAATGATCCCAGCTTCAAAACGAGTACGAAATCCAGCCACACAGACCAGACAAGCCATTGTGCCAGTCACGAAAGCATTGTTACTTCGTACATACATTGTTTTCCACTGGGGTCCAATAGATTCAGCTCGCGAGAAAATATCCTCCTCGCCAAACATTCTGTTTCGCCAGATCCTTCTTCCCTTTTCTTCCAACATTTAGCTTCTGTCAGTCGCTCTTGCCAAATCATATTTCCCCGCCAGACCCCTCACAGCCTCCTAGCGGCTCAAAATTCCCTGATCCCTCCATATTGGCACCGACCGCGATGCGAGACGGATTTGGGGACACTTGCTCATCCCTCCCAGCGTAGGCCAATCGAGTTTGGTCCCTCCCAAGCACACATCGCCACCGCAATGTAGTAGTGCCTCTCTCATTCCGATTTCCACTTTTCATTCTGCGGTAGCTCTCCGCCTGCCGAGATTATGCTCGCTTTCCACGAGATTTTGACTGCTGCTGCTGAAGTTGGGGCAACTTAGCTCGTCAACAGCGCTGCTAATATTAGCGACGCCGGCTTTTTCCAGCGGCGTTGAGAGCAATTTTCGACACTGTTGTCGAAGCAGCGATGACGATTTTAACAGCGTTGGGCAATTTCCAGCGTCGGAGATATTTTATCCCTCGGCGATCTGCACCAGCGCTGGCGAGATTCAGCAGCGTTGGCTAATTTCAGCAGTGTCAGCGATCTTTAACCGCGTTGGCGATTTTCAGCCGCTAGATGCATTGTCGCGTCAGGGGTGAGCTCTGCCGTCATTGCTGCTGCTGCTGTTGGAGGTGCATTTCTTGACGACGTTTGCTGCAAGCGACGACGACGGCGACGATGACAAGTGGCTTGAAGGTTAGTCTCGCTCGCGTTTCTGCTTCGTAGTGCGTCGTTTGCTGCTCTTTCAGCGGATTACCTCGGTTTCTCGCGTTGTTGCCCGTCGCCGTATGCTAATGTTTGTTTCTCTCTTTTGCTCGCAGGTGACCGTGCAGAATCGGAAGTCAGACGTTTCCAAGCCGGACGTCAATGTTGCAAGCCGGACGTCAACGTTTCAAGCCGGACATCAACGTTTCAAGCCGGACGTCAACGTTTCAAGCCGGACGTCAACGTTTCAAGCCGGACGTCAACGTTTCAAGCCGGAAGTCAACGTTCAAGCCGGAAGTCAACGTTCAAGCCGGAAGTCAACGTTTCAAGCCGGAAGTCAACGTTTCAAGCCGGTCGTCAACGTTTCAAGCCGGACTCCACGTTTGAAGGTCGTCAGGCAGCTCGTCAAGGGTCGTCTGCCTCGACCTCCTCCGTTGCCACACGGATTGCAATGCAACCAACCAGCGAACCAGCGAACCAGCCAACCGGCCAACCTGGTGAGCCCACGGGGAGTTCTTTCGGGGGGACGAGTAGGCCGCCGCTAGAGCGTCTTGAGTCCGCTGCCCTACGTCGAGTCCTTGCCCATTTCCTGCACCTGCTAACCTTGCTTTGCGTGTGCTTCCCCCCTCTGTGCTCTCCCCATCTGTGCGCGCCTCTTCTGGTATGTTCCAACGAGGCGACCCTGTGGACCCTGGGCGCTGGTGGCAGCACGCAGTGACGCATTGGCGCGCTGCTGGTGATCGCCAGCAGCCCCTGCTTTCGTGTTGCCAGCTCTGCCAAGATATGGCTCAGCAGCCAGGCACGTGGGGGGGCATGTAGGCCGCCTAGAGAGTCGCCGTGCTGTTCTCGTTCGAGTCATTCCTGCAAGTTGCTCGCCTGCTCATGTCACCACCCGTCCCCTTCCCCTCTCCTCCCCCCCCCCCCTTTGACATGCGCCCCATCTCTTGAAATTTTCCACTGGTGCAGCAGCCTCTGACCCACAGACCCGATACTACACTTACAGCCCTGAGGCAAGGCTTCCCTAAAGACCTAGAGACAATACCACCTCTCACCCCTTGCAGGTATCCCCTTGGGTGTGTGGGTTGTGGGCAGCTGCACCAGTGGTCCTCCCTCTCCTTCCCTTCTTCCCGGATTTTTGAGTCGACTCAAAATTCTCTTCCCTGCATCACGCATTTCTCGCTGTGGCTAGTGACTGTCCACTGACTGTGGGTGTGCGTGGCTGTTGCAGGTGGGGGGAGGGGCTTGGGGGTCAACACCGACGCTCCCCTCGCCCCTCCCCTTGTGGCCGTGCAGGGGCGGGGGAGCAAGGGAAGGGAGGGAGCACTGCAGCGGGCAGCAAAGAGAGAGTATGGGGTGGCGGGTTTGGCACACAAGGTGAGCCCCACTCGTACCCAGTCCCCTCAATCCAACCCCTTGCTCCCTTTTCCATCGCTGCTTTCTGCTCTGCTCTGCAACTGCTTGTTCGCATTTCTTCCTGTGAATGCTGGCTTGTTCTTTTCAGTTTTGTCTCTTGTCACTCACTCACTGCTCTTCTCCCAACCCTTCCCTCCCCTTTCCCCCTCCCTAGCAGCTCACTCGGTGACATTTGGAAGCAGCAGCAGCATCAGACACAGCCGCAGCAGCAGAAGCAGCAGCAGGGGGGGCTAGGTAGCTTAGTGTGAGAGAGGTACAAGGTAAGGTAAGGAATGGCATGGTATTGCATGGCATGTTATGGCATGTGGTTGGTCATGCTTCACATCTCCTCCCTCCATCTCCTCTCTCTGCCAGGCTTGCGCTCCACAGGCAAGGCAAAGGCACGGCTGCTCACAGCAGGAGAGAAGGATTCCCCCTCCTCACCACCCCCTCTCCCTCTCCTCCCCTCCCAGCGCCAGGTGTGCTCCTGCAAGCAAAAGGAGAGGAGCACTCACATCACAAGGAGAGGAGTCCCCCCACCACTCACCCCCCCGCCCTCCCCCCCACTCCCCGGCGGCTTCAACCCTCGTGGTGCTCTGCATGGCTGGTAAGGAGGGGCGGTGGTAGGGTAGGGGGGGTGGATGGAAGGGAGGGAGGGAGGGAGGGCACGGGAGCATGTGTGCAGCTCGGTTTCTTAGGGGCAGCACCCACTGTGGTTCTGGCTTGTGGTTCGGGTGTGACCAGTGGAAAATGTGTGGCATGGCAGTCGGTGCTCAAGTAACAAAGCAGGCGTTAAGGCATAATGGAACCGGCCAGACCCGTGCGCGCCGGCTCTGGTTGGGAGTCCCCTCTTGCTCCGTTATGCGGCCGCCCGTGCATTCTCCACTGCCACTGTTTGAAGGTGGGGGTTGGAGGTGCAAACTGTCTTGGAGCTGGTGCAAAGGAGGGCGTCTGCAAACTCCAATGTAAGTTGGGTGGGGGCTAGAGGGAAAGGAGGGGCGCTGACACACCACCCTGGGCAAGTTGAGTGAAGGGCAACAGAGGGCGTCTGCAAACTCCAATGTAAGTTGAGTGAGTGGAAGAGGAGAGGGGGTGGCTAAAAATCCCCTGGTTAAGTTGACTGAAGGGCAACGGAGGGCGTCTGCAATCTCCAATGTAAGTTGAGTGAGTAGGAGAGGAGAGGGGGGGCCTGAAACCCCCCGGGGTAAGTTGAGTGAGAGGGATGAGAGAAGAAGGGCTTGAAACACCGTGAGTGAGTTGAGGTGGGGCAAAGGAGGGGCGATAACCCTTGGTAGGGTGAGCGCAAGGCAGGGGAGGGGAGTTGGAACCCCCAGGGTAAGGCTAGCGAGAGGCAGAGGGACCCCCCTCCTCTGCCTTTTACTCGCCTTAAAAGGGGGTTTTGAACCCCCCTCTCTTGCCTCTCACTCGCCTTACCTTGGGAGTTTCAGCCCCTCTCCTCTCTCTTGCTCTCGTGTTACCTTGAAGGCGTCACCTCCCCCTTCTGCTGCTCCTTCTCCTTACTCTCTCCTCCGCCCCTGCCTTACCCTTGAGGGGTTGAACCCCAAGGGTAAGGGGAGTGATAAACGATGAAGGGACTGGATAACCAGGTTAAGATGAGTGAGTGGAGGGGTAGGCGGCTGAAGCTTTTAAGTGGGTGAGTGAAAGAGATGGGGGTTGAAAGTTGGAACCTCTAGGCCCCTAGGATGGGTGAGTGGATGGAAGGGAAGGGTTGAACCAAGAGCTCCACATGATAGGCAGCAAATGATGATGCCCCACTTTCTGAAGTTCCATGCCCCGAAGTAGAGGGTGAGACAAGGGAGGGGGTTACAGACCCCGAGTTAGAGGGTGAGGCAAGGGAGGGGGTTTCAGACCCCCAGTTAGAGGGTGAGGCAAGGGAGGGGGTTTCAGACCCCTAGTTGACAGGCAGTATCAGGGAGGAAATTTTGTATCCCAAGTAACTGTGAGGTGAGGGATGGGGTTTTACGCCCCTAGTTACAGTGTGAGGTAAGGGATGGGGTTTCAGAACCCAGATAGAGTATAAGTTGAGTGGGAAGGGTGCTTTTCAAACTTCAACTCAGGTCCTGACTGTAAGTTGAGTGGGAAGGGTGGGCGTCAGACTTCAACTCAGACCCCGACTGTAAGTTGCGTGAGACGGGTGGGCTTCTGACTTCCCAACTCACACCCGACTGTAAGTTGAGTGGGAAGGGTGGCTTTCAGACTTCAACTCAGACCCCGACTGAAAGTTGCGTGAGAAGGGTGGGCTACTGACTTCCAACACACACCCCGACGGTAGGGTGAGTGGGCAGGGTGGGCGTCAGACTCGGGGCTCCATGGCAACTCGGGCTTTGAGTTGGCTCCATGGAAACTCGGACTTTCAGTTGGTTCCATGGCAACTCGAGCTTTGACTTGGCTCCATGGCAACTCGGGCTTTGAGTTGGCTCCATGACAACTCGGGCTTTGAGTTGGCTCCATGGCAACTCGGGCTTTGAGTTGGCTCCATGGCAACTCGGGCTTTGAGTTGGCTCCATGGCAACTCGGGCTTTGAGTTAGTTGGCTCCATGGCAACTCGGGCTTGAGTGGACTCCATGGCAATTCGGGCTTTAAGTTGGCTCGAGCAGCTGGACGCCGTTGCCGGGTTTGGCGTAGCTCACACTCCACACCGCCAGCTGCCCTGTCTCCCGCCAATCCTCGCCGTCGTCAGGCAGATCCCCCACGCCGATGTCAGCCACCTCTGCTCTGCACTGGAAATGGAGGAGAAGAGGATAACGGCAGTGTGACAACCCTAAGCCTCTTCCGTCACCGTTATCTCTTCCGTCCCCCAATGATCACGACGACAGTGAGGGACGGAAGAGACAACGGCGACGGCCTCAGGACAGCCAAAGGCAGCTCGCACTTCTGCATTTCGACTTCATGAGGGGAGTAAGAGTGGATCCCTGACGACGGTCGAAGAATCAACAATTTCTGATTTCATGCTACCTGAAATTTGACAGCAGAAATGGCTTTAGCGAATGTATTGTGCTTGTGCATCACTGACAATGTATCTTCAGGCATTGCTGGTTTGGGTGTTTCAAACAAGAATTTGTGCTGCTGAATTTAAGGAATGTTATAAACTAGACAACAGTTGACGTCGTAGCTTAGACAACTGACGAATCGGTACCCCTTGGTGTTTGATATTAGTCTGACCTGTAGGCGCATGTCAAACATGTTTAGTTATCATGCTTGTATAGACTGTATAGGGTCATCTTCTAGAGAGTACAACAGTTAGGTATATGTTTGTGTACTCTCTCTCTCTATTCATTTAATTTTCACTGTTTGATATGGTATCAGAGCGTAGGTAGGATCCCCCCCCCCCCCCCCCCCTCACGCTTCCGCTCGCCCCCTAGCTGGGCCCCGTCGTGCTCCTAGCCCCGTCGCGACCCTCCCTAGCCCCGTCGCGACCCTCCCTAGCCCCGTCGCGCCCCTTCCTGGGCCCCGTTGCGCCCCTTTCTGGGCCCCGTCGCGCTCCTCCCAGGCCTCGTAGCGCCCCTCCTGGGCCCCACTGCGCTCCTCCCAGGCCCCGTCGCGCCCCTTCCAGGGCTTCGTAGCGCCCCTCCAGGCCCCGTCGCGCCCCTTTCAGGGCTTCGTAGCGCCCCTCCAGGCCCCGTCGCGCCCCTTTCAGGGCTTCGTAGCGCCCCTCCAGGCCCCGTCGCGCCCCTTCCAGGGCCTGGTAGCGCCCCTCCAGGGCCCCGTCGCGCTCCTCCCAGGCCCCGTAGCGCCCCTCCTGGGCCCCATTGCGCTCCTTCCAGGCCCCGTCGCGCCCCTCCCTAGCCCAGTCGCGCTCCTCCCAGGCCCCGTAGCGCCCCTCCTGGGCCCCATTGCGCTCCCCCCAGGCCCCGTCGCGCCCCTACCTGGGCTTGGTAACGCCCCTCCAGGCCCCGTCGCGCCCCTACCCATCCCCGTCGCCCCTGCTCGGCCCCGTCGCCCCTGCTCGGCCCCGTCGCCCCTGCTCGGCCCCGTCGCGGCCTATCGGCCGCGTGGCGCCCGCCCGGCCCCTGTCGCACCTGCCCGGCCCCTGCTCGCCCGCCCGGCCCCGTCGCCCCTGCCCGGCCCTGCTGTGGCCTGCCCGGGCCCCGTCCCTGCCGCCCGGCCCCGTCGCCGCCGCCCGGCCCCGTCGCAGCCGCCCGGCCCCGTCGCAGCCGCCCGGCCCCGTTGCAGCCGCCCGGCCACGTCGCAGCCGCCCGGCCCCGTCGCCCCTGCCCGGCCCTGCTGTGTCCGGCCCGGCCTCGTCCCTGCCGCCCGGCCCCGTCGCAGCCGCCCGGCCCCGTCGCAGCCGCCCGGCCACGTCGCAGCCGCCCGGCCTTGTCGCTGCCGCCCGGCCCCGTCGCCGCCGCCCGGCCCCGTCGCCGCCGCCCGGCCTTGTCGTGCCTCCCCGGCCCCGACGCACCTGCCCCGGCCCTCCATACTTCCTGGTACTGTCCCCCGTTCCCCGCACCACTTTGCACCCTCCTGCACTTTCCTGCCCCGCCTTGCATCGCATTGCACCTCACTGGACGACTGACCGCACTGCACCGCACTGGACCGCACTGCACCGCACTGCATCGCACTGCACCGCACTGGACCGCACTGCACCGCACTGCATCGCACTGCACCGCACTGCACTGTCCTCCACTGCCCCTCATGGCTGCTGAGCTTCGTTTTGATGTTGAGGGTCAGCCTCTGGAGTTCGAGGCGTGGTTGGCTGACCTTCGCCGCCACCTCACTGGCCAGCGGCAGGACGGCCACCCGCTTTCTGCACACCTAGACGGTATGCTCCCCTGCCCTGACCCCCTGCTGTGCTGCCCGCTGATCCCACGCCCGCTGAGCGCGAGTCCACTGCCGCTGCTGCCCTTGCCCGCTCTGTCTGGCTTTCCCGCGATGCCCTTGCTCAGCTCGCCATTAGCAATGCCCTCCCCCCCACTGAGCGCCCTCGCTTTAGAACCATTCCTACCGCCCAGGCCTACCTCGATGCTGTCATCAAGCGCTATTCTACCCCTCCTGCTGCCTCAGTGGGTCGCCTGATCCTTCCCCTGCTCTTTCCTGACCTGGCGTCTTTCCCCACTGTCTCTGACCTCGCTGCCCACCTGCGCTCGATAGATGAGGCCTGGCGCGCTGCCTGCACTGATGCTCAGCTTAGAGTCCACCAGCCTCCCATGACCTCTACCCTCTACCTCCTTGCCACCCGCCTACCTGACCGCCTTGCCGCCGCCCGCGACCAGTTCCTTAGCATCCACCCTGCTGCTCTCACCCTCACCGACTTTGTTGACACCCTGACTGCCATAGAGACTCGTCACCGCTCCATAGCCCTGGCGAGCGGTACAGTACCGGTCCCTATCTTTCAGGGTTGTGCCCCCGCTCAGTGTACCTTCTCCGACGGCTCTGTCGCTGTGGCTGAGACTGCTGCTGCAGTGCAGTCCCGCTCGGCGAAGGGCCGCCGCCCCAAGGTTGGGAGCGGCGGAGGCGGCGGGGGTGCGGGTGGGGGTAGTGGTGGAGGCGGGTCGTCCGGTGCCGGTGCGGACGTGGGGACCCTGCCCGGTCCAGCTGCCCCGCTGCCTCCACAGTTGCAGCAGCCGCAGCAGCAGCAGTCGCCGCAGCCGCAGCCTTCGCAGCAGCAGCCGCCGCAGACGAGGCAGGCGAGTACTCTCCCACCTGGGTGGCCTGGAGCTGGTGGTGGTCGTGCGCGTGGTGGTGCACCGGGTGGTGGTTCTGGAGGCGGGCCCTGTCAGTACCAGATCCAGACCGGTCCTCGCCGCGGCTTCGTTTGCGGTAAGATCGGTCATTCTACTCCTCGCTGTTTTCGTCGCCTGGACGACCTGTTCCGCCAGCGCTTTGGCCCGGCGCCCGACCTCCCGGACTGGCACAGCTTGCTTAGGCGTAGCATTAGGATTTTTGACTTGGGCATGGATGCCATTGTAGCGGCCTTGCATGTGATGTATGCTGATGACTCTAGTGTGCTTCCCTCTTATTACCCCGTGTTGCCTAGTGTAGCGGTGCCTAGCGTAGACTCCCCTGCTGCGTCAGGCGTAGGATCTCCTCCTTTGCTTAGCCTTGGTGCTTCCACCGCTTCACTGCTGCCTCGCGCGACTGCTGCGCTTTCCTTCACCTTGGACTCTGGCGCCTCCCGGTGTTTCTTCCGCGACTCCACGACGCTGACGCCGCTGCCTGTTCCCGCTGCAGTTACTCTTGCTGACCCCTCCGGTGGTCCCGTCGTTGCCCGCAGTTCCACCTCCCTTCCCTGTCCGGCGGTTCCTTCGGGCACTCTCACAGGTCTGCATATCCCCTCGTTCTCCAGGAACCTAGTTGGTGTCGGCTGCCTCCAGGACCTTGGCGTCACCACTACGTTCCCTGGTCACGAGCGGTATGCTGTCTGTACCGAGGCCGCCACTGGTGCCCCCCTTACCACTTTCCCCCGGGACCCGGTGTCCGGCCTGTTCACACTTGACACCGCGCCGTCCCCGGCTGGGTCTTCCCCCCCGGTAGTTGCGTCCACCCAGGTTGCAGCCGCGTGCTCCTGTCGGTCCCTCACTCACCCGACTCTCCTTTGGCACCACCGCCTTGGTCACCCTGCACTCCCACGTCTGCGTCACATGTCCCAGCACGGTCTCGTCCTTGGTCTCCCCGGTTCGTTCCCCGAGTTTCCCTCCTCCCCCGCCCCACCGTGCACGCCTTGTGTCGAGGGCCGGCTCCGCCGTGCCCCTCACTCCTCCTCTTTTCCCCCTACCACCGCACCACTGCAGACTCTGCACATGGACGTCTGGGGCCCAGCCCCGGTCCATGGGCCGCGTCGCGAGCGCTTCTTCCTAGTGCTTGTCGACGACTTCACGCGCTACACCACCGTCTTCCCCCTGGAGCGGAAGGCCGACGTGCCTGACGTTCTCATCCCCTGGCTTGTCTCTGCTCGTGTCCACCGCGGTCTCCCTGCCTTGCGCCTTCACTCCGACCGGGGTGGCGAGTTTGCCTCAGGTGTCCTTGGTCGCTTCTGTCGTGCGGAGGGCATCACCCAGACGTTTACCCTGCCGGACTCCCCGCAGCAGAATGGGGTCGCTGAGCGACGCATCGGTTTGGTCATGGAGGTGGCTCGCACCTCCATGATCCACGCCGGTGCACCCCATTTTCTGTGGCCGTTCGCCGTGCGCTACGCCGCTCACCAGCTTAACCTGTGGCCGCACCCCCAGCGGCCGCAGGTTTCGCCGACCCTTCTGTGGACCGGGTCCCCTGGTGACGCGTCTGCGTTCCGCGTCTGGGGCTGCCTTGCTCACGTTCGTGCCTCTGGCACGGACAAGCTCACTGCCCGCACCCTCCCCTGCGTCTTCCTCGGTTTCCCCCTTGACGCGTCCGACTGGCACTTCTACCACCCGCCGTCTCACCGCTTCTTTCACTCTCGCGACGTCACCTTTGACGAGTCCGTCTCCTTCTACCGCCGCTTTCCCCACCGTGGTCCCCCGGTTACTCCCCCCTTTTCCTGGTTCCTCCCTCCCTGGTGGTCCCTGCCCCTCCCCCCCCCCGCCCCCCGTCCGGCCCCCTCTGGTGTGTCTCACGTCACCCCCTCCCGTCGGTCGTCCCGGTCGACGAGTCTTCTGACTCTGGTAGTCCTCCGGCGCAGTCCTCGCCGTCTGTCCCTCCCCGGTGTCTCCTCCTCCACCGCCTCCGCAGCCGCCGTCGCCGCAGCTGCTGCAGCCGTCGTCTCCACCGCCGCCGCCGTTGCAGCCGTCGTCTCCGCCGCCGCCGCCGTCGCAGCCGTCGCTGCAGCCGCCGCCGCCGCCGCGCTGTCGTCGCTGCCGCCGTTTGTGGACTCTGGGGGTGTCCCTTCTGGGGGTGCAGGTGTGGAGGGTTCGGGAGGTAGCCGTCGCGCAGCTTGTGGCCCTGGTGTTGGTGTTGTGTCGCCGCAGCAGCAGTCCCCGCCTGTGTCCGCCCTCCGTCTGCTCGGCCTTCCGTCTCCTGACCCTGCGCCTGTTCCTCTCCTGCCGTCTCCCCCTCTTCCCGTCTACGGCCCCGTGTTCCCTCTGCCAGACTCGTCCCCGGCTCGTCTTC